ACCAACTTTTCAAACTTTGCTAACTCTTCTGCTGTTGCTGCAGTTTTATGACCTTTATGACCCATCTTCCCATTGCAAAATCTGCTCTGAATTATTTTACTGCAGTTCCCCTTTTTTTTCAGCAAGAGACTGAAAAGCCCAACAGTTATCCTCTGCTGTCTCAGATTAACAAAGATACAAAAAATAGAGTGGCACACTTCATCCTTTTTTGCATTGACAAATGATTTTCTCGTGGCTTAGTCACTGATGATTAAAACAGTCGAGCCATTTTATGTCAGCTTGCCTACGTGTCATGTCTCATTCTAGGGATGAAAACATATTCTGATTTACCTAAAGTCAGGTAAATTTCATTCTCTACCTGAGAGAATCAAAGCCCAAGAAGCACTTTCATATCCATCCACTAGATAATAAAATACTGCTATTTGTCCAAGAAAAAGATTTAATAGTTTGACATAAGCTACTGTGTAAAAATAGTCAGAAAAACTTAAATCTTACTTAGAAATTCAGAGTTGTCTATTCAGCAGAAAGGATAACATAGAAAACTGTAAAAATAAGTAAGCAGAGAAAAATCTTCAGAAAAAAATGTAAGCTACATGAGAAATTTCTATAAGCACAAAAAGAGAAAAAGGCAACGTTTACTAAATAGCTTATTTGATACAATTGACTCAGCTCTTTTTACATTTTGATACACAGAAGAGTGAGAATTAAGGTTATTTTGAGGACAAGTTTATATATAGAATGAGAAGAGAAGCACATAAGTACATTCAGTTTGTGTATCAAAGGAGTTCTGATGCACAATAAACTAGTAGCAGTGTAAACAAGCTAATAACAGGTTTGCAACTGTAGATAAGATAAGGCTGAAGATTAGCCATGGGAAATTGAAACATCATAGTAAATAGAAAAATAAGGGATAAAGTAATTTACCTGTGCATAATTCTACTCAGCTGGCACTACTTTCTAACCATACAAGCATCCCCATTGTCCCAGAGGTAGACCAATGTTAATTCAGCAAGAGAGCAAACCCTAGATTTCTAGGCTCCTAGAAATTGAAGTCTCACACATAACCAGTTCATTTTCTGTACTGTAAAAAGTAGTAATGCCAAGATAAGGAGCTACAGGAAGATGATGAGAGGCAAAGTGTGAGCACTGTAGAAGTGAGTACTGCAGTCAAGTACTCCTTTAAAACTTGTCTACACAAAGCTGGCACTTTATCCAGTATTAAATAAGTTCTGCACTGATTTGTTAAACTGCATTACATCTTTGGGTGGACACTTTTCTTCAGAATTTAGTTAATCTTCATCCATTTTGATATAATTCATTCTTATCATGTTAACTTTAGCAAAACAAATGTTGACAGATAAACACCAGGAATAACTTAAACATTTAAAGCAGTAGTCACTGCTGGTAAAAGACCAAATGGATATGAGGTTTAATTCAGAAGGTAGAAGATAATTCTTAACCCTCACAGCAACATTTGCTGGAGCAGTTTTCTCGTGCAGTAATAAGAGCAAAACACCCAGTTGCTTTCAAGATAAAGTTCAGTCCACTTATGAACCAGATTGCATGGCATGCTTGGGATAACAAGGGAATAGACTCAGCACATAGAAGGTGACTTTCAGGAATGCTCCATGATAATATTTATGTACCTGCTCTACCTCACTCAAGATTTGCAAGTCACATATAATATGCACAGAATATACCTTGCACTGTAAATATATACTCAGAAAAGTAAATGTTAAATCATTCAAATGGAGGTGCATTGTCTGAATCGCTAGCAGACACTTTCACATTATGGTGCTTATTCTCTGTTGTTTCAATTCTTTATTTGTAAAATGGAAGTACTAATATCGTCTTGTCAGACAGGAAGCTATGAAGGAAAATTCATGAATATTTATAAAACGTTTACTCAGGTGATGAACACAGTCTCCCCATGAGGAGATCAATAAACCCATTCTGATTTAGACAGTGTACAGTAAATAAAGGTCATAGCCACACACATATTAGAACAGATAAAGACCAATACTTAACAGCTGTCTCATTCACTGTGCATCCATCATCTTGTGAACTGAGTCAGACTGATTTCCTGCCAGAAAATGGATCCACAGATCTTGTAGGAAGAGAATAACAGATCTTGTAGGAAGAGAATAACTTGTGCACATCTGCACAAGGGACAGCATTAACTTGCACGAGCAAAACAAAGGTTTTTCACATATAACTTTGTGTAGGACTCCAAATACAATATACAGCCAGTGAACTTGTAAGCAATAATTCCAAACAATTTTAGAGTTTTGGTGAAATCTCTGCTACAGTTAAATTATTTGGACAGAGCTTAGGAGAAAAATGGTGATCAGATTATTGGGTGATAGTCAAGCCCCTTTAAGGCTACAATTTATGACAAGTATGCTACCACCTCTTCAAAGACATTTCAAGCCAACATATCACAGTATGTCACTATTTGTACTGTAAATACACACCAGATCTCTTTAGTATATCCACAGTCTTTACATTAATGCAACTCTACTTGTCAAGCCAGAGCAGGAGCATCTGCACTGCAGTGGTGATAACCATCCCTGTCTATAAAGCCAAATCCCCATTGGTACTGCTATTAATATAGATGTGACAGTACATTGTTTGGGGAATCATATCCAGATCCTCAGCATTTCATTAACTGGAGGTACTCCAGGAAATGCTTGACGGCATACCGTGACAGATTTGTCTTCCTTCCAGGTCTTCTTGGGAAAGTTATCAATCTGCCTGCATGTTTAGTTAACACAGTTCCCATGACATACATTCTTTTCTCTCATATGTCCCAAGCAGTGCCAATATGAGCACAGCTGGATGAGCTGTTCATGCTCATACTTCCAGAGTTATTGCAGCCATGAACTGATAAAAGGTTTGAAGAACACAGAAAATCAAAGAGCTCCCTAACTTTGCTGGATTCATCAATCACTCTCACATGCTCATAGCTCTCCCTTTTCATGTGACAGTTCAGGAATTAATATGGAAGATGCATGGACAATGCACAGGAAAGCAAAAGATATATCCATGTGGAACACATTCAGTGTTACTATCTCCACACAAAGTTAGCAGGGAGATTTCTGAACTGAGTATTACCTCTGATATGTTTTCTTTGTAGATTCTCTACCATAATATATTTAGGAAAAGACAGCTTAATCACACTTCAGAGAAGCTGCACAGATGCTTTTTATGTCTGGGACTAACACCATTTGTACTACTAGGCAGTAATACAAAAAAGATAAAAATGAAACCACATACATGTAACAGGCAGTTGAGGGGCACCCGTAAAGCCTCTCACCCACTCAATCAGTCCATCTTGGAGGAGCTTGTATATCCTCCATGTCTCATTAAATTGCACAGAGTGCTGCACTAAGGCAGCTCAGCTCCTTCTGGCAACAAAGCTAGCTCATTCGTAGTTTGGTCAGGTATTTTTGCAGCACAGTGGTGTGCAGGCCTGATTGAGGCAATTGTTATTGTTGGGCAAACAATGGAAATAAAAGAACACCTTTTGTAGCCATGAGCTTACAGAATAGAGTGGCATACATGAAAAAATATGATTACAAGAAAGGTAGCTATTTTATTAAAATCTTTGCAAAGTTTTCTTTCTCAAACAACTTGAAAGTTGTCAGTAAATCAATGTTAACCAATAAAACTACATTGTCAGTTGTCAATAAATCAGTGTTAACCAACAAAACTATATTAAAGTAACTGTTCTTTGGCAGGCCTGCTGTCTTATTGTGTCTTGCAGCAGCCCGCTCTGCCTTTCCCTGTTTTGCATCCTTTCCTATAGCAAGTGAATGAGCAAAGGTGCTTGATACTGCCAAGGAAATGGAAGAACATCTTATCTTTTTCCTTCTCAGAAGAATACAACTAACTGCTTAATTTCAAGACAGCAGATATGGACTTCCTTCACACAGATCTATTTTCATTCCACCTTATGTGTCAATATGCTTTGTTCCTCTAGCCATACGGGCCATTGAAAGAACAGAGTGCTGGATCCATTCACTGAAACACAACTCAAGGGTTTTCAGTGTGTGATCAGGGAGACAGGACAGGCTAAAATGCCAAATAGAGGAAAACTACACCACACACAGAAAGGCGAGCACAACAGGCAGCTACCACTCAGCACAGCCCTCTGATCTCTAGCTTGCAAAAAATTTTTTTCTGTTTAAACTTTTTGTGGTTGCTTTTGTTTGTTTGTTTGTTTGTTTCAGCAGAAGATGGTCTTGGAGTAAAAACTTTCTCACCCTTGTAAAAAAGGCTATGTGGTTTCTTTGCAAAGGGCAGCCTACAGGCCATAAGAGCAAAAAAAAAAAAGGGGGGCAGGGCTGGGCTTCAAAAGGGCTATTGATGACAAAAGCTCACTGACATTCTGATACCAGTGATTTGCTTAAGATAATTAGGGCAGCTTCCCAATAGCCAGAGGTCTACTTCTTAGAAAACAAGAGAGCCTGTTTGCTAACCTTGATTAGCCCAGTGGCTAGAAAACTTGATGTTTAGACAGGCCGAGCTGCCTTTGGTGCCAGGCTGTGCTGGCAAACAACCAAGAACACCAATTTGCACTGCAGGCTTGTCAGGAGTCAGGCTCTGCCACAGCAATGCTCCCAACACAACCTCCACCTCTCGGGCCTCAGGTCAAAAACAGCCTGTAAATGATAGCTAACATTTTGGGATTGCCAGTGCTACACAGATTGTTAAGAGCAGCTCTTTTTGTGTTCTTTTTTCCACTTACAGAGCTCAGTTCCCGAGCATAGCTGCTCAGAACGGGAGGAAAGCACACAGCCCCTTGCTGCAGCTTGCGACTTAAAAGCAGGGGAAGGGGCTCACACTGCGAGGCCTGGCTCCCACGGCAAAGCGGCTGTCCCACGCTGGGGGCCGCAGGTAAGGGCCGGCGAGAAAAGCGGCGAAGAGCGCTGAGCGGACCCGGCCCCGCGGCGGGTCGAGGCGGGGCGGCCTGCACGGGCGGAGCGCGGCGCCGGAGGCGGAGGGAGAGCGGCGCGCGCCGAGGGTCGCGGCCGTCCCGCTGGGATGTGAACGGCGACATCGGTAAGGCCGCCGCGACGCGCCGCTGTTGGGGTGGGGGCGCCCGACGGGAGGGTGACGTGCTGCGGCGTGCAGCCGTCTGGCGGCTGCGGGAGGGGCGCGCGCTGCTATGCAGCGCGGCTGTCTCCCGAGACGGTCGCGGGGACAAAGGACCGGCGGAAGCGCGGCGCGGGGTTGGGGGGCGCAGCGGGTGCTGTGGGAGGTCTGCTAGGCCGCGAGCCGTCAGTAAGGCTGTGTGCTCTAACGGGAAGGAAGCCTTTGAATGGTAAACTCACTGACTGCTTTGCTGGAAGCAGACCGGGGAAAAGATGGTAGTTGGATCTCCAGTCCACAAGCAATTTCTTCTGGGTGGGATTTTGTTCATGGTGGTGATTGAGGGAAAGGGTGTCATCTTGTATAGCAAGGTCCGTATCAGTGGCATTGACATCCCTGGAGCTTCCTGAATGTCCGAAGGGATGAGACGTGCATGCAGTGAGATACAAGATAGGGCCGCAGCCATAGCTACCGGGCTTAGAAGTGGAGAAAAGTTCAGAAGGATATGAAAGAGAAATCAAAGCTCCTGAAAGGAAGTTGTTCTTTCAGAAGTTCTGCAAACGAAGAAGAAAAAAAAAATGTACTTTCATATTTTAAAAATATTAAAATAACTCTTGTTTTTGTAGTAAGATAATTTGGGTATACTTGTCGCCACAACAACTATAGGCTTGAGAAAGCTTTGATTTAAAAGTGTGCACCTTCACATCTTTACTATAAAGCAGCAGAAATATCATTATCCCTGTTTTGGTAAGTGATGAACTGCAGCAGAGGGGCACTGAGTGACATCCCGAAGGTCAGAGTGGAGCTTAGAGTGAACTCTTAATATCTTTGTGTGCCCCAAAATCTGGTGCCAGGCTGAGCTTTTGCAGTCAGTCTGTGGACAAATATTATTATCAGTAGCAAAAGCTAGCGCGGACAGACTAGGATTGCATTATTTTGTTAATTGCCACTGCTCTGGGTGATCTGGATTTCCAAACCAATGTCCACAATTGATATGTTTCTCTAATCCAAACTAGATCAAAATTAGAGCTGAGTGTTCTATGTAGGTACTCAAAGACCCTCTAATCTGACATTTTCATCCCACCTCCCTGTGAACTGAATCCGGGAAGCTTAATCAGGAAATGCATCTAATAATTTTGTTGTCTTTGTTGGCGAGTGGTCTTATGGAACAGTGAGTTGAACCAGCTTCAGTGGAGGTTTAGTAACAGATCCATTACAAAGAAGGGGACAAAGCCAGGAGCAGTAGATGGGATAAGGAAGACCTGCTCCTTTCAATGGTAACATTTGTCTCAGTTCAGCTGGTGACTGAATTGCATCTTCAGTGTCTTACGCTTTAATCTGTTTAGAAGCGTTGAACTCACTAGAGCCATTATTGGAACGTTCTTAACCCAGTGCATTCTTTCCTATGCTCCTATGTCTTTCGACTTAATTTTTAATAATAAAATCTCTTAAGATGCACAGTTGTAGTTGAGCCTCAAATTGCTATATAATGTCTCCCCCTTTCAGGCTTGAAATATCCCCCCAAGAGGCATTTTTTATAGGGTTGCAAAAGCTCTGTAATGATTAAAGCAAGATCTGAGCCTAATGTTAAACACAAATATACAGAATTAATACTTCTGACAATGAAGGTACTGCTAGCTGTAGTATTGCCATCCTTTTGAAATATATAAGTGTATCACATCTGTTGCAGCTGCTCTTTCAGCTTCTTAAGAATCAGAAGGCTGTACATAACTTGTTCTTACTTAAGATGAACTTCTGATACATATGACTGCAGCATAATTAAGGTAGTTTCAGTCTGGCAGGGTGAAAACTGATGAAGCTGCACTGGTGCAAGCCTTGACATGATCCATGTAAGTCTGCATAGTGCTGGAAAGCCTTTGTGGAAATCTCTACTTTTGTGGCTCTACGCTGTTAACATTTAAATTAAGTAGCTCAAGTTATGCTCACACCCGTAACATCCACATTTCTGTTTCCCAGTATTTTCTGATCTCTGTTTAGAAATAGGAAGTCTTTAAGACAAAAAAAAAATCAAATCTATTCACTGAAAATGAGCTGTGGATATGAAAGATACTCTTTTTGTAATAACCATGCATATGACACCATTCCCCAGATCCTTTGAAGAACCCTACAGGATTAAACGTGGGAGTTCCTGAGAGATTGTAACTCTTGAAGAGCTGCCAACCTAGATGTCTTAAAAAAAGGAAAACAGGACAAGTCACTAGTTGAAGACCTAGCTTAGAATTTTGGGAACTTGAGTATCATTTGATTCTGTAACAGGTACTTTTTGGTACAAATTAGGATGAATAATTTTATCTTCCATGCAACAGATTTCAGCTCTTTAAAGAAATCAGCATGGTTAAGAAACAGCAGTATACCACTAATAATGATTTATTTCCTTCAGAACCATTTACTATAGCTCAGGGAGCCTTCTGAGTACAAACTTGCATCCTTTTGCATCATGAACACCAGCATAGCTTTTCTAATGTGACCCACATTACTCTTATGTAATACTAGTGTTGTGAATTTCACTTACATGAAAGCATCTACAGTGGTTAGGTGTTGCATAACTGTAAGTTTAAGATTCACAAGACAAGACAGTCACAAAAGAGTAAGGATTAACCTGAAAAGTTTCTTTTTGCAGTTTTGAGATAGCTATGTGAGACACGAGAATGAAGCATAAAGTAGAACTTTACTCATGAACAGAAAAGAGGATATAAAAGGCTTGTACATAGCTCTCTGGCAGTCATGCAGTTTTATTTGAATGAAACCGATTGCCTGTAGCTGAAATAAACGATTTAATCCCTGAGTTTTAAACCTGAAATTGGATAGCATATGGTTCAGTTATGGCTGTAGGTGCAGGATCTAATTAATTACCTAAGTAACTTTACCCAACATGGAGGAGATCATTCCTATTTCATGTATTGCTCCCATTCTATAGCATGTTAATCAGCACTGCTGCCTGTGTGGTTTACTATTAATTGCCTTGCGAGTGACCTTGTGTCAGGGCCCAGGCACTTCCTGGTTTTTAATGCATCCTGCTGATTGTTGTTGATTTGAGAAGAGCCACTGATGGCTAGCTTAACTTCCAAGCAAGAAGCTTCCAAGGTGAGGCATTTCAAGGCTTGCAGCATTTGTGTCCCTCATCCTAAGTCAGACTGTAATTCAGACTGTATAGCAAGGTGCTGCATGGTTCATTTCTCATAGTAACAACTGCCTTCCACTCAAATTACTCAGCACTTTGTGATTTTAACTCAAAACATGTTGCAAATAGCCACGTATTTATCTTAGAATTGAAATTTTGATTCCTGCAGTTTCTTGAGTATTTGTCTTATAAATGGACAGAACAAGCCTCTTCTCAAGATTTATTCAGTACATTAAAGCGTCCCTGCAGTTTTCATTTCTGCTTACAAAGATGTTTTACAAATTTTTGATGCTGCTTATTACAGAGAAGGTAGCAAATCTTAGAAGAACAGAACAATTTTTTTCAGAGTGCAGACTATTCTTCAGGCCATGGAGCCTTTAAAATTTCCATGTGGTTTAGTAGCATATGAACTGTTGAAGATTCATATGCTGTCTTGATTCCTTCCTAGCAGTGAGCTTCTCCAGTTGTAGTGAAATAAGTAGTAGTGACCCCATGAAGTTACACGTACAAATAGATTTAAATGGGACTTCGCATGGATCCCAAGTGTTCCACTCCTCCATAGCTTTGTGTAGCATGAGCTCTGCCCTGGAACCTCAGACCCCCAGGACATCCTGAAGCATTCAGGTAAGGAGCTAGGAAAAGTGTTTGCTACAGAGGTGTATTGCCTGAATCTCTTTCCTTATAGGTTTTGTAGAATTTTTTTCACTTAAGGTAATGCAATTTTATTAACTACTTTTCTGTTTGCCAAGACTTGACTGACTGGAAGTGCACCTGGAAGATGCTAAGGCCTCCTGCACATTATGCCTAAAGGCTGCTCCAGAACAGGGTAAAAGCAAGCGCAGTACACACATGCATGTGCCAGAGGTCTGAGAAACAGTCTCATGAAGTATATCATTTACTGGGGGATTTAACATAGAATTTGCTGAAAGAAGGATGGGTAACTGGAGATGATGGCAAAAGAAGGCTGTTGTCAGAAGGGAGGAAGTGGCCAAGAGAAGCTGTAGTAAATGATAGGGTACTTCATATGACATGAAAGCAAACAACCACAGTGTAATAGTAAGGTGCAGTACCAGTACACTGTGTACATTGACTAAAGCATTAAGCAAGTTTGGATCATAATCTCCAGAAAGGAGGCTGGTCAGCAATTGCCAAGCAGTTCACCAAAGGCTACACTGTAGTGTAACTGGAGCTGAAGAATTGATACCTCACAGAACTGGAAGTGAAAAAGTTTACAAGAGAGGAAGTAGCAAGTGATTGCCAAAGAAAGCAAGTTTCCGGCACAAGAAGTGGAAGAAAATATTTATGCTGAGCTTTAAGACTCAAAATGCTTAATTTAAGGTATGGACCATTTACAAGTAGGGTCTTTTGCAGCACTATCTATAGCAGAGAGTTATTAAAGGCTTTTTATTGTAATATAGGATGATGAAATATGAATAATATATAGGTGTTGATCAGTCTTTTGGTGAAAAGGACACTACTGTACCCTGTTCTTGCAGAAATTTGATAATCAGTTCTTGTGTGTTAACCATTTATAGCCTTTCCAGTTTTCAAGTAGGGTATCTCTTTTTATAAAGTGCTTTTGAGGAAGGAGTCAGAGTACACAAGGGTACTGAGGTAGACAGAAAGCAAAGAACATACCCAGTGTCAGTTCTCTTCCACATTTCATCATCATGTGATGTTAACACTACAGAAAGTTGTCTTTTTGCATTTAAGATATACATGTTCTATCTTTACACCAGTGTTGCTATTTGGCAAGACCAAGCAGCATTCTGATTTTCAAGCCTCAAGATTTTTGTTATCATGAGAACAAAACCTAGCTTCTATGAAACTGACCTCAAACTTAAAATTTGATCATTTAAGCTTCCTTATTTTGAACACAGAAAGAATCTTCTAGACTTTAAGAAGATAATTTTAAAAAATAATTCAAATACTGCTTTAGATTTAAGTTGTTCTCATGTATTTCTAAAACTAATTCTTTTTTTGGGGGGGGGTCTTACACTAGTATATAAAGAAACACCCATAATTTTGCATTAGTGCTCTAAGTTAGGCTGGAGAATGGAAGATAAAAAAAAAAATGACAGGATGGGAAGATCAAATCATGTTTTGAGAAGGGATTTCCTGCTAAAAATTGTTTAAAACAGCTGTCAGCAACTTCACCCTTTTCGGTATCTCACATGAAGTTGATGAATCTTTTCTGAACTTAGAGCTGGCCAAAGAAAAGGTGCTCATTACTTTATATCACAGTTCAAGGAGAAAGAAGAAAAACATGCAACATAAAGAAAAAAATAGAGATTTAGAAGTTTTCAGTCTTATAAATCCTGTTTTAAAATGGAAATACAAATACTTTAAAAAAAAAAAAAAAAAAAAAATTTAAAAAAAAAAAAAAAAAAACGTTTGCAAGTACTAACTCAGTCAAATCCTGGGTGAGTCAAAGGGTGTTGTGACAGAGTATAAGATCCCAGTGCTGGTTTTTTTTTTTTCTCCTAAAGATGCAGTTTAATTGCCTGATTCACTTTTTTGACTATAGGAGAGGCAGTGAGTGACCTCCTAGTTTCCAACATGATGCAGTGGTGTTTTTGTTTTAGTTACTGTCCATACAATCTCCTTCAAAATTTTCTTAAAAAATAAAATACCAGAGCTATTGATGGATCTACACAGCAAGTGCTGTTGAATCTTAGGTTTCTTGCTTCCTTTGAAGTTCTGCCTCTGAAAAGGAGGATGAGGAAGGGTGGGGCAGAGGTTTTGGAGCTGTGTCAGGGATGTCTGTGCAGTGAGAGGTGACTGCTATTCAGCACCACTGCATGTACTGTTCAAACCTGTGATTCCAGATCCAGTGGTGAGGAATTCTGTCCTAACACACTGTTACTTTAGAATATCTAATTGTTTGTTTGTTTGTTTTTTCTTACCTTTATTTGGTAAGCAAAGGCTACCAGGTATCACGTGCTACAAAAAGTAATACATGTATTTTTAAAAAACAAAGTTTGCTTCCTGTGTTCAAGAGGTTTTGAGATTTGTCAGCTTTTCTTTTTTGTTTTTCCTAACTCTCAACTTCCAGTCTTTGTTTGCATGTTATTGATAACTTGATTCTTCAGCTTTTAAAGGTGCTTTTGCCTATGTAATTTTAAGACTGAACAGGATTTGCCATTTAAAGACTTCGCATTCCCACATTCCTTCTGAGTCAAAGAGTTTGTTTATTTGTTGCTTCTTCTAGTCACAGAAGTTACCAGCATGAAATGGTTAAGTTTAGTCTTATATGAAAGCAAGCATGATTGTTCTCTAAAATATATCTTGCTTACAAACTCTTGGCTGATATGGCATCTTGAAAAATTTTATGTTGTATACTTAAATAGGTTTTCAGTGAGGATATTTTACATTATAACAGTCTGCAGAGCTATGTTAGGTTACTGCTTTGGGGTGAAAATTATGTCAAGCAAAAGCATGGTTAATTGACATACCTTCTAACAGTGGGTGCTTGGAAGAGACAGAAACTTAACAGGACAAGAAGAAATCTTGTTGAGATGCTCCCTGATAATCCAGCGTAGGGGATATTTAAAGTTTACTCATGTAAACAAATCTTGTGTTAGATACAGGAAGCAATAGTACAGTCCCAGAACAGCTCTTAATTGCTGGATTCTCTTTTTTGCTGTCGACCTCAGGGAACCTACAGACTCCTCAGCCTGTATGAGGCATTACTATTATGTAGTATGCTGGCATGAGATTAGTAAAAATGACTGAGCAGTCTGTTGCCTAAGAAGGGACTTCTTGAAGAATCCATCAAATCACGGATTGCTATTAAAGCTTGTTTTCTTTCTCTAAACAAGACATTTTATCCAGATCTAATTTCATGTGTAAAATTAGAAAACATCACTTATTTTGCAACAGTCGTTATATACTTCTTCAAAGCATTTTCATTTGGATTTTTCAAGTACTAATTTGATGTGTGCTTTACACACAAATTAAGAAATTGGTATAAATTTAAACTGTGTTGATATTTTCCTATTATTTAAAGTACAGCAAAACGAAACATCTACTAGAAAAGATAGATCTGTAGATCAGTGACAGAATACTGGAATCAGATTTGTTTTTTAATAAACAATTAGAAAGCTATTGTGCATTTTAAACAGAGTAATCAAACTGCAGGATGCTGATAAAATTTGGATAACTACAGCCTTTGAAGAGGAACCTGACATCATTAAATGTTCTTTTCCTGATCTGAATGTGAGAATGGTCTTTTCCCTGGGCTTATTCAGAACTGTATCTGGAACTTCTTAGTTAAATAAGCCTTTACAGAATTACTGCTTAACTTGCTGTATTTAACTTCTCTCTAGGTTGAGGTCATTCCTTGGATTATAAAGCACATAGGGTGCAATGGCAGATCCCATCCACTGGACCCGGTATCGTTGGCAGCAACTGATGTCTACAGAAGGCAGACAAGAAGGCAGCAGCTCAAGTAACAACTGCTGTCAAGCAAAAAAATCTATTGGCAAACATAGGATAGTGATACCCTGCTTGGGACATTTTAAGGAAGAGTATGAAAAGGTATCAAAACTGTATATGAACAACAAAATACGGACTACTAAATATACTTTACTGAATTTTATACCACGCAATTTATTTGAACAATTTCACAGGTAATTAACTATTTTTGTTTGTGGAAATTCATCTAAAGTGGATTCTTTTTATTTGTGTATGAATATGTATTTTTCCAATCACTTCTGCCTATCACTTCTGAAAAGGTCTGTGTTATGTGTCCAAAGATTGAATATCAACCTTGGACTAATCCTTTCTTCAAAACTTTTGTTATTTCCACTAATTTAGATTAAAATATTATTTACTATTGGAGCACTTCAATTTTTCAATTGATTTCCTTCCCTCACATCTTATCTCTTTTATTTTTTACCCTCCATCCTCCTGCTTGGATAACTGCAGGTTTATAAAGAATGGCTCACTTAAAAATGTCTTATCTAGAAGTTCACCATAGCCTCACTGTGGAAGACATGCCTAGAAGGCAAGGTTGGAATTACAGTAAAATTCTTGCTTGCACCTTCTTATCATGAGTATTAATCAGCCATTCAGCCAACTAATGTATTTGACTGAAGAGAGGAAAATGGAGTCACAGATACTTAGTTCTTTATTTTTTCTTAGCTCCTACTACAATTTCTTCTTACATAAGTAGTCTCTCTACAGCATGGAGTGGGGGAATTAGAAAGGCTGGTAGCACAGTTAACTCTTATGTTTGCTCTTTGTTTCAGAGTTGCCAATTTGTATTTCCTGTTTCTGGTTATTTTAAACTGGGTTCCCCTGGTGGAGGCTTTCCAAAAAGAAATTACAATGCTACCTTTGATAGCAGTTTTGACAGTAATTGCCCTGAAGGATGGTCTGGAAGATTACTCAAAATATAAAATGGATAAGCAGATAAACAACTTACTAACCAAAGTGTATAGCCGGTAAGAGACAACATTCTTCCTGGATAATTATTAAATTGATTCTTCTGGTTTACTCTCTGAATACACATAGAGAAAGAGAATAACTTCGGTTGGAAGAGGACTCTGAAAGTCATCTCTATAGTCTCATACCCTGCTCAAAGCATGCCTTACTAGATCAAATTGCTCAGTGTACAGTTAATGGGTATACAGTCAATAAGTGTACAGAGGTTAGGTTTGTAAGATTATCACAGTGGAAAGATAATCAAAATAAATGGAAATGCTCACCAGTGTCCTAGGCTCACAGTAAACTCCCCAAGGAGCAATCTCCAGAAAGAGACCCTTTCTCAGTAGCAGTCAACACTTAAAAGGGGTCTACAAGAGGTGGAGCCAGGCTCCACCCCTTCCAGTAGCACAGGTGAATTGCCTTCACCTGTGCTCCTATGGCTGACTCATTGCTTGCCTCGTGATCAACAGTTAGTATACACTCAGGAAGTTCTCTAGTCGAGTCTTGATCACTTGTTCAGCTAAACAAATATCAAATTAGCATAAAAATTGCTGAAAAAACTGTTCTTTTGTGGATGCCAGAGCTTTCATATGCTAGTCTGCGCAGCATTAACCAAGGAAATTTTAGTATTATTTTTAATATCTTAAAATTGTTTTGGCATCATTGAAATTCAGTGATTACTATTTCATCATTACAGTGGTGAAAGTCATAAAAGCTATCAGTGTTGTAACTCGGTACTCCTAATGTAATTTCCATGAAGGAAATAAGAACATTTTCCGATGCAGTATTACAGGTGTGATCTCACAAGGATAGAGTAGAGTGGGAGAATGACTTCACTTGACTTCCTAGCTACATTTCTTTTTATGCAGCCTGGGATATGATTTTGGCTGCAAGTTCTTCGTCCACCTGTACCTGCCAAGTCCTTCTTCAAGGGCTGTTCCCAATCCATGCAGCAGCCAGTCTGTACTGATGTTTTGGATTGCCCTAGTCCAGGTGCAGGACTTTGCACTTGGCCTTGTTGAACTTTATGAGGTTCACACATGCCCACTTCTCACACTTCATCACATGTTTCAGGACAGCATTCTTTCTTTCCATTTGAAGTGTCAAATCACCACTCAGTTTGGTGCCATCTGCATACTTGCTGAAGAGTCCTCTCAATCTCAATATCTCTGTAGACAATGAAGGTATTAAACAGCACTGATCTGAATACAGATGCCTGAGAGACACTGCATATCACTGTTCCCTGCCAGGACATTGAGCCATTGAGCACACAACTTCATGTGCTGCAAACACAAATACCTGATATAGCAGCTTTCCTGGAAATATTTTATTCAGACTATAAAAAATTTGAGCTTAAAACAATAAAGTAATTGAGTTGGTAAGATAAGTTATTTTTCTTTTTCATGTCTGCAGAGAAGATTAGGGGACAAGTCAGATAATTTCTGATATGAACTGCAGTATACTCTGAAATAATTCACTGCCAGAAAACAGAGCCATCCACTACACATTAATGACCACTGTTTGTTATTTGCAGTCTCATCAGTGTTAATGAAAGGGAATTAATTTCTGATCTTTTCTATCTTGATTCCTTCCCCAAACAAGTATAATAATTGGTTTCTGTATTAGTAAACAGTAAAAATGTCTTCCTGTTGCTAGCGCTTCTAACTTTTCTTTCTGAACTTCTTTATTACGAATTAACTTTTTTTAAGCAACAATCCCTTACTGCTTCTATGAAACATGTTTGTAATAGAAACTGGTTTCACCATTCTCTCTTGTCCATGACAAAACAGCCCTGTCTTAGCGCCTTGATATATCTACCCGAGCAGCTAGATACTAGTTTTTTGCACTTTTTAGATAAGTTGGACTTGTTTTTTCCCCCTTATTTTTTCTGGCTTATAACAAATGAGTGACATCCATAGTTTCAGAGTTTTGGCTTGCTGCTTTTTATAGTTTTATTCCCAAGCCTGGAATTCACCCATTGAATGTATCAGTATTACTGTACTTAGCCTTTCGTATGCAGAGATTGAGGCTACATTTTCTGGGGAAAATTTCATGGGAAAGTAAGTATATATTTAGGAAAATTGCATGGGAAAGTAAGTATATCAAGTAAAAATAACAGAAAAATCATTGCATACTTTCAATTCCACATTTACTTAATAGATGGTGATTATGAAGAGAAACTGTTGCTGTCTGCTGAGGGTTCATCTCAACACTGGCAGTGGAGAGGCTTTTGCAGTTCTTAGTGAAATACATAGTAGTTACAAAAAAAATGTAAAGATGCACTAGTGTTTTTCCCCTTTACTAAGCTCTAGTAAATAATCACTTCAAGGGTAAATAGAAGTGCTGCTTTGTTACTAAATCTTTATCTCCAAATAGTTTTATAGTTTATCAAATTCTAAGGCTTAATCACTTGAAAAATGCCTGTAGCAATCAGACCCAAAATCTACAGCTTTTAAGCTGAGATTTTATCTTAAAACACAGTGATGTCATTGCTTTCTTTGTTTATGAACTTACTTTGCCTTTTGTTCACCATCCTTACTGTAACTCTTCTAGATGCAAGCAAGCTGTGAACGTAATTTTTTCTTGCTGCTATCAGAAGTTCCCAAATCCTTTCCGTAGCACCTAGGGGATGCAATAAAAGAGTGGTGTTGCGGAGTAACCAGAGCTTTCTGTTCCAGTCAGCATTGTCTCTTTGAACTCACTGTGCCTCTTAGTGGGGAGAATTGGCTACACACACAAAAAAAGTGTAGATATGGTTTTCCATGCTTACAGAATAGCTAGTGACAGCATCTCAAGGAGAAGCATATATTTGGCTGAGGTTGGTTTAATTTTACCTCAGCTTTTGCTTTGCAGTTACTTGGAAAACCATATAATCAACTCTACCTTATTTTCACTAGGGATACTGTTATCAATATATTGGTTAATTACATGGACTTTGTGCCATCTCATTGGAGAAAAGGATTTTTGAAAGGATACTGTCAGGCAACACAGATCTGAAAGGTATGGGTACAAAGCTTGACACAAGAAATGTTTTTTTTATTTTTTTTTTCATCAAGAGCATTTCACCAGCTTAACACTTCAATTAGAACTGGTAGATCAGTCTGCACAGAATTGCCATGTTGTAAAGTTTGTTAGCTTAAGTCTGTACTGTGGAAGCTAGGTGCACTTCCCAGCTTCCTGGTGCAACTGCACTTTTCAGCTAGGTAAGCCAGAGTGAGATTTAGAAAAGGATGCACAACATGAAGATGATCCCAAGACTGTGAAGAGTACATTCTCCTCACTTTAAACATAGCTCTAGGGGTTAGCCTGTGAAAGATATTAAAACCTGCCAATTACCAAGATGTAACACAATGGAAAACATAGCAATGACAGCATAGAAGCAAAGTCCTAGGCTGCAGCAGATGAGGATGTGCTCAAACACAGCAACCGTGGGCACAGAAACAAAGGAAAGAATCCACTTACCTTCAAAAGGCCTCATATACATAGGAATTTTCAGCAAGATACCCTTGTCTCCATTGCCAGCCCTTAAGTGAGATCAGGGAGGGGGTGAATCCTGACTCCACCATTTCCGGTCACTCAGGAGCATTGCATTCACTTGGGCTCTTCTGGGTTGGCCCTGCCTTCCCACCAGGTGCTCAATCACTGTTTCAACCTGTAACTTAGCATTTCTGCTATACAAGGGTAGTAACAATACCAAAAATGTACCGCATCCAGACATGTACAGTGTTTGTATCAGCAACCCTATTTCAGTGGCCTACTATTGTATGCCTCCAGTTAGCTCTTTGTTGCTTGCTATCTCCCTTTGTTGCTGCCTATTCACCACTCTAAACCTGAGTGTGCTTGCAATAAACTGCTGTAATTAAATAAAAAGGACTATTCTTTGTCTCTGTTGAATACGGAAAAGCAGATAGAAATGGAAAGTTGAAGAAGGCACAAACTTCTGTATATCATGCCTGTATTTTTCATAATAATAAAGAATTTCAGCTTTCTTGAGTATTGTAGGTTCTTTGTACCTTATGTCCAAAAACAATGGGAAAATATTTAAAAGCTATAAATACGAGTATTTATGCTTGGAGCATTAGTAAAGCAGTTACTGAATATTCTTTGCTCACTGGTAAATGTTGGAATAGCGAAAGGAATCAAGGGGGTGAGTTTTGAATTGGGCTAACATAATTATGAGAGGGTGACAGGAATGTAATTCCCAGCAAAACAGGTCTGGGACCTCAGAGCTGATCATAGAATCATAGAATAGCTTAAGTTGGAAAAGACTTTGAAGATCATCAAGACCAATCTGAACCTAACCATACTACTCTAACAACCCACCACTAGATCATGTCCCTGAGCACCACAGATTCTTTGTCACCTTGAGCTGTCAGACTGTTGCATCAAAATTCTTAATGACTTGGGAGTAGAAGTTCAGTTTAGGAGTCATTTCCTAGGTACAATCTGTTTCTTTGAGCTTTGAGTTTGGGGTGTTTTTTTCTTTTTCTTTTTTTCTTTTTTCAGTTGTTCTAATGCTTTTATATCCATTTCAGGAAAGAGAAGAAATACATAGATGAATGCTGGAAAAATGTCAATGTTGGAGACTTCATCCGGCTTTCGTGTAATGAAATTATTCCTGCTGACATGGTGCTGTTATATTCCAGTGACCTGGATGGGATCTGTTACATTGAAACTGCAGGTCTTGATGGAGAAACCAATCTAAAACAGAGGCAGGTGGTGAGAGGATATTCAGAGCAGGTGATAATTGTGAATTTCCAGTGGTTTAAGAAAGTTGATGTGTCAGTCAGTCAACAATAAAAACCTTAGTCCTCTATATTGCCCACTGTTCAGCAATCCCCATCTGAAAATGGAATAAGTAGGTGATCTAGTTTTAATTTTTTTGTTGTTATTTTGCAGCAAATCTTTGTCTGCTCACTCAACCCAGAGAAAGAAAGCTCTATTTCAAGTGAAGTAAAACTAACTTTTCAAGTAAACGTCCAGTTGTCATGTATAACACATAGCATTTAGTGGCTTTGAAATTAGAATTTTTTTTGAAGGGAGTTCAGTGCCACATAAAAACAGAGAGGAATAGATGTCTTCTTTTTCACTGTATTTTTAGCTTCAAATCTAGACCTTCAAGGATTTATAAAGCCTTTGGAACTCTTACGATTTTTTTAATGTATACCTCTCAAGACTGAACATCATCAGGTCTTATAGTTTTCACAGTAGTGGTCAGAAATTAGCGCAGTCTTTAGCACACCTGGTAACTGAGTTCTGATACGGAAGCACTGCACTGACACCACAGCAGGGAGATTCAGTGTTATCCGTAAAAACGTGCTGTTAAGAGACTGGAGATAAAATTACCTGAACTGCTTTTGAATTGTTCTGAGAAGGTGTGAAGGAGTACTTTGCTGTTCATTTAGATTTGTTTGTTACTTAACAAGCAGGGTAATATCAAATGCATGATCTGTTAACATTAAGAAAGCTGGTTTTCTTTATCCCGTTCTTTTTTTCTCAATTTTAGAATGAGATAGTCATGCTGTCCCAATAAGTGACAATTTCTTCACCATACAAGACTGTTCATTTTTCCCCTCCAAGGAAAAAAAAAAAAGGCCATCGTTGTGTCCTGTCAGGACTGCACGGTTTCTGATTGTATAGTAGTTAACTTTACAGATCTCTGGTGTCCTGAGAGCTCAGTTCCAGACAGAGACTTTGTCCTCTCAAACTCAGGCTGAATAAGACTGTGGGAGTGCTGTGTATGTAGACAGAGTATGACTGTCTCACTTCTTAGTTTCTCAAGCTCAAAAGAATAGGAAGAACATAAATCAAATTAAAGAACATTTGAAGACAAAAAGGTTGTAACATAATGCAAAAATATTACATTCTGCATTTTTATGACTGAACAAACACAAGCACGAATGTCTTCAATAGGACACTTGTTATTGCCCTTGGGAAGGCAAGGCAACATTAGAGCCTAAAAGAGGAGCTGAAACTCTCGTAGTTAATTTTTTGTCAACTTAGAATAGCATAATTTATTCTTTTTTTTTTTTTTCTGTATGTACCTCAGTGACCACAGGAAAGAAATTAAGAAGGTACTGCAAGAGGCTTATAAACAACAGCTAGCAACAGACAACAAGGCATAGAAGAGTTTTTCCAACCATCTTTTCTTTCCTAGAGAAATAGACAAAAAAATTCAGGACCTTTTTCCTAAGGAGAACAAATTTTTAATGAACAAATTGACATTGCCCTGCTGCTTTTAATTCACTCCACTAAGAAGGAATTAATTTCCTTTTCCCTCACACCTCTTATGATTAGCTCAACCAGACATTTATTGGTGTGAGGAAGCTGACAACCCATTAGCACTAAATCAGTGTGAGCAGTGGTTCCATTTACATTGCAGGAGTGGTCGCAGGACTGCACCGTTCAGTTCCTTCTCAGCCTCTCATGGCCAATGACTGAATACTGTCATAAGTGCAGTATCCTCATATTTAATGCAGGAGAAAGTGCTGTCCTTTTCTTCCAGGCAGCCCAGGAGTCCAATTTGATAAAAGGATTTGCCAGCTCTCCATTTCTACTTTGGCTATATACAGCATTCCTATAGTGTTTTATCAAACCATATATTTTGCCAAGAGTGTTCCACAGCCAAAGCAGCAAGTGTTCCTAAGATACCAGTTTCTCAGCTGATACTTGCTAGGGTTTGATATTTACTAAGAAATCCTGCATAAGTCTGATTTATGTGGGTTGCATGTAGATCATCAACAGCATTAGCAACTTTAAATGTTGAGTTAAATAGTTTGACAGTGATATTTATGAAATTTCCAAGTTCTATCATATCTGGTCTCAGTTGTGTTTTTTTTTTTTTTTTCTCTTTCTATCTTTTTTTTTCTAAATAATTTCAGGTCTCTGAAATTGATCCAGAAAAATTTTCTGGTAGAATAGAATGTGAAAGTCCTAATGATGACCTCAATCACTTTCGAGGCTTTGTGTAAGTACGCTTGGTGGCTCTTTAAACTGGTGTAATTTGCTTTGGTGTTCTTCCTAATTTTCAGAGGGCTTATAATGTTTGCTTTAAAAAATGACAATATGTACATAAGTCAGTGTGCAGCACTATATTTCTGAGTGCAGCCAGGCAGGCAGAGCTCCAGAAGGAATTTCAGAAAACACCTGATTGTGAACTGGGAAAGCCCACTAGCACTTTATATTTTATGTTAAATATTTTCAGCGTCTTAGTTCAGGCTGTTTTGCAACTATATCTACCACATTTGAAATGGCTGCCTTTGATCTGCTGTTAATGACATATGATATCAGTACAGAATTCAGTCTGGACCATAGCTGCTTTGGTCAGAGTTTGAAACAGGAAGATCTGGCTTCCCCTCCTACTCTCATATGTTCTGTGTAACTCTCAGCCATTTATATCAAACTGTGTTACCTTACGTCTGTTTTCTTGTTAAGGGTCTGTACTTTTGTGTGGCCAGTAGGAAAACAAAATAATATTTCATTGAGTGGTTAATTTTCATTTTTTTAGATGTATAATGTCCACATTCTTCCCTGTGGGCAATGGCATGTTAGAAATATGAAGAGAAAATGAAATGCTTTTATTTATCTTTCTCCGAGGAAAAGTCTTGACAAACATGGCTTATCTACATTGAAAATATGGCACGGATAACAGCATTTACAGTACTTTTGAAATGGGATTTATAATTTTTTAAAAAATTTTTCTAATGCTGGCCATCCAAATAGAAGTCATCTGCTTTCAGACTGTATTTGCCCTGCGCTCATTTCAGCAGGGTTGCCTGTTCCTCAAATGCCAACATGGCAGATGCCATGCACGTGAACATTTTAATGCAGTGCTCAGATGCCTAGAATTTTGGAGGTGATCTTGCATGCATGTTACTCTCTTCCTTTGAAAAGTCCAATCAGAAGCATCAGTGAGGTAGTCTGTGACAGGTAGCTTCTCTTGGCAATTTGCTCCCTAACGTTTTTTCAAAACCTGACTGGTAATTGCTGAAGTTCTGCAGCCAAATTAATGTGCAAATTAATGTGTTCTGTTTTTTTTTTTTTCCAGTGAGAATTCAAGCAAGGATCGAGTGGGCCTCAGCAAGGAGAACTTATTGCTGCGAGGATGCACAGTAAGAAATACAGAAGCTGTTGTAGGCATTGTGGTATATGCAGGTTAGTGAACCACCCTGGCCTTCTCAGATTGCCTTTGCAAGGTGGATGGAATTATGTGCTTTAAGAAGCACTATTGCACAGAGGCAAAGTAGACAATTAAAAGATTGAAACCAGCAGAAGGCAGCCTTAGATTGAAGCATTAAGAATGCAAATCTGAACTGTTTGTTTTGGTTTTAAAAATGCAAAAGGTTGATATGTCTGATTATTCATGGGAAGCCTGCTCTGTTCTGTGTACAGGTCCTCAACTGTTAACTACAGTGACAAATCAAGGTTTTGAAATGAAAGTGGGGATAGCTGCCTTTGTTAGGATTTTTTCTGGTCCAGAATTGAAGTTAATGCTGTTCTAAAGTCGAAGTGCTGAAGTTTTAAGACTAGACATTATAATGTATTCAGGCAGATAATTGTAATGCAGGTGCAGAATTTTGTAGAAAATATTAGAGACTGTATCAAAACCTTCAGGAAGGAATATAATATTAATATTATTTACAATATAAAAGATAATATATGGCTGAGCAATTATGGTTTAGCTTTTTTAGTTTTCTTTAAGACTACTACTTTAGGAGCAGTTAGTTTGTTCATATTTATATTCTCTTTTCACATATTAGTTAACAGTAATGTCCAATTTCCCAGAGCTTTAGAAATATAAAGGACTTTTGATTTTCATACTTGCAAATAGAGAATTTCAACCATTGTTGTGATTACAGGTCATGAAACCAAAGCCATGCTGAATAACAGTGGACCTCATTACAAGCGCAGTAAATTGGAAAGAAAAGTGAATTCTGATATTCTGTGGTGTGTTCTGCTTCTAATTTTAATGTGTTTAACAGGTGCAATTGGTAAGTGTGAACGTGCAAACTCCTGCTGCTTTCCCCTCTCAGCTTTGGTGTTTTAATTTGGGGCCAATTCATTTCAGTAGCCTATTTCAGAAACTGCCTTTCTCCATATCTAATTCTTTATCAGCAGGGGATGCTGCCAAGTTTTAGTTTATGTTGTCATGTTTAATCAGTAACTGGTCAATGGGTATGTTCCTAGTGTGAGTTCTTAAGTTTAAAACCTGCTTTTCCAATTGATTTTCTCATTTCTCTCACTAATTGCACTCTAACACTTGTGCTTTGTATTAGTTTGGTTGAGGTAAAATGAAATGCTTGTACAGTATTGCAGGGAGAGGCCTAGTTTGAGTAGTAATAAGGACTTTCTATTTTAGGGTTTTACGAAATAGCTTGAGTACTAAAGTTCAAAAAGAATACATTATATAATGAACCAAATGAGTGCTTAAAAGGTGTTTAAAAAACTTTGTCAACTTACACTAAATAGACATGTCTGGCATCACAATATGGCTTAAACATAAACATAAACATAAACAAAAACTGGGCTTGTGATTTATACTATTTCTTTTCTGCGACAGTATTTGTCTCACAGTGCTGTAAAGTGACCAGGGTGGCTTCATGACATACCACAGCTGAAAGGTGGAAAAGCAAAGATCAGAAATTTAATAACTAGAGTTTAGGGTAGGAAAAAGAGAATGCTTATGAAACATAGCTAGTATTCCATTAGTTTTGAGATGGGTTGCATAGATGTACTATTGACACAACTGCAGTAAAACATTTTTTCATGTGTGCACTGATACTTCATGCATTTTAGTGGGGCTCCTATTGAGGAAAATTCTTCTCTGGAAGCTTAGAAATACCTAAACTGTTGTACAGTCAACGTAACTGATTCAGTTGTTCTTATTTTCTAGGCCATGGAATTTGGTTAAGTAGGTATTCAGAAATACCTTTTTTTAACATCTCTGAACCAGATGGCAAATCGATTTCTTCTGTGTTAGCAGGGTTCAATATGTTCTGGACAATGATCATTTTATTACAGGTAACTTTGGTCTGTTTTGAGCCATATTCTGATCTCACTGATGTCCTTGAAGTAACTCTGGTTTCAGAAGAGTTAACTCATGTTTGCATGTGGCTAAAGAGTTTGGTCTCTTTTAATCTTTGTGTTTTGTTTCAATAGGTCTTGATTCCTATTTCTCTGTATGTTTCAATTGAAATTGTCAAACTGGGACAAATTTATTTAATACAGAATGACATTGATTTTTACCATGAGAAAACAGACTCTACAATTCAGTGTCGAGCACTGAATATTGCTGAAGACCTTGGCCAGATTCAGTATATCTTCTCAGACAAGACTGGAACACTCACTGAAAATAAGATGGTTTTTCGGAGGTGCAGCATTGCAGGACAGGAGTATTGCCATGAAGAAAATGGTAAGGTGCTAAATCCATGCTTGTGGTAGTCCTTTTCCCATTCTCAGAGAAACTTCAAGTTGTGATGAAGACGGGTGTTTCTGAGGTTTGTGTGGCAATGTGTACTTACAGAAGCTGTGGATTTAGTCTGGTCTTATTTGGATCTTTCCCTATTTGGATCACTTCATGTGCAGCATACAGAGACTTGAAATTGTATGTGAGGTGCTACTTCACAGATAGTTAAGCCTGTGCATATTTGAGACCAAACACAGAATGCTCTTTACTTTCTGACATAGCTACATAAAGTGTTTGATTCAGCTACCTGTTTTATTAACTAGATAAAAACACAGAGATTTTACTATTATTACTGTATATTAACTGCATACATTTGCTCTTTCACTGGTAAAAATCAAAGATGAAGTGCTGACAGGTGGATAGACCAATTACAACTATGTATTAACCACTCTCCGTGGTTTTGCTGCCAGATGGAACTGCTCAGTTTCTGCAAGCAACGGGCACACCCTGCTGGTCTCAGAGTGCATGGGTTCTTCTTTTGTTCACAGTCACAGCAACTGATGGTTATAAATCATTTTAACAGCAAGTTCTTCACATATTTTGAAAATCATGTGATGTAGGTTTCACAATGGTTCTTTGGCTTTGTGTAATTATACTGGGAAGGAGGATATCACAAGAGCAAAGTGAAAAGAAATATATTTTAAGTTTAGAATTTGATGAATGAATAAGTTAAATTAAAAAGTAGAATATATTTTCAGAGCACTTCTTCAAGAAATGAAAAGTGTTTTAGAAGAGATGAGTTGTGACTGATCTAAGTCTCTTTGTTCTTGGCATATGTCTGCCACTTACTTCTATTACTTACTTCCCTAAGAATTCACTTTTCTTCCAGTAGTATCAGTGTGTTAATTATGTTTATAATTATTTCCTATTGTACCCTGGCTTTTATTTGGAGATAAAGCATGTCCTTCCTAACAAATCTAGAAATTGTGTGCCCTGAAAATCAATCTGAAAAATGTTGGAGGTCCTATGTTTAACACTAATTTTCCTTTGGTCAGTTGCACAAAGTTGCCATTTGGCTGGCTCCTACTGCATGCAGTAAGAGATACACTACAAAGCAGTTCAGCCTTTTGCATATGACTCACTTAGTCTGTACGTATATTTCTGTATTTGTATCTCTGTTGCCCAGAACAAAGGACAACAGAGATTTTACTCCGTTGTAGTAAAATCCTCTATGTAGGTGTCCATATGCAGTGCTATATCTAAATCAACTTGTGCTTTTTAGGCTATGTCAGCAGAGCACTGTGGTATTACAGGAGGTGCCACCTATGTTACTTCAGCCAGGGTGTATCTCCTTGGCAGGCAGGGAGCATAAGTGGAATAGATGCATGTTGTCTAGATCTGGCTGTGCAGACATACTGCTGTCTTTTTGAATTTTTTAATGTGTTTTCAGTACTTCAGTTGGTGGCCAGTTCACTACCTTCTTGTGCATTTTGTTCTAGTGTTTCATGTCTTGTTGGACAAAGATTTTCTGTTATCTAATCTGTCTTATCACAGCATAGAAATATTGTGTCTCCTATTACCTACAGTGTGCCAAGAAAACAGATTAATTCCTTTTTCTGTGCAATTCCACTTTTTGTACTTGAAAGCTGTTATTCGGTTCGCAGCAATGTTCTCTTCTAAAATCTTTGTAACCAGCTTACTATAGTGTTTCTGTGATTGTTCTTTCTCTCTCTTCTGGATTCTCTCCAGGAGAGCAGCACTCTTGAAGTGCAGCGTCGCGAATGGCAAGTCAGTGTGATTACTTATTATGGTTTGATATTTTAGAAAGAGTGGATTTTACTTAATTGGATACTAAATTCCTTATTTTAAATTAAGTTTTATTTTAGACAAATTTCTTTTTGCTCACAGAATAATAATTTTATTTCTTTAGCAAAGAGGTTGGAATCCTATCAAGAGAAGGATTTGAAAGATGAGGATTCAGCTGAAGGTCCTTGTGCCTCTCTGGGCCACACATTAAAATGGAGGGGACACGACTGTGGAGCCGAGAATGAATCTTTGAACAGAAAGTCTTCAAATCTGTTATCTGGTATTTACCCTGAATTAGGAAGGGAGCGTTCATCAGGTGATGCTCCCTGCTCAGGACATGTTGCTTTCAGCAGCTGCATTGTAAGTAAAAGTTATTAGTTTTGGTAATGAATTTTTGAAGTAACTAGTGAAGGAACATCTTTTTACTCCCATTTTAATAATTAAGAGTGCTTGAAATTTAAGACATTCTTTGTCTTCCATCAAAATTAGACCTTCCATTGTTGCTTGGGTGCAGCCTACTTGCAAGCTGATGTTGCAGATATTTATTGGATTACAAAGATGTGTTGTTTGGATCTTGCTGGTGTGATTTCATGATCACTCTGCTTAAATGACAGGCTTTATTTTCAATAAAAGTTTGTTCCTTTGCCTTAAAAAGCATTTTACTTTGCTTTCAATAGGAAATATCTAGATAAACAATATTAATCCTACTGCATTTAGTGGAGATTACTAGGATTAAAAACATCTGTGTCTGATTTTACTGCCAGAGACCTAGACTATTTTGCAATTTTCTGCCATTAATTTCTCAAGTCTCTGGTAGCAGCGTCTGGGGAATGATTATTTTCTCCTCATGTATGAGCTCTATATATAAAATAAGTCTGGAATCAACTTGCGACTCTGAAATGGTATGAACTGGAAATCCATTTGGGATTGCCAGGGTTTATATCCTAATTCACAGCTTTGTTTGTTTAATCCATAGGAAACAGATGTTGTACCAGATACACAACTGCTGGAGAAATTTAGACGTGTTTCTTCTCTTTCCTATCAAGAATCAGAAGACGGTATCAGCAAGTTAGGTTTGGAGACAATGTACATCACTGACTTCTTTCTTGCTCTGGCAATCTGTAATACTGTTGTTGTTTCAATCCCCAATCAGCCACGTCAGAAGGTAAGAAGATATTATATTTGTCTATATCAACTATTTATAAAAGAGTTTCCTTTAGTTTGATTGCAAAAGGAGAAAAAAATAACTGGTATTCAGGATCTGAACCTGTAAGTTTGGTGCTTCTTAACTTTCACAATATATATTTTGAGATTAAACTGCAGTTATGGGTTGTTGGGTTTTTTTGCTGTATTCTATTATCTTTTACCAGATATGTGCACAGCTTCCTTTAAGAGTGCCCTAACACTCAAGTTACCTTTACAAATAAGTTATTGTTCGCTAAAAAAAATGAATAATCTTGGAAGACTTCTAAAATATTGGAACTGAAAAAGCTCTTACCTGTTACTAGACTATATTCAAATAGAATTCCAGAAAGAGTATGGAGGATCAAGTTCAATGTGTGTAATAATTTGAAGAAAAAAAATGCTTGGCAATATGGTTAGTATAAGGTGGTCTCATCTTCAATGTACAGTGCATTTGTTAGACTGTCCTGGTTTAATAATCAAGAGACTTTTAATGTTTCCCTGAAACCACTCCTTATTTTCAGAGCACGCATCTAGTATTTATTATTTATTTAAATATATTGCTTTCATTTTAAAATCAGTTGACTTTTTTTCAAGGTGGGATTTTCATAAACCCATCTTCTACCTAATTTGATTGTGTGGCAGGATAATCCCAGAGTTCAGCATTGATTTTTCTCCCCACAAAAATGATAAAGATTTGTTGACTTCACCTTTTGAAAAAAAAGTAAAAAAAATTGTGTTATGTACAGGAATAGTTTTTGGTGCTTAAGTAAGGTAGTGCATGTACATGTATGGCTGGAGATGTTTCCATAAGGTACCCTGTGGAGAATAAAGTACCACATATATATAAAATGGCTATTGTTATAGTGTCCTTCCAGACAAGTCCACATAGTAGGCTGCCTGCTGTGAACACATGGATGGGGCATCTGCATTAGTAAATACTAACCTCCACCTGTGAGTTTTTCATTTCTTAGAGAATAATATTTCTGGATGACTTTTAGAAGGGGAGATGTCCAAGTCAGTTGTAGCTGGGTTGGAAGGAGCAATATATGGCATAAGGATTATGAGTTCAGTTGGGGAATGATAATGACAAAGGCAAGAAGTTTTCAGTGTTTCCTTAGGGAGAGAAGGTGAAGGAATGTTCCTAGTCGGTGTCTCTGTGATGCTGAATAAAGAGACACGTTACAACTTGCATGCAACTGGGATAGAATTGAAGCAGGAATCTTTTATTTCTTGATTCTTGAGAGTGCTTGTCTTTTGTTTTCAATTCTGACCAAAAAAGTTTTGGTGAAGTACTGTATTTTTAGCATTACTAGTAGCTAGTCACTGTAAGAAGTAAGGAGCTGGTTTATTCTCTGCAGCTATCTTGCCAATTGAGAACAAGTATCTAATTCCATTCACCACAACTTCTAAAAGTTCCATTGCTTAGACATTTCTAGAAAAAATTATTACATGGAGTCATGAATCAAACTGGCAATACATGCAGTTTTCAGATCTGAAGTACTTTTTACAATTTGTGTGGTTTGAACAGGTGAAGCTCTCACAGAGCTGTTTGGTGTACTTATATGGTAATATGTTTAATTGAGCTGGCTATTTTTAATACAAGTGATCAAAATGATCATAACTTTTCAAATTTTCATTATGAAACATGCGTGGTTTGTAAGCTGTCTTTCTTTAATTAAATAACATATGAAGACTTAATACTTTCTCTGACTGTTCTGTTGCAGATGAGACGCTCTTCACTGGGAAGAATGCCTATTAAATCCCTTGAGGAAATCAGGCAGATGTTCCAGAGGTTGTCAGTCCGTAGACTAAGTTCGTCCCCACTTCCAAGTATAAAAGAGTCATCATCTGAAAACCCAAACAGTTTTGTGAGCAAACTGCCTATTTTCAGAATGAAACCGGCTTCACCTGCTTTGGATGGGGCTGCTCAAAATGCTGCTGAACCTCACAATCTGAACAGCCCAGAAAATCCCCAGTTACCCAAAGAATGTTATACAGTGAATGTAGCTGCTGGCTGTGAAACCCATGGTGCTGAGTCATCTGCTGAATGGTCTCCCTTACCTAAGCTTTGTTATGAAGCTGAAAGTCCAGACGAAGCTGCCTTGGTCCATGCTGCTAAGGCTTATAAATGTATTTTACAGTCTAGGACTCCTGATCAAGTAACTGTGGATTTTGCAGATCTGGGATCTTTAACATTTCAGCTTTTGCATATCCTGCCTTTTGACTCAGTGCGAAAAAGGATGTCAGTAGTGGTTCGGCATCCAGTCTCCAACCGAGTGGTGGTGTACACGAAAGGTGCAGACTCAGTCATGATGGATTTGTTGGGAACTGCATCTGAAGGTATTTGTCGAACTTTTAATTCTTTGTTCACCTTTATCATTCTTCGGTATAGTTGACTGCATGCCCTGATTTGTAAGAATAGTCGAGTAACCAAGCAGAACTACTATCTCTGAGTTGCTTTTAGGAAAACCCATAAAGGTATTACAGCTTCTCACCTACATATGGCTGTGCTGTATGCCATTCTGGAAACTGAGAACAGAAAACTAGCAGTAATTCAGAGATTTTGTGGTGTCTAAGCAGACCTCTTGGAGCCAACTGTAGTATTTCCAGTCATAAAATAAGGTTGTCTGCTGAAATAGTTGTCTCCTGCTGTGCTGTGAGAGGTGTTTATTGGGATGAGATACTTTCATTGCTTTTTGACTGTTCTTATTTTTTCTGGATTATCAACTATTTCTGTGTTTCTAGATGTGTTAATAATATCCTGTGCCTGCAAAATTGTGTGCTGCCTCCTGCTGGGTGCTGTTGTTTTTGGGTAAAGGTTCTTGGAATCTGCTACAGAAGGAACATGCTGTGTTACTTAAGCACTAATCATGATTTATTCATACGCTGTATCAGGCAGTCATTGATTTATAACTGAAGGCATGTTATCTGTGCATGTAAGAAACATGTCCCTGCATATATTTAAGGTCAGATGTTACAGGGTCTTTTTTAATGGTTGGGAAGGTAATGGAATTTACAGGTTTACTATCTGCAAGGTAGAACTTAGTTTTCATGTTCTGTGGTTTATCTCAGTGAGGAAGTGGGATGTGTATAGTTCCACAAGCATATTTTAGCCCAGCACTAGCCAAGTAAGATCTAGACAGAAAGCCTCTGCAGGCAGTGAGGTAGAAAAGGAGCCTCCAAAGTCTGTCTATGGGGCATAATTTCATGTCTGGAGATACCTCTTCTTACTTTGGCTCTCAGGGTAAACTTGCAATCTAACTTCTACATGTCTGAAGTTAGATGAGTTAATCACCTCTCTGAATAGTCCATGCATTAATGATTGAAAACAAACAAAAAAAAAAAACAAACAAACAAAAAAAAACACAGCTTTTCTGTGGTAGCCCTTCTGGCTCCCTCCCAGTGTATCAGAGAGAACAAAGTTACTTTGATGTCTTGTGGCCCAGTTCATTTTAGAAGGTGATTTCATGTTAGAAAGACACTTTGATATGCTAGTATATATGAAGGCATATATGAGTGCCAGACTGGTTCCCCTCACTGCTTGTGCAGACTGACCCTCTCCACGCGTTCTAAAGATACAGCCACGGTATACTGTGCAAACGTGAAGGTATGTTCAGAGTTAAAATAAAACCTGTAAATATTTTGGGATTTTTAAACCATATTTAGACCTTCAAAATTTTCCAGTAAATTTACTCTAAGACTGAATATTTAATTTATTTTACTTTTTATATAATGGTAGATACCAAGAATTCAGAAATGGAAAAGAAGAACATTAAAGAAAGAACCCAGAATCATCTGGATGACTATGCCAGAAAGGGACTGCGCACTCTTTGTATTGCTAAAAAGGTGGGGTTTTTTATGTGTACTTTTAAGAATGTTTACAGTCAATGATGAGCAGGAGTTTTTTTTCGAATGGAACAGATATAACCACTTATAGACCAGATGTTCTCATTGCCACATTTCATTTATCCTTACTTTTTTTCAGGAGGAATTTGTACGTTTACACAAAAAAAAATTCTGTCTTCAGTTAAATTCACATACCTGTTGTCACTTTAGGATGCCAGACAGTTTTAATAGCCTAATTCTAGGACAAGGGATGTAAAATGTCCTGATTTTCTTACATGAGTCCTGAGCGGCTCTCCTCATGTGAACCTTGCCCTGGTTGGAATTTTTTTCTGGATACAGAAAACAAATGTAGTCAGACCTGTCTTATTGGGTCTCGCACTGTCTGTGGTGTTATAGGATTTGTAGGCAAAACTATGTGATGTTATGAGATTCCATTATAAATTCAAAACTGATCAGAAGTAAAATTCCATAACAACTGAAACAGGAAGGGAAACTCTCATGCAAAGTGAAAGCATGGGCTGTGTAACTGTATAGGCATCAAGCTGTACCAAGCTGTGCAGTGATTCTGTGCCTGTGTCTATGAGGCAATTAAAGAACAGTAAAGAGGTTATTATGTTCCTTGGCCTCCTTGCCTTCCATATAAATGAAAATATATCAGGCAACTCCAGGTGCCTGCAAGCTTTTGGTTAGCAGCCTGACCTATGAATCATACTAAGTCTGTAGACACACCAGGGTACACATATAACTGCTCTGGCAGGGCTGCGAAAGGTTTAGTATACGGATAACAGAGATGGCTCTGAGGGATGCTCTTGTAGTACATTTGAAGTGAAATCTAGACACATCTGTGTTTTCTCTCCCTCTGCAGGTGATGAGTGATGAAGAATATACAGAGTGGTTAAATAATCATTTTTTAGCAGAAACCAGCATTGACAATAGGGAGGAGCTGCTGCTGGAATCCGCCATCCGGCTTGAAACCAAACTAACTTTGCTTGGTAGGTAAGGTGCTGTAAATGCTTTAACTCACAGCTGTAAATGCTGTAACTCACAGGAAACCCCTTATGATGGTTATAATCTGAATTCGCTGTATGAACCTCTATTTGTATAATATATAGCTTTCTACACATCTAGAATTTGTTGACACTCGTGGGTGTACATAAATCTTGCTGCACATTTGTTATTGTTGCAGAACCTACTGAAGACAGCTTGTGATCTTCTGTTGTTTGTAAGGCACAATATTTTACTTTTTTTCTGTGTGCACCAGAGTTTTTGTGTGTCATCAGAATAAGCATGTGAAACGATGGCAACTAATAACAAGATCACTTCTGGACATTTTTTATGCTATTGTTGAATTTTGGGTGGGGTAGGTACGCATAGTGAAACTGGCTCCTGTTGGAGTAAGAAGGGATCGCATACCTCGAGAAGGGAGAGCAAAGTGTTTAGAGTGCCCAGGCTGAAACAACTCCTTTCCTCTCTTCTCTTGATGTCTGTCAGAGAAGCTTGCATCCAAAAAATTCCAGCATCTTCCTTTATGGAACTATTTTGACTTTTGACTTGAATCAAAATGCTAGCAGAGTGCAGAGCAAAGGATTTTCGTTTTCCAGGTGGCTAATGGACATCACCAGTTTGCTTGATTTCTTGGCCCTTGTCCATCCTCATAAGACAGTGTGCTTTAAATACAAATTGCTCATTAGAATCTCTCCTTACTAGAAACACTTTAAGAGAGAAAACTTTACTGGTGATTATTGTATTGTTTATTTGTCAAAATGACTCTAGCTGCAAGTGGCTGAAGTTTGGGTTTTTTTATAAACTTTCTCAGCCTGAACATCCCACAGCCCAAGCCATGTCTTCTGGTTATAATTTAGTACTGAAAATGTCCTGTACCACATCATAGGCATTGGTGCTTTTCAGCAGTGCTTAGTGTGATGTGTTACTTTGTCATTAACAGAGCAAATGATTTTGTAAGCTCATTTGAGGATACAAGTATGCATGCTTCGTATATTGTAGAAGAGGATATCACTGTTAAACATTCTTTTTTTTTTTTTTTGTCAAAACTTTTTCTGTAACTGGTAAGATGCAACGCAGTGAGTTTTACATACTGTAAGCTGATCAAATATTCCATTCTCCTATTGTTTTTAATTCCGAATGCACAACATGATGTCTGGAATGTGGATACACACAGGGACTCTCTTGTCCTGTCACACTTGCAGACTTGGTTCTTGAAATACAGCAGTGCTAATCCATCTGCTTGTCTAAATAAAGGTGCCACTGGCATTGAAGATCGCCTGCAGGATGGTGTTCCAGACACAATACAGGCATTACGGAAAGCAGGAATAAAAATATGGATGCTGACAGGTGACAAGAGAGAGACAGCTGTCAACATCGCCTATGCTTGTAAATTGCTGGAGCCCGATGACAGAATCTTCACGCTCAAATCACAAAGTAGAGTGAGTAGAAAATTACACTTTTTTTAGTGTTCCAGAGGGTGTTTTATTTTGTTTCCTCTGCCAAAAAAAAAAAAAAAAAAAAAAAAAGCCATCAGGCAATATCACAGGACTGCATGGGAAAATAATATATTCTCTGTTTTCTCATCTCACAAAAGATAGTATAATCACTTGGAAGATGAAAATATTCGAAAGCTGACTTTTTTTTCCCAATGGGTAAAATATAAAATACTATATCTAGTGTCTGTTTCTGTACATATTCCATCAGTTGTCACTCTTTTAACTGATTGCTTAATTTCTCTTTATGCTAGGAGATAAAGTTGTCCTGCATCATATTCTATTAGATATTTCAGGTGGCTGTAAGTTTACAGTGTATTAGCAATATAGGAATTATTGCCATGAAAATGATCAAATTAGGTTGTGTGCTACTTTGTCATATTCTCCCTCAACTGTGCCTTTTTTTTTTCTGATTGTCTTTTAATATTTTTCTAAAATGTTTCAGTGTTTTCCCTTCTTCTAGTACAACACCCAAACCAATCTACTCAATGACCCACAATTTAGCTTTGCTTTTACCCTCTGTACTGCATCCTTTGTGATTTTAAAGGGTTATTCAGCCTCATGTCTGAATCCCTTTATATTCTACAAAGTGGGAGAAATACATTGCACATTGATAGCAACTGGCATTTTCTCCATATTTCCTTTGTAAATTGGAAAGGGAGCCAGAATACAAACAGTGTTTAGTAAGTTGCTTTTCTCTTGTCTTTAGGATGCTTGTGCTTTGGTGATGAACAGTATTTTAGAACACATGCAAAAAAACACTGCTGAGCAAAAAAAAGTAAATCAGAAACTTGGGAATGCCTCTGCAAGTCCTTCTACCCAAGCTCAAGGCTTCAGCGCAGGCCTGGTTATTGATGGAAGGACTTTAGAGCATGTCCTTCAGGACAGCCTGCAGAATGTTTTCTTGGAGCTCACAGAAAAATGTCGAGCTGTAGTCTGCTGCCAAGCCACACCACTGCAGAAGAGTGTGCTGGTCAGACTGGTGCGAAATAAGCTGAAGGCAATGACGTTAGCTGTAGGTGAGTCTCATGGTTTCCTTCTTTTCTCTGAGAAGCAGAAGGCAGTTTCTTCTCTCCTTTATTTTTCCCAACGTCCTTTACAAAATTAAATTACAAGGAAGATAATCCTTTGAGTAATAGTTGTCTTTAGCATTACATGATGACAGTCTTTTAAGCTACCAAATTTAGTCTGTGCTTGGTAATCTAAAGCAGCAAAGAATAGCAGTAGTCATGTACAGCATTATGTGATGTGCGCAAGTTAAGTGAGGGGATTTTCGTCATTGTTCTCCATCACAGTCCCTGAAATAGTGAGGGAGAAGGGAAATTACTATGATTTATCCATATTTTCTGACATCCATATTTTCTGTCCAAGCGTACTGACTAAAATTCTGACAAAAGGAGCAGCTAATATCCATTTGAAGAATATTGCTCAGCTCAGTCAGGCCTACTAGACTCTTTCTTTTCATAGGGTATTCCATAGGCTACATTGCTGGCTATGAAAATGATTTTCTCTGAATTTTGTGGTGTTATGTCTATGTATCTGTGCTACCTCCATGGCAACGTGATAGCCAGTAAAGCTGCTTCCAGGTTGTGTTTCAACTAACTTAAGAGAGCTTAGTTATTATTTCTTTACTTTTCTCTGTAGGTGATGGTGCCAATGATGTCAGTATGATCCAGGTAGCTGACACTGGTGTGGGAATCTTGGGCCAAGAAGGCATGCAGGTAAAGTGTACAAGACAGACACAAGTGACATTGGATTCCATTTCAAATCTGTTCAACATTCACTCTGGAGGCCCAGCAGCTCCACAGCCCATTGCTGTATTTGAGGGAAAGTGTGCAAGCCCCTGCACTTATCTGGGAGAGCTCAGAAGCTGAAGGGTGCACTCCCCATTTTGTATCTGGGCTACTTGTTTCATGGCATGAAGTATCAGTGATTTCTTTGGAGCTGCTGATGTTGCTTCAGATCTCAATAAGGCAAGGCTCGTATGCGCTATATATATTAAAAAACATAAGAGTTTCCAGCGTTATATCAGTTGTTTGCTGATCAGTATTGAAGCTCATTGTTAGCAGTTTGGATATATCAGTTCTTTCCTTTATGCATGTTCCAGGCTGTGATGGCAAGTGACTTTGCAATTTCTCAGTTCAGGCATCTCAGGAAGCTGCTGCTTGTCCATGGTCACTGGTGTTACACCAGGCTTACCAACATGATACTCTACTTCTTCTACAAAAATGTGGTATGTAGCTGTCCTGTCCTAGGGAAAGCAGTTTGCTTATTTGACAGTACTGAAGACTCTAGTATGGCTTCATATTATATTTTAGTTTCTGTTGTGAATGGGTTCAAAAATATGCAGAGAGTGTGTGACAAACAACTTTGTTTCCCATTTACATCTTCAGAGACTAGACTCTCCCATTGCTTGAACTGGGTTTCCTACTGAAAGCCATTGTCTAATTTGTTTAAAAAGTGGATAGCAGGCATTAATTAACATACTCATAGCATGAATATTTAAACAAGCCATGTAGCCAGTTTGGAAATGTAAAGATGTGCGCTAGCCAAATATAATTTCAAGGTATGGGATTGGCAGGGACTCTATAGCAGTTATACATAATTTTTCACAGATTACTGTAACCAGACCTACAACCTGCCTATTTTCCTCTTGATTTTTAAAACACTTGTCTACAGGTAACATTTTATCATCTCATCATTGACTTTTCAGGCCTACGTGAACCTCTTATTCTGGTACCAGTTCTTCTGTGGGTTTTCAGGCACATCAATGACTGACTATTGGATCTTGATTTTTTTCAATCTCCTTTTTACATCGGTGCCACCCATCATTTACGGTGTCTTGGACAAAGATGTGTCTGCAGAGATACTCATGCAGATCCCACAGCTGTATAAGATGAGCCAGAAATCTGTGGTGGGTTTTTAAAACATTTATCAAAGTTTTTCTCTTTTTGCCCAGCTCAATATTGTCTTGCTCTGTGGTTATAATTGTTAAGTAGTATATCATTTCTTTCCTTTCATGAAAGCACAATGTAATAACTGCTTTGAATTAAACGTACTATAAAAGAAAGATCACTGCTTTAAAAAATGTGTCATAATGTTGCACCACTATGTCATAAGCACAGCTCTTTACAAGCTATAAAAGTAGACAGTAGCTTGGATTTATCTTCACTGATTTAGAGCACCGCCCTGACATGGGCAAATGAGGAATCTACTTTCCCACACCATTTCCAGAGAGAAATTCAGTTCATGAAAGGGCTGAATTGCTTTTTGGAGTGACCCATTTGTCCTTACTAATGAGAGAGGAAATCCTGAATGAGTAGACTGTGCATCTGCGTGCCTCAATTGATTGTTTGAAGGAATGGAAAATACCTAAGCCAGGGCACATGCAGTTATAGTTTCATCAGTTTGCTGCCACTGAATGGAGAAGCCTCATTCCTCTGCGTTGTCTCCCTTCTTTCCTTCCCATTCCCTATTTTCACCCTTGTAGTTAGATCACCTCCCTTGTGCCAGTTCTGCTGTTCATGTTTCCTTCAGGAGCTGACGTAACTCACTACAACAGCATAGTTGTAGTGAGATTCCCAGCAGAAAATGTCACATCCCACTTTTAAGGGGAGGATGACCAGGGAAAAATGATTTTTCGTATTCTAGTGAATTTAGTTACCTCCCATTAAAGTCCTATATGCACAGAGGAGTAAATGAGCAAAAATTAAAAGACAGAAGGAGACGTACAAAAAGGAAGGGAATGGAGGTGGGAGGAACATGAGACTTGGCATTCAATGATAGCAAGTTGTGAGGGTGATTCACTGTTCCATTGCACTCTTCCTTCCTTATCACTCAGGTAAGACTTTGGCAGGTCAATTCTAGGAGGAACAACTGTAAGATTAGAGCTCACAGATCTGGCTGCTGATTTAAATTATAGCAGCTAGCTATGTATGCATCTTCCTATTGTGCCATAAAAGTATGTCTCTTCATGGGGAAGCCAGCTGGAGTTATTCTGTGGATTATCTTTCCTCAAGTCCAGCTGGATGCATTAACAAAGCTGCAGCAATTCGTTGAATTTGTTTCAATGCCATTATCTTTGTTTGTTTGTTTGTTTGTTTTTTCTTACAGGCCTACTTGCCTTCAACCTTTTGGATAACCTTGCTGGATGCTTTTTACCAAAGTCTTGCTTGCTTTTTTGTGCCTTACTTCGTAAGTGCTGGATATTAAATTTATGCACTTTGGCATACTAAAAACTCAGGCAAATTAGAATAAAATGTAGTTTTTGATTGTACTTCGTGGTATACGAATGAATAGTAGCAGATTTGTCAATGGAACTGAGTTGAACTGTGCATGCAATATGTCCAGTATTTTAATAAATCATGCCACTTTACATATAAAACTATATATCAACTATATAGAACTACGTAGAACTATACATCAAGGATATTACACTGACTGTATGGTATACTGTCTTCCTTTACAGACTTACTATGGCTCAGACATAGACATTTTTTCTTTTGGAAACCCTATAAACACAGCAGCACTTTTTATAATATTGTTTCACCTTCTCATTGAGTGCAAATCCGTGGTGAGTACTTTGTTTTCTGAAGAGTACGTTCCTCAACAGAACGTCTATGCAGCTTTCATTAAAATTTATGGAAGAGAGCTTAGTACACAAAACTGAATAAGTATAAGAGAGTTAGAGGTGAAATATTTCCTTCATAAGTCTCTGTAAGCTCTCCTAAGAAAGCTGTCATTGGAGCCAACAGAATTACTTATGTGACTAAAATTAACAAAATTTGATCTCAGGATTATTTAATAATGAGGGATCCTGCCTTATTAGGAGTCAGTGGGTTTGGGGGGGTGTCACTGATTTGGCAAATGGTAAAACCAACTGGTGATCTGCTTGAGCCTCCATAAGTTCCCAAAGCTTGCTTCTCATAAAAAACAATGTTAGCTATTGATTTTTGAATACTTGAAATGGATGATCTGCTCTAGAGAACCAGTATGTTATGAAACTGTATTCCAGCTTTCACTTGTCTGTGTAAAGTAAAATACCTGTTCATAGATGCTGCATTATTTTGGATGAATTTAAAGCTTTTACAAGGGTAACATTTACCCATTAGACATAATTTTAAGGAGAATATACTAATATTTACAGTACAGACAGGTATTAATGGCTTTTGATTTTTTTCCTGTCAGTTTTGAAAAACATCTTTGGAATTGTATCATAATGGATAAAATTGCAAGTTGTGATTCTTTCTTTCATTCTTCTTCCAGGCACATGGTAGCACTTACATAAATGCCTTTAGTCTGCCTACATACATAGCTTGAGTGTATCCATACTCTGAACAGGAAAACAATACATAAATGGGTTTTATTTGGCATTTTGGTACATTGGCAAGCTGTCAGACCAATGACAGTGTTGTTTCTATAGTAACCATTATAGCCATAACTCCAATGACGAGTTAATCAATGTCTCAAGCAGCATATGTAAGAGACATGTCATGTAAAGCTATCACCTCTATTTGCTTGAGAAGACTCTCAGCTGCCAGTGAGTAAGGTGATCATTTAAGCAAATAGCATTATAAAGTCTTACATAAATGAACTGATAGCTATACTTTTAGCAGAATAAAATAAATAAATAAATAAACCAGCTGGATTACCTATGAAGTGTAGAAAAAAGGTTCTGTTCTTCCTGATAGTGCTTTGCATAGAGTTAAGAATACTATCTGGATAGTTTTCTCCTCTGTTACATTAAGCAGCCATCCTTGAAGGAAGAGCATGGGGGGGGAAGGGCTGTTCATCCTCATGCATACATGTGCCTATAGGGTTTATGGGTCTTCCTGTTTACAGCCTAGATCTGATTTCTTTTCTAACTTGCAGACTTGGATTCATACGATAGTTATAGTTGGCAGCATCCTATTTTACTTCATTTTTGCTCTGGCTTTTGGGGCAACCTACAGAACCCTTAATCCACTATCGAATCCTTACCGGATCATGGAAAAGCATATGGCAGATCCAGTTTTTTACCTAGTGTGCCTCCTGACTACTTGTGTTGCTCTGCTACCCAGGTATGTTTCTGTTTTATAATCACAAGCTGCTACTGCTAACAAAGTGGTTTTCCTTAATTTGTTGATGTCTTGTGGTACCTGAAGGGGGCCTGTAGAAAAGTTGGGAGTCTTCATCAGGGAGACTAGTGATTGAAGGAAGAGGTAGTAACTTTAAACTAAAAACAGATTAGTTTAGATCAGATAGTAGGAAGAAATTCTTTGCTGTGAAGGTGGTAAAGAATTGGAACAGGCTGCCCGGAGAAGCTGTGGATACCCCGTCCCTGGAGATGTTAAATGCCAGGTGGATCTGGTAGGTGTCACCCCTGCCAATGGCAAGGGGGTTGCAACTGGGCTATCTTTAAGGTCCCTTCCAACCTAAACCATTCTATGGTTCTATTGCAAAGACAATAATAATAATAAGAAGAAGAAGAAGAAGAAAGAAAGAACCTGAATATCAGCATTTGAAAATGCTTATTTGTTTTAAAGCATGCTCTGGTATTGTTGCTGGAATGATAATTTGCGTTCTCAAAATGGCACCTGCAAAAGCGTATTTCAGAGGCTGCTGCAATCTTAGGTTTAAATGAATGGTGTTTAGTTTCCTTCACTGCTAGATGTGATTTTGGGAATGGTTTTTGGTTTTGAGTCTGCTTCTGACCAGCTTATTTGGAACCATATTTTGTAGATACTTCCTGAGAGCTCTCCAAGGAACATTGTTTCCATCTCCAGTGTTGAAAGCCAAGCACTTGGACAAACTGATCCCTGAGGAGAAGAGGGAAGCAATTAAGAAATGGAAGGATGAACGCATTGTAAGCTGTAGAATGGAGTTGCAGGTTACTTCTGGGTCTACTGGCTCAGCCACGGGTACTGTATTAAAGGAAGAAAGCATTGCCAGTGTTGTACCGCTTTCTAGAATACCTTTTCATGACTGTTCAAGGGATGAGTTAGTGGAGGAAGAGCCTGGGAATAGAAGTAACTTGAACTCTGAAAAGACTGCATTTCTGAATTCAAAGAGAAGTGATTCAGATGTCTGATGTGCCAAAGTCTTTGCACGTACTAATGAAGAGTGCAGCAGTGCCATTTCTCTAGAATGCAAAGCAGGTTTGAATTCTTTGTTATGTGCACAAAATGGTTTAATGTTATTTATAAAGTTGGAATGTGAACCACTGAAAATCCAAGAATAACTGCCGGTGTATGCTACAATATGATTTTTTTTTTTTTTTTCAGCCAAGGTAGATGATGCACTCATTTACCTAAAAGCTTTTGAGTTTGTAAAGCTTTTCAGTGATTTATTGAAGTGTTAAAGGTCTAAATGGCTAGAGGTTTTATTTTCTCATGCAGTATACTTTGCATACTGCTTCTCTCTTTCATGCAACACTGCATAATGCCTCCTACAGACAGGACACGGTATGAATTGTAGACCTACAGATTCAGTTTAGATAAAATCCACTCTATCACAAGCCATGCTACTCCCTTGCATTCCTGTCCTATTATCACAGCGTTGCCTGGAATTCATAGCTTACTGAGATAGGAAGCAAGCAGAAAGGCTCAGATGTAGTGGTTTTAGATTGTTTATTACAAAACTTCTCTAATGTTTTTAATACAGTAATTATCTTAACCACTGTGGTCCAGCTCCTCCATGACCATCTCAGCATGATCCAAACACTATTTAAGCCATGAGGAAAGTGCCCTGGATGAGACATAGAAATCCCATATCTCCTTCACATTCCCACAGAAAATCTTTGTGCAGCTTCTTGTTCTCCAGGGTACTTCATCCTCCTGCTACATCCCCTCTCTTTGTCTCCTTTTTTCCTTTAATCTCATTCACCACTGACTGATCTTTTTCTCCTCACCCAACTTGGATATTGGCTGCCTGACTTTTCTCTAGGCTTTTAAACTCATGCCTGCCCTGGAAAATCATCTGCAAGTGGTGATGGGAAGTTCCTGAGTGTCTTCAGATACAGCAGCTTGTAACTAATGGCATTTCTCTTTTTCACTCTCAGTTGTTTTCACATTCCTCCAGACTTTCATATTAAACAGCATGAGCATTGCTAAATGCTGCTCAGAAGACTGTGTAGCCATTTGTATGCCTCAAATTTGAGCTCTGTTGTTGTGTAAATGTCTTGGAGATGTTCCACCTCTGCCAGTTCCCCACTGCTCTTCACACTATGTAAGCTGAGATGAGTGTGACTCTTTCTAAATATTGTTTCCTTTTTACTTTCCTGCCCAAAAAGTTATATGGCCAATTTATGGAGGAATCTGTGAAATTGTTTGTGTCTGCTAGCACTTACTGAAATAAACTATTTCCTTAAACCGTAGCAGATAATTATTATTATTGAGCCAATTTTCGCTCTGTTTCTTTCTCAAATTTTCTGATTCCAAATTGCCGAGATCTGTTGTGTTTATTTTCAGTTACCATATTTGGGGCAATGGCTCTGCTTTTTAATTGAACCATGAGCATTCCATGCCAATGATCAACATTACATATTCCACATCTCCTATGATCTCTGAAAGAATTTAAACAAACGCTGTGAGGTCTGAGACAGCTGCTGCCATTTTGGGCAGATACCAAGAGCACACTAGGTTCATTCAGATGCAGGTCACCACATGCTGCCAGAAATTTCAAATGGCACAATGTAATTAGTGCTGATTCCATCCTCATAGTTAGCAAGAACAAAAACACCCTTTTGTTTAGCCCATAGAAGAAAAACAGTGGAAAGAGCCAGTGACAGCAGGCACTTTTTTTTTTTTTTTTAATTTGGTTCAACATCTGACAAAACAATTTTGATAAGTTCTAACACACGTAGTGCCCACCTTCAAAATGAGAGTAAACGTTCAAGTTCTTGGAGATTGCATCCAGCCTAAGTAGATTCATAATTATTATTTTTATGTGGCTTTGGTATATTTGCTTGTGTACTCCTATATTTTACATAATGTAACATGATGGAAAGCACAGTGACAGCAGAGCAGCAAGATCCCAGGCTGCTGTGAGTGAGAATTTGCTCAAACACACCAGCAGTGGACAGAGAAATAGCTACTCATCTTTAAGAGGCCTCAGACATACAAGGTTCTCCAGCAGGATGCCCTTATCTTCATTGCCAACCCTTAAATGAGGTCTGGATCTTGACCCCACCCTTTCTGGTCACTCAGGTGTATTGCATGCACCTGAGCTCCCCTGGGTTGGCCCTGCCTTCCTACCAGTGCTCAGTCACTGGTTCAAGCTGTAACTTGCATTTCTATTATAATCTAATTATTTTATATTTTGTAATAGTCTTACATTTTTTGCAGTTGGAAAATTCAATCCCAGAACCAGGTTCAGAAGTGTTTAAGGGGACTAGAAAGAGATGTAACTGCTGGGGTTAACTTGCTAGGAGAGAACTCCAGGTGTCCTGACTGCAAATGTCAGCTTTCTCTGCACATGAATATTAAGATGTTATAATTACAAAATAAACAAGAGAGTTTGGCAAAGTAGATTATGATGACAAAAAGAGAATAGATAGAAAGCTTACCTCTATGCTGGGCTCACTTACAAAACTCCAGCAGAGCAGATCACCAGAAGAGATCCTTCCCTACTAGTAGTCAGCTCTTAAATAGGTCTAAATTGCCTTCACCTGTGCTCCTCTGGCTGACTCATTTGGTGATCAATCAGAGTGATCAATCAGAGGTTCAGGCCATGACTCAGCAGTTCCCATATATGGACAAACAGCCCAAAAAGTTGAATGACTGTCTACCATGATCACTCTCTTTTTCTTACTAAACTGGGAGATGTAGACACTGAGTCTTTAATAAAAGCCTCAAATTGTTAATTGGCTATATCTAAAGTGGTACCAAATGAGGGGTGCATGTTAATCATCCTCCATTCTCAGTTGTTGAAAGTTTTTTATTATTATTTTTTAGCACTGGAGACATCACAGTCCCTTGTTTGCTTTTGCACAGCATGATCTGACTTTGCCATTTGGAAGGTGGGCTTTTTAAGATCATCTCACAGGTGTTTTGCAGATGTCAGAAAAGACAGCACAGTGTTTAATGTTTTGGTTATTGGTTTAAAAAAAAAAAAAAGCAAACACCAATTTTCAGCCTCTGCCCCAACTTTGGCCCCAACTTTGTGACTGTGCTTAGATCAGCTTTAACTCACAGGTTGCTGTGCAACATTTGATCTGCCAGAAAATTCCTTTTTTTTCTTCTTTTTTTCTTTTTTTCTCCACTTTTCTTCAGCAACAGTGAGTGCACTGAGCATTTGCAGGTGGCAAAAGCCACAGCCTTCATATAGTGGATGACTTCACAGCCCAGCTCTGTCCTGCTTATGGGGCACACTGAGCTAGATTCTCTAAGCCATGCTCTGATTGTCCCACAGTGCCACTGGCTGCAGCATGAGAGCATGAAGCACCACTGCTCCCCGGGCTGCTGCTTCTCCAGGTAGTCCTCAGTCCCTGCAGGAGGCAGCGATCACATCCCAAAGATGTATGTGCCAAGAATTTTCTAACACTTGAATCTCCATGTGGTTTTTGTGTTACTAGTTTGTGTTTTACTCTGGTTTATTTACTCCTGTCTTCATGGTCCCAGGTGCCTTACTGCTGACTGCAATTAAAAGCCAAATTTTAACTGTTTCATGTTTCTGCATGCTTGTATTTTTTATTTCAAAATCTTCATGCATTGAAATTCAGCATCCTGATTGTAAGGAGCTGTGTCCTTAGCTGGCCTGAGGAAAGCCATATAACCAAACATGTTAATTTTTCAACTATTTAAATCCCAAATTGTTGTTGATAGTGCTGTCCTTGGTATTTTTCTGTACTGGATGCATATGTGCAGAAGAAACCAGAAGTTCACACAGAATCACAGAATTGTAGGGGTTGGAAGGGACCTCCAGAGATCATCGAGTCCAACCCCCCTGCCAAAGCAGGTTCCCTACACAAGTTGCAGAGGAGGTTTAGTGCCAAACCCTCCACCAATTTGTGATGCAAGCAGAGCTGTCAGCAGTGCATGACAAACCAGATAAGAGCAGTTCAATACCATTTCAAACCTGTTTTTAGGAATTAGTGCTGAAGTCATAATTTTGTCACTACTCTCTTCACACTGTCACTGAGTCTCTGGGAAGATTGAAACACCTGAAGCAGAGACATTACTAGGAAAATTATTGTAAATTTTTATTAGTACAGTGAAGAAAGAAGCACATCGGCTGTCTGTATGACATTGCTTCCATTTGGCTGCACAGTCATGGTAGAAGTGAAACCAACAGTGTCACCTCGCAGTGAGGCTATGCTTGTAAGGAACATAGCGTGGTTGTGGCCATCGCCGTTACAGCAGCACATATGAAATAGTTTCAAGGTAGTAGGAGGAGGAATATACTTGCCTATTTGATGTGCACACATAGAAAAAAGCAGTATAAAAATACATTTATAAAATTACAAATTTCCTCTTTACATGGAATGCGGTGGCAGACAGCTGTGGGGGAAAGCCGCAGCCCTGTGGGCTGGAGTTTGGTTTATTATATCTTCCACATGACTCCAAACAGGAGAGGCTGGGCCCTTTGTTTAAGCAATACTCCCTTTTGGTTCCTGAGAGGGACTGCAAATAGAATGTCGCAGAGCCAAACCTAATTAATTGAAGTATGTGATTATTTCACATACTGTCATTTGGTAGTGCTAATATTTGTGCAAAATGACTGAATGTACTTCAGTCCTTTGTTTAATTCAGAGGCGTGAACCGCTTCTTCTAGTCAGTGAAGCTGCTAGATTCACAACAGCTCCTACTTGTTCTTACTTCCAGAAGGCCAAGCCTGCAGAACTGCTGCCTGTGCTGTGCTGCAGAGAGCCCAGCCCCAGAGAGAGCTGTGGCTCACATAGCCTTGAAGCAAGGGCACCACTAACGTGCTCCACCTGCAGCCTGCCTGCACTGGAAAAACATGGTTTCTGTAACTTTCTATCTGTGGAAAGAGCACTTTTTGTTACAGAAAAAGCAAAATTCTTAATATGCTTTAAAAAAAAAAAAAAAAAAAAAAAAAAAAAAAGGAAAAACTAGCAAAGCCTAGGGAGGTTTTCTTTCTGAGCATCAAACAGTGATACAGAAGTCATTTAAATAGGGTTTTCAGAATCCACGACAAATACTGAGTATTAATTAATAATGCTCTTTTTGAATCTGTCCAGTATGTCTAATGTTACACATGTTAAAGGAAAAGATACTAAAGAAAGAGGCAAACTTTTCACTGAAGCAATAGTCTGGGCTGTGTAGGTTAGTTGTAACATGACTTATTGTACCTGAAATCTCTGTTATCAGCTGTTCTAATGTAGGTTTCCATGTATGGCAGGCATTGTGCTGACAAGGTCCTGTATGCTGCCATGGGGGCACACCAGAGGTAGCATCGAGAGTTACTGTATGCCTGAGGCTGCAACACCCTTGCATTACTCCCCTTTGAAATTCTCAACTTCCCGACTCGTCCTTCTCTGGCTTTCTAAGAAGCCATGAGCTGTGCACATCACCACCTACAGCAGTTAGTAAGAAACAACTCCCCTCCAGCTGTAGAAAGGTGCCAATGCCAAGCTCCACTGTAAGCTTCATTGTAAAGTGTTGTGGGTTTGTTTGCTGTTTTCTTGTGTTTTTTTTTCAGCCAGACTCTTGAAGTCAAGGCTTGGCTTCTTATCACTGCACAAAGCACTTTGCCACCAAGCACTTCAGTGGGGCTCCTTTGGGCTTTTGCTGATGAAGCTGTTGTGCTTTGCTTAACATTTCTATTACACATTTGTATTCCACTTTCTGCTCAAATCGTCTGCCATATAGATTTCTCTTTGCCTTTTTCTCTCTCCAGATTGTTTTATCTTGTTAAGCAAAATTAAACTCAGTGCAAAATACTAGAAGCCTACCCAAAAATACTCTGTTTCTCAGTATTATTTCTCATATTTGCTCACGCTGCATCTTTTGCACTTTATATCTACATTTTCCATGTCTCCCCAGATGCTCCAAATAGCTTACTCTTGAGGCAAAAGCATTTGCAGTGGCTCTAACAACGCTGTGTTTCCAAAGGACTAGAGGTTGTCAGTGCATGCTTAATAGATTGAACATTATAAATAGATAAAAAAAAATAGGGAAGAGAAGCTAGTGGGGCACAGTTTTAAGAAATGTGCAACTCTGTGTAGGGCTGTCAGGAAGTGGGCATTTCTGGACACTGTGAGACACAGAAGCTTTAGAAAACTTAAGTGGTAGAAATTTGGGAAAAATGATCCAAAGAGGCTGATGAACAAAACGTGGATTTTAGGTGCCTCAAATAGTATTATGGGTCTGTTGGCTGACTAGTGCCACACAGCAGCCTGAAGAGGTACACCAGCTGGCCCCCGGAACAGAGCAGTAGAGTCAGTACGCTGCAGTGCCCTACCCATGTTGGCCACTCTGAGGGACAGACTGTGTTTACTCAGCCCCTTCGAACCTGTGCTTGTACCACCATGCCCTGTGCTGCAAGAACGCACGAGCCCTGCCACCTTTTCCATACTTGCAGCCTTTGGCATGGCCCTGGTGAATTTGTGCCCTGCCAGCGTTGTCTGAATGCACTGAGTCTGCACCTTGTGACAGTGAGAGAAGATGCATGTGCTACAAATCGAATAGTATTAAAATAGGCCATTTAAAAAGTTTTTCTATTCTGTGCTACTGCTTAGTTTGAATATCTGAAAGGAAGAAAGTGACTGTTTCTTTTCTTTTAAGCATTTTGCTGTGCTTGGAAGAGCACCACAAGAGTTAAAAGAAAAAAAAAAAAGGATTATTAATTCTACCCCAAAGTGTATTCACCAGCAGAGGGTCAACTATGAGCATACACTGCATATCCCATAGCTCCACAAAAAAAATAGAAAGAGCTTGGGACTCCTTTTCACAGAATTTCTGGACTGCAAAATCTTCAGTGTTGAAGGTTGATTCCATTTTCCTGCTGTTTGTCAGCACAATTCTTACCATCTGGATTTAGTTCAGCAGAAAGGTGTGGATATATATTTGTTTTTCAATCCAGTCAATAAAATGTGACACATTACTGTAAACTCCTGGTCCCAAAACCTTGGAAAAGCAGACAGAGCCCCAAGATGTTAAACCAAACAACGTCCAGCGTCCTGCAGGTTGCTCACACACAAGTGGTCCTCCACTGTCACCCTGCAATACAAAAGAAAATCAGAGGCTATACATAGCCAGTAGTCACATGGCAAAAGCTTCTTTCCCAGTTCCTGGAGTGATTTGTCTTTAATAAGTAACCCAGCTGTAAGGACTGGCTGCTCTGCCCAACTATGTAGCAGTGTACATTTACCCATATTTGTTTCCTTTTTCAACTATACAAAAAAGTACCTGTAAATGGCTTACTGTTATTTTAAAAGTGAGTCTATTGGTTCACTAATACAGATAAACCTCAGAACATCAGCTTTTCATTTCCATAAACTGGAGTTGATTTCAGTTTCACAGCATCAGAGTCACTGAGGATGAAGGAGACTGCTGAGAGTGATCTGGTCAACGCCCCATGTCAAATGGCCACCTACTAGTTGCACCAGCAACAGTAACAGCTGGGTTAAAACACATCGAGAGACTGCAGACATTTCTATACTAGATAAAGTATGCTAAATCTAATAAATGTCACAGAACTTTGATGTCTAGAAGTACTTCAAGCTTTCTCCTTAGAGATAAGGCCTACCATGCAAGAGTCTACGGTGCCAGACTCATAGCCTGCGCACAGCATCCTGCTGGTAATGGTCTTCATGTCAAAGTACGACTGGCATTGCTCTAAGGAAATGATGCGCACTTCTCCTTCTTGAAGCTTAAAAGGCACTGAAAAACAGAAGTAAGTATTAAAACACATGGACATATGAAAATATTTATCTGTGATGGATCTTTGAGATATGATAAATATTTCCTTCAGATAGATCTGAATATTATTTTATCTGTGTGTGTATATAAACATGTGTGCATATATATATATATATGTATAAAACAAAAACACATAGGTCTAGATTGAAGCTCAGATGTTTGTGGGTCTTCTTTTTCATGGTTGCATTGCAGGATTCATGATGAAGATTCCTCAGCCAAGTCTGTATATGTTGCATTCTGGAGGATGACCAAGCACATGTGTGTTGCTGACACACTTTATTGTGCATTTGCACAATACTGAAGACTGAGGAGGCAGAGTACCTTTATGTGATGTGTTATGGGACTTTTATGACCGGGACAGTACTGGCTGGAAACCAGTAAAGTGAGGGGCAGAGGAAGGGGTTAACTCTTCATTTTAATCCTAGTATCTCTCGCAGTCGAGGCTGGTATAAACACAAGCATGAGTTACATTTGGGTAAATTCAACTTAATGTATCAGGGAATCAGATTTCAAAGGATATTGAAATTACTTCTCACATTCAGGACTTCATTCTACTGCGAGCAGCTGACTTAGCTCAAATTCTAAGGTAAACTGTTAAACCCAGAGTATGAAATACTAAACCAGGATGGTTTATGCAGTTTTCTAACATAAAGCCTTTAATAACAAAGCTGAAACCACATTAGCTAGCAAATAACATTTTTCTACTTACCAGAGGTACAAAAGCTTTCTGTTACTTTTTTCCTGCCATTACATAAAATGTAGTTTTAGATTGATAGATTTGGAGCTGTTTCTGAACAGCATGTTCCTCACTAGTGCAAATTTAGTTTTTGCCACATATATGGACCTGGCTACTAGGGGTGAAGCAGTACTGAAAGGAAAATTTCCTTATCCAGTGTACAGAACAGCCTTTCTGAAAATTGCTATTACAGAGAAGGGAGAAACATAATGGATAGAGCTAACAGGGTTGGGGCCAGGATACTTTGCATTTGGCGCATGAAAGATCATAGAACCACAGAACGGCTTGGGTTGGAAGAGACCCAAGATAAGTCTATCAAAACAGATATTTACATAACATAAATGTTCTTCCAATGGGACCCAAGGATTTCAGGGGCAACTGAGCACAAAAAACACAGTAATATTTCTCTTCAGAGACAACACTTGTGATTAAGCCTTGATAGAATAAATCTTGCCACAAGCCAGGGGTGTGACACAGAGCATTGGCTCAAGAAAATTGTTCGTTCAGCCTGTATGCCTTTGCTTTCAGTATTTCCAGCTTCCACTGAACTAAGAATGTTACCCCCAGCAATGATCTGACATGGTTCTTATCTCAATACAATTCTAAAGACAGCCTAAGTGAGTTAAATGATAACCAGTTTCAGGTGACTTTCTTGATAGGAGTTTCTAGATCTTCTGCATTTCTGAAAAATCAAACATCATGTCTGAATATGGATTTAGGAGCATAAACTTAGGCTGATGATTTGGAAAAAAATAAAAGCAACAGTTGGATTCCCTTCAAGACCAGTTAGAGATCCTTAGTATTTAATCTGGAGTGTATTAAAAAGAACACGGCCAGCAAGCCAAGGGAGGTGATCCTCCTCTCTGCTCTCCCTTGGTGATGCCACATTTAGACTACTGCGTTCAGTTCTGGGCTCCCTAGTTCAGAAAGGACAGGGATCTGCTAGAAGGTGTCCAGCGAAGGACCGGAAAGATGATAAAGGGCCTGGAGCACCTCCTGTATAAGGAAAGGCTGAGTAACTTGGCTCTGTTCAGCCTGAGGAAAAGAGGACTGAGGGGAGATCTGATTAACGTTTACAAATATATGAGGGGGATGTGGAAGGCAAATGATGTGTCTCTTCTTGGTGGTGTGTAGTGATAGGACAAGGAGTAATGGCCTAAAACTTGAACATAAGAAGTTCCGTACTAACATGCAGAACTTCCTTAGAATAAGGGTGACAGAGCAATGGAACAGGTTGTGCACATAGGTTGTAGAGTCTCCTTCTGTGGAGCTATTCAAGACCCAACTAGTCACCTACCTGTGCAACCTATTATAGGGAGCCTGTGCTAGCAGGGGGGTTGGACTCAATGATCTCTTGAGATACCTTCCAACTCCTGCAATTCTCGATTCTGTGAACTGAGTCCAGCATTAGTATTAATGGATAAAATTTTGTAGTGGGATCACTTATTTGATTAACCCAGTAGATTCTTAACATGTTTTCCTAATATTCCTGAAAGTGTTTATCTTACTTTTGTTGCCCATGTGTCCCCAGCCTGTGATATAGCAGTAGGTATCTGGCTGTACCAACTGTTCCTTGCTGGGCAAGCAGACAGGTCTTACATAGCTCGTTTCATTGATATCTTCATCTAGCTGTACAATGCTGATATCGTAGTCTACGACTGCTCTGTTGTAGCGTGGATGCAAGATGATGGACTTCACCAATCGGGTCTGCATGAAGCTCGATGGATGATCAAGATTGCTTATCCCAAACACTACTTTCCAGACAGCTGCGTTTTCTCTCCTTTAGGAACAAACAGGAAAATGAGAAATTGAATTCAAGTTCTTTTTAATTTAAAAACCTGAGGTTTTCTTTCTCCCAGACTTTTTGCATACTGTACTTCACAAGCCTGTGTACATGATAGAAATGCTACAAAAAAGCAAATACTTAGGCATCATTACTGATCAACAAAAGACAATGCTTTTCATTCCCTTCCTAACTGCTACTGAAAAAATTCTAGCTCACAGCCTCGGAAGGTATATTACCACCTACTGCTGCTGTACTAAATACCCAAGAATCTCAAAATTGGATCCTCCCAGGTCCCTAGGTGCTCATTTGCGCTCTGGTGAGCATGAACTCGTTTCTCTAGGAGTGACAGTACTGTGCATCAGTATGATGCTCACAGCAGTAACTCAAGCTGAAACCGCAAAGGAATCTCACAGATGCAATTCAGTCATGAGAATTAAATCTTCTATGATGTCATGTAAAAAAAGTCTCTTACTGTTTACAAGTTTTTTACAAATTCCCCTGATCACAAAAAATGATGGATATGGTGCAAATGGGAGGATTAAGCTAGGATTTGTAAAGACATAAGAAAACACAGACCTCATTAAAGTGCTAGGTGATGTAATTTCTTGATTGTAAATGAAAATAGGTCACGAGTTCTAATGAGACTGTGATTCTAAGATCCTCAGAAAAGTCCCTTTTTCTGAATAATTGAGATAGTTCCATGGAACTAAATACCTTTGAAGAGACTGAAGCTTAATTATAGTAATGTAAATTAAAGCGTGAAATTTCAGCTTTTTAACAGTATTCAACAGAATTGTCATTTCTAAAATTTTGAAAGAGATTTGGTTGTTAAATAAAGACTATTTTTATCTTGAGTTCCTTGAGAATTCTTGTATTTCATTCTACAACTGTCTTTTTACAATCATAATTAATTTGTGTTTTTCCAAGATGTTTCAAGTTTAAGTGGTAGGAGTATCCTATTGTTTTTATGAGCATTGAAAAAGAACATTGCTCGGAGCAATGAGAAGTCTCAGCCAGAAAGTATTACCCTACTATTGAGTAAAAAAACTTTAAATGTCATGGGTGCTTTGCTGTAAAGCATTTCAAACAGGAAATTTCAAACTGGAAAAACAGTAGGGGCCAATGAAACAAGCAAATGACTCTGCTTAATGTAGATCCTTTCCATTTACACTCTCCACAAATGTTCATGGCATTAACGTTGCGTACTGCATTACTGGTACAGTCTTTATATTTTGCATCCCAGACTTCACAAAATATTTTTTATTTAATGCACCGGAGCACTTTAAAATATGCTTTAATTTCTTAACTGGCTGGTTTAGTAAATTTAAAGAAACTTTGTGGCACTGGGAATGATTTTACTGTTGCTGTAGGAAACAATACTCAAAGACTGTAAAGATTTCAGGTCCTTGGAAACATATTCTTAATCTCATCAGAGAGGCAGAAGAGAAGAAATATTCTCCACATAACTCAAGGAATTGATAAATCAAAATATCTTAGCATTTTAAAAAACTTTCTATCTGTTTTCTACTTTAGGGCATTTGGAATACAAAAGTGAAAAAGACTTTTTACATCAAACATATAATTAACTAGGTTGGAAAATACCTTCAAGATCACCAAGTCCAGACATAAACTTGGCCTACCATGTCCCTTTAGCCACAGCTCTTAGTGTTCTGTCCACACATCTCTTTACATTAAGAAAAACAGAGGGAAAAAAAAATTCCAAAGGATTCAGTGTTTCAGAAACAAAAAGAAACAAAATTATTGCTGAAGAAAAAGAATCATTAAAGTTAGAAAGAATGTTCATCTGTAGAAACTGAAGTACATTTACATGTCTACCACAGAACTTCTATTGGCTTAAAAAGAAATGAAGGTGTTTAGTGCAGTCCAAAAATTTCCAGTGAGCACAAACCAATTTTAAGCAAGATTAAGCACCGGTGACAACCACCCAGCAAAAAAGATTTGCTGACTACTGCAGGAAACATACATTTCAATATCTTTAAAATACAAATAACTTCAGAACAAGACAAAACTAATGAGGTAATGCACTTTCATCAAATTCTTTAAAAAGAAAATTGGTTTCCATCAGAAAGCTGACAATGACTAAGACAGTTCCGAAGCTACACAAACCTTCTCTGCTCTCCATAGTCTCTGCCATGAGACCTCATAGACCATGAAGCACTTAGTGGTTAATACTGACTTTCTAGTGATTGACAATGATAATGAAGTCACAGAGAGTTTATAATCAGAAAACTTCAGTACGTCACTTACATTATGATTAAATACTTATATTTTATTTTTTAATGACCAAAGCATTTTTCAGGGTCATTTCTATGCTGTAGCCCAGAATGTTTCTTTTTTTTAAATCTATGGCATTGCGTGAGACCTATCAGATTAGAGTTTTGGTCTTCTTTTTCTCTTTGGTTTCCTGCTGAAAATCAGCAGGACTGACTGTCACCTGGTGTAGGGAACCTGCTTTGGCAGGGGGGTTGGACTCAATGATCTCTGGAGGTCCCTTCCAACCCCTACGATTCTGTGATTCATTTAGCTTTCATCAGCAGAGACAACAATGAATGTGAAAACCTAACCTGATGTTGTTTTATACCATTTACTCTTTGTTATTGTCTCTAAAAACAGGCTTCTTGCTGTTCTGCAAAGGTCATAACTTGCTGGCAATATGTTCAGTAATGGAGGGTGCACTTTGTAATTCTCACGTGCAAGTTACATCTAATTTGTACACAAACAGTAAAACTGAGCTCCTCTCACCCTTCAAAGCAGTGTGCCACTGTTAAGACCCATCTCTTTGCAATCAAAACACAGCCACATATGTGTCCACTTGGCTCGCTCTGCAGAGAGCACTGCCATGGCCATCGGCCCGGGCGACTGGTCCTGCCACCAAGGATCCTTTTGTTCATGCGAGCAGCAGGGCGATGGCCACAGTCTAGTGAGAAACAGATGCAGAAGGGAGTAATTTGTTACCACAAACACAGAGCATGCAAGACCTGGAAGAAAAACTGTGGCCACAGAACAACATTAACAGAGTTATGAAATTACATTGAACAGTACAGTATCTGAAGTCATCAAAAACCACATGTTAATATCAAACACATTGAGCCATTTTTATCCCTCTTTTTTTATAAAGGGATTTGTCTCCTGAGATTAATTTTGACCTGCTCAGTCCAATTATTAACCAAGCTAAACTGATAAAGATGATTATCTTGAACAGAGTTACTGGCTGCCCTTGGGAAGGATTCTTGGTTTCATATCACTGTCTTTCTGTCAGCTAACAATGTCTTTGTGCTACTTGTACTATCCAGAAGGAATGTTTCTGGAAAAATCAGGCCAGCAATAATAAGCACTTGCTTAAGCCAGGTGTGAGGTGCATGTCAAAACGTTTACTTAGCTGCAAGACACAAAGCTTGCTTTGCTCTTGGAAATTCCTAAGGGAAATATTTGCAGAGTCCAAGGTTTTCCAGTACTCTACCCATTCCACTTTATAAACAGACTTAGAGTGTAAATTATACCAGATTCCTGTTTGCCTGGCAGATAGGAATTGCCTGAATTAGTTTGCCCTTCACTTTCATTTTACTTTATATTCTGGATTAGTAAGATGACAGACTGCTATTACTTATCCTGTTTATGCTCAGTGTGATTCAGAGTGAAAGAACACCACCAGTTTCTGCAATTCACATCCCAAGGGAAGGTATGCTGGCATTGCAGATATCTCTGGTAGAGAAATAAATTAAATTTGTAATTTTTAATTCTTTCTGTGTTCACCTAAATAATGTCTGCGGTCAAGGAGCATTATGTGCTCTTAAAGCAAAGTATGTCAGGAGCAAATAGCTTTCACAGGCTCCTTTGGGGTGCTATTCTCAGGTAATAGTAGTAAATATTTTTATTACTCTCCCAAATTTAGGTCATACTTCGTGATTAATTTTCTCCATGGCAGGAAATTCATAATGTATGTGTTCTTCAGCAAAGATCTCCTTGTATGTAGAACATTTTATTATTCAAGACGAAGGATTTCTGTGTTTTTCAACAGAAAATCTTAATATTGCACAATCCACTGTGCCTCCAGATTTGGTCTGTAGTTTTCTAATTTAGGTTCTTCTGTGATTGAGATTCACAGCTAAACAGATCACAGATTCAACTCCCAGATATGTCACCTAGTAACCTCTCTTGTCATAAATAATATTTTCTTCAAGAAGTTTTCTCAGATTAATTTTTGGAAGCTGACTGCTGACAAAACTCATTTTGCAAGAGCAGATTAAGCTGGTACTATAGAGAACCTCATAGTCCAAAATAACAAAAGTTGCTAAAATTTAATACAGCACAGAAGAAAAAGAGGCAATGCAAAATTGGATGTTGCAGAAGTAAAATATCAGAATTAAATGACACTAAACAACTGAATTTGTTTGAATACATTTAACATATGTTTAAAAATACCTTTGTTCTCTCAGAAACATGCATTTCTCTTACCTTCTTTAGTGCAAAGGAGAGCCACTTTGCTTCTGCTTCGGCACATCTGCCTAAATATTAGAAAAAGAACGTAATGAAAGTCTCAACTACAGGGTGTTTTTTTTTGACAGTTTGTATATCAGCACAAGTATGGTACCCACTGCTGTGAACTCAGCTGTTGAATATTCCCCAAATGTAAAAAAAAAAAAAAAAACAAAAAAACAAGGAACTTCTTATGCCAGATTGTCAATGGCTTCCAGAGTCTGCTTGCAACAATTTAAAATATTAGTTCAGCTTTACGAAGCATTTCATGAGCAGGTGCTACACATTTTGCAGGCAACCTTGTTCTATGGGCACTGATCCAGCTCTGAGGTCGGCTGGGGTGTACAGTCTGTGAAGTCTTAATTTATGGCACCTGAAAGCACAGAGATCAGCTGCTTTCTCCATCCTTGCAGTTGAAAGCGGGGAATTTATTTGAAATACATTTAATGAAAATCTTTGACCCAAAAGATGTGGTATGTTGATGAAAACCCAGGAAGATCACAAAGGCACATATTAAGAAAAAAAAAAATCCTTTTGGAAATTTTCAGATGCGAGAGCAAAAATAATAGTTCTTTGTCAAAGGGAAATTCTTGTTAAAAACAAGAACACTGCTGCTCAGCTGACTGCCTTTTTGTTTCCATAACTTATTAATCCATCCCATGTAAGTGCTTTTCAGATGCAGAAACAGCAGAATTAGACTGCATACATGGATACGTGGATTAGCTGTTCCTCTGGTTATTCTTGAAGGCTGTAATCTCAGTAAGTGGGCTGACTTCTTCAGTAGAAAAATACTACAAAGAATCTTTCTGCAAGTGCCTACTTTTGCTTTCTAATGCTTCAGTTTTGTGCTAGTTCTACCCCAAAGTGGTATGTTTCCCTTTCATTTTAGTTCATCTTTATTTCAGTCATTACAGAAAAGCTTTCCCACAGACAATGATGGATCTGAACAGAAGAAATCTAGGTGTATTTCTCAGATCTGCTTCTTCACACACATATTTTACCTCAGCTCTCTGCATTCAGTCAAGCCAATCTTTTCTCGTGAAACAGAGGAATATCCTGTGGAAGACAGGTGTTCTGAAATCTCCTCAGGGCATTAGAAAAAGGAAAAGGAAAACAAGGAATCTGCTTTTTGAAGATGAATTCAAATGCTTTTCCAGTTTTGTCCTAAATGCTAAAAGTAATTTAGTTGGCTCTTTAATCTCAAAATTACAGTTCAAATGTTTCAGCCATGACTGAAGCTTGGCTTCTCATTACTAGCTATGTATTTAATAGAGCTAATTAAAAGGAATATACTGTCTAAGGTCAGATAACCTGCTAAGGAAGCTTACTGTAAATTGATAAAGTTCTACTGAAACATCTGTGATCTCCAAACGTGGTGACTAACCACAGCAGTGAAATAAATCTCCTTTACCTGTTACTTACCCATTCACTAGAAGTGCATGTAAAGTGGAAGCATTCTTACTCTTCCAATCTGAGTGCAGATTCAGCCACTTTTGATGCTGCATTTCTCCATCTTCTAATACAATCTTTGTTTTAGATGGTCCTCTAAAACAAATAAAAGACTTTCACATACTTCCAATTAGCTTGCTGTGTTACAGTAATGAAAGGGAAGAGACCTCTTGTTCGCTACATAAATATTGAGCATAATGTTGTATCAAAGCCACAAGTGGCAGAATCATTGTTGGGAAATTATATCACCCCAAGACGCCAGGCCAGTTAACATACCACTGTCACTAACACTGTATTTTCTGTCAAGAGCTAGAATTAGAACAAGGAACAGCAAAAACTGCACTGCATAAATATTGTTTCTAGATTTTTCTGACTCCAAAAACACAACAAATAGATCTTCATTTGTCCAAGAGGTAAAATAACAACAATAATAATAACAATAATAAAATATTTTTGTATATTTTGGAAGTCCGTTAAAATATAAAGATCAATCTGAGCCTTGTAATATTTTACAACATCTCCAACTCTGCACTGTCTTGCTAGACACAATGAATTAGTGGTGATTTCATCAAACCCAGCCTTGTGCAGCAAATTATTAGGAATATGAAAACAAGGTGGATTGATTCTACCAGGAGATATTTCCACACATCTACTTCCACCGCAGCCAGATAAACTCAAACCACTGAAGGAACTGTCGTTTTAGTAAATCTCAATTCCTTTGAAGACAAAAAATAAAACGGCTCTACAGCTTTTCAGCTCAGAAATATCCATGATTAGGTATCAATCCCCATCAATGAGAAGAGCTTTCAGGGATTGCTCCCCTGACCACTGGTAATGGACCAAATTCTCAATACTAGCTTGTGGAAATGAAAATAAGAACAGTTCAGAAAAAACAGTGAAGCCTCCGAACTCACGCCCCTTGACAGTACCTACTAGAGTCAACTAGATTACTTGTTTGTCTTTAAGTCTGTGTTTTTTTCAATTTTAGCTGTATCTGTTTTAAAACATTTACAGAATTGTGATACCCTTTACCCAGCTGATCAAAGGAGAATTATGTTTTATGGTTAGGTTTTCAATGAAAGCACCTGGAAATGTTCTCAACATTGGCAGAATTAACTACTCTTTGAGGCCACAGCCCTGGGTCCTGCCTGTTTCATGACTAATATTTCGGAACCTTCTCTGGACATGTTAAGCAAATATCATTCCATGACCTACTACAAGGAATATGCAGCAGGATAGCAACAAATATTTTTTTTAAAGTCTGTACTTCTTCATTTAAAGAAATCTCTTTTTGCAGCAATTTTTTTTCCCATTATTGTTGGCTTATGGTAAATACATAAAGCTTCCTCTTTTCTTCATGTCCAGCACTTATTTCCTGCTCTTTCCCACGAAACATACACAAGCTTATTTTACTCTTAAGGTGACATTCTGCCTTATAATCCTCCTTGAATAATGCCAGTTAGCGCCTCGTAACCGTGTACATTGATATTTTATATAACTGGAAAAAAATGTCTGACATATATTTAACTCAAAAGAGTGCAAAAAGTATAAATATCATACCATCTGGTAGATCCAAATTACATTATCCCTCATACCACATTATTGAAAACTACAGTTCATGCTGCTTTATTCATTATCAAACACAGACACATTTCTAAATCAGGAACAACAACCTTCAAGATGCTTGTATGAAATTTTTAATTAAATGAAATTATTAATACAATGTGTTTTACTTAGCAAAAATAAAACTATAGCTATGTTGGTTTTTTTTCCTTGGCGGTCACAGCCTGATGAATTCACCAAAAACAGCTCAAAACCAATATATCCTAATTCATGTCTTTAGAATTTCTTATAAAGGCTGAATCTTATCTATACTGGAGCTGTAGCACAGGATTCTTCCATGGATAAACTCTAAGAGGAAGATGTATATTTCAGTTGACAGTGCCACTTTGACTAATGGTGTCTAATTTCTTCATAGGAAAATTTTGTTTTACTGAGGTTCTTCACAGACTCCAACAATGTTCTTTAAGTTATCACTTCACTATTTAGGGCAAAATAAGGATACAGCTGCTAATTGAGTCATCAATCTACATCTTGGGGGTTGAACTTAGCTATATTAGCTATCTTCTCAACCCTGCAGAGAAGGAGTTGATAGATGAAAAGCTTAACATGAGCCAAAAGTGTGCCCTTGCAGCTCGGAAAGCAAATGGTATCCTGGGCTCCATCAGAAGAAGGGTGGCCAGCAGGAACAGGGAGGTGATTGTCCCCCTCTACTCCACTCTTGTGAGGCTCCATCTGGAATACTGCATCCAAGTGTGGAGCCCACAGTACAAGAAAGACAGGGAGCTGTTGGAGAGGGTCCATAGGAGAGCCACAAATATGATCAGGGGACTGCAGCACTTCCCCTGTGAAGACAGGCTGAGGGAGCTGGGCTTGTTCAGCCCAGAGAAAAGAAGGCTGCAGGGTGACCTCATCGCAGCATTTCAGTTCCTAAAGGGAGCCTACAGACAGGAGGGGAATCAATTATTTGAAAAGGTTGATAACTGCAGGACAAGGGGAAATGGTTTTAAGTTGAGGGAAGGGAAGATTTAGGTTGGATATCAGGGGGGAGTTCTTTAAGAGAGTGTGGTGAGATGCTGGAACAGGCTGTCCAGAGAGATTGTGGACACCCCGTCTCTGGAGGTGTTGAAGGCCAGATTGGATGGGGCCCTGGGCAGCCTGGTCTAGTATTAAATGTGGAGGTTGGTGGCCCTGCATGTGGCAGGGGGGTTGAAGATTGATGATCCTTGAGGTCCCTTCCAGCCCTGGACATTCTGTGATTCTGTGATCTTTCATAATTTTTATATAACAGCCTTCTGAACTTAACCTAAATTGAGTCAACCCACACAAAAATCATACTATGGGCAGGGACACCTTCCATGAGCTCAGGCTGCCCAGGTCCCCATCCAACCTGACCTTAAACGCCTCTAGGGATGTGGCACCCACAGCATGTGTAGCCATATCTAATATCACATTTTAAGGCAAGCCAAGCAAGGAACCTTTTCTATGACACATTTTCAGAAGGCTCTTTGCAAAGTTTTCTCCCCCGCTCCTTTTGTTTTCATATAACAGAACAGAACATCCTTGTTCAGAAACTTGGTGTTGATTTTAGACTAATGTTTTTATTATTACCTACATTGCAACAAAAAGCACAATTGAAACCATATTTTTGGATTGAAAGCATATTTGTGTAGAATGGCTTTTTCAGGCCTCTCAGCTTAAAAACTGAAGAGGGTCCTGCAGATGGTTTCTGAATTATCATTGACACACAAGGAAGTGCAGGGGGAACCAGCCTAGTCTAAGACGTCAAGATGCAGCCTAAGGGCCAGTTCAATGCCAATCTCACAGTAGTGATTTTTGGACCAGATTCTCCACCAAATGTTCAAAATAATTCAAAAATCCCACCTGAATCTATGTAACTTTTTAACATCTCATGGTATTTTGATAGCACCATTTGAGTACCAAAATATATCATAAGGTCATTGTAAGACTAATGAGGTTCTAACAATCTGTTGTGGTCTAGATCACAAAAACTTAACTGACTGTCTCATTTGAGTATTGAATTCCTGTGGTAAATCTTTATTAGAAAAAACTGTGATAAAACTTCTGAGCTTTCAGTCACACAGAGGTAACACTCAGTGAATAGACTATAGGGTGCTTGTAGTGCTTTATGAACTACAAATAACAATGTCTTATGATCTTTTTCCCTATACATTTGAATGGATTAAATTACTAAGCTGAGTGGTAAAAGACATCTATGTACATCACTCAGACTTTCATGAAGTATTCGGCTCTGTTTTCAGAAATCACATGGGATTAAGACATCTAAAACATAAAAAATTCATATGGAAGTCTTTATTTCACTAAGCAATCAATCAAAGCAGAACTATCATAGGCAATTCATCTGAAAGGAACCTTACAAAGGCATGTGATGCATTCCCCTCCTCCAAAATAAGACCAGCTATATCTAAGTGATCTCTGACAGATATCTGTCTACCCTGTTAATAAAAAACTCTAATAATGGAGATTCCTCAGCATTTTTAGACAATATATTCCAGGATTTGCAGTTAGCAGTTTTGTTCTACATCTTCCTACCTGTCATTTAAGCACATCACTTTTATCCTATTCTCCCTGAAAAGAGAACAGTTTATTCCTTGCCTCTTTGCAACAACCTTTCACATGCGTATTTGAATGCTCCAGTATCTCATTCCCCGTTTTCAACTTTTCTTCACAGAGCATGCTCAGAACATTCCCCATCTTACAGACATCTCATACAAGATGAACAAAAGAGGGACTACACCAAGCGCTGTACACAACTCCTGGTTATACAGGTAAATATCACATTTGCTTTTCCTATAGCAGTATGATATTGTTCCTTGATGTCCAGCTTCTGACCCACAATATTTCCTAGCCCCTTTTCTACATTATCCCTTCTGTCTTGCCAACCATTTCCCACCCTGTATTTATTCAATGTATTCCTATTTGTACAGTCTTGATCTTATTACCATTTATTTCAGGCCATTTCTCCAGTCCATTAAGAAATTTTCAAATTCAAATCCTGTCCTTCAAAATGCTTTCAGATTCTTCCAGTTTGATACTGAGAAATTAGTCAGCATTCTCTCCACTCCTTATCTGAAAGACCCACAACAGTCTCAGGCACACAGGGATGTATCTAGCTCAACACCAATATATCTTTATGGCTTAAGAATGAATCATGAACAGACTCTTATTTTATCTTTGCACCTATCTCCCTACTTATTTAAAAAGTCAACTTACATAGTATGGAAGTTAAAAATGCATGACAACTATTATTCTTCCATATTCACAATTTAGAGGAAAGAAATTATGGGAATTTGACATGATTCCTTATGGATAAATACAGGCTGACTACCATTAAGATCTTATACTTCTATAACTCTTTGTTGATAACTGAAACAAGCAAGCAAGTCTTTTTTTCTTTTTTTCTCCTTTTTAATGACATTTAACACTTTTCAGCATTATAAAGCCATACTCCTACACCTTCACAAAACTACTGGTTACAGTTTGGTAACCAGATCTGCCATAGTTATGTACCTTAAATGCTCTAGGATGAATTTCAGCAAACCCAGCTCGTAATTTATAACCTGCTCTTTTCTTACTCTAGCCCTAATCCTTAAGTCCTTACCATCTCAGAAACATCATGTTTGGTTGCAGTTTGTGGATGTTTTTTTTGTGTGTTTTATTTATTTATTTATTTATCTTACTAAGAAAACTAAAATCCACTCTGCCTTATGCATTAAAAAGGTGCTTGCAAATGGAAAAAGTAATATTTGTGATCATTTCATTGCATGAATGGTGGAAATGTTAAAAAAAAAAAAAAGAAATGGTTTCAAAGCATTCCATCCTGCTAATTGCTGATCACTATACTCAGACAGAGTTTACAGTATAGTTTATAGTGAGAGCTGAAGAACATTATGACTTGTATACTAAATGATAATTAAAAAACAGCAGGAATCAGGAACTAATTTTAGCTGATGAAGTTAATACTTTACTCATAATTAAAAGTAACATAAATCTGAATACTTCTGTATGACAGAATGATTTCAATACCTTTTTTTCTTTATACTATTATGCAAATTATCTCAAAAGTACCAAACTTCAGAATGAAATATTACCCAAAACTGGGTTCCTTCTCTCTTCAAAGTAACATTAACATTTCTCTGTTCCACTTCTACAATTCCATTGTTTTCAGACTTATGTGACAACAGGCTTGAAAAAAGAAGCCTTGTGTTATGCCAGAATGTAATGAATAACATGTGTATGGGCACTAATATAAAACAAATTAGTCCTATTTCAGAGCTAAAACAGCATCTGTTTCCTGTCTGTATAGATTTAATAGCTGTGTACTTCTAAACTCAGCAAATTCAATTTGAAAGCTCTGGAGGAAAAAAATAAATAAAAAAAAAATTCAATGTCATTTTTACAAGCTAAGACTTAACACAGCTTGGGAAAAGTATCTATGTTTAACCATTGGAATAACCTCTCTTTGACTGACAGTATTCACATATTTTTTTCTAGACATCACTGATTACAAATACATTTTTACTTAAAGAAAGGAAAGTATCCAATCACGGAGGAAAAAAATATTATATGACTGTATTATTAATATTTTTTGAAGTAAGTATCATTATTTGAAAAGAATTAAGTTGGAATTTCTTCAATAAAGTCCTCTCCAAATAACTTTACATATTTTAATATACTTACGTATATGACAGATAAGACAAACTATCAAACATAAACTAAAATGTCTATAATATACTGCATCAAGTCTCTGTATAACTGTATATTAAGATTTATTATTGCTTAAAATCATTGAAACAAAGTCTTCTACATCAACTACAACCTGTAATGTCATTTTCAGTAAATCTTACTTAATAGTTACTTGTTTTTGCCCCTAATAAAATAGAGATCATCTAAATAAATCTCATATTGTTAAAACAATAAAATTTAAGAGAATCCACTGGACAATGTGAATATATTCAAGGTAAATCAAGCATATCATACGCTTTGTCTAGAGGATCTAGAAATCTAGATTCAAACATCAAGTTCCAATCCTTTACTGTGTATGGCATTTGATTTCCCAAATGCCATGTTTATTCTTGGAGAAAATAAAATAGGTTACATTCAGAAACTGAATGCAACTCTTCTACTGTGGATAGAACAGAAACACTGAAAGATCTGTTTCTGTGATACTTTTAGGCACTTTCATAATCCTGATGCAGAGTTAGAAACTAGTAAGAAAACATAATTAATGTGAGAAGAAAAAAAAGATTATTGCTTCAGCACTTTGACTACTTGGTCAAGCAAAAATTATAAGGAATGTTACAGCACAAATATTGAGTAAGAAAAGATTAGGAAGGAAAAAAGCCAGACAGGAGCAAGTAACTGGTCTTCCATAAATACAAATAGCAGAAGCTAGAGCAGAGGAAAGAAGCAAAAGGAGTTGCCTGTTTCTGAGGATCACCAGGGGTGCATACAGGAATGGGAGCAGCAGCAATAGGAAGTAGCAGAGCTTAGTGTGAGTTTTTATAAATAACTCACTATTTTGTTAACACCTATAATTGTATGCTATAGTGCTATACCAGGCCAGATAGATAATTTTACCCCAGGCAAACCTTTGGAAAAAAGGAAGTTATCAGAATTTTTCTAATAATTTGTTTTTCATTTTCCTGGTAGCAATCTTCGTAGAGAAATTAAGAATATTCTGTGTTAAGACTATGAGATTTAGGCCTTAAGAAATAAAAAAATGTGACTGATGTAAAGATCATCAGTTTATTTTTAGACAAAAAAAATTGCAGTTAACTATTTTTGAAAGCACCAAAGGAGATTAAGCCTCTTAGGAAGTTATATAAAATTAAAGCACAGAGATAACTTCAATATTATTTAGATATAAAAAAATCAGTTAGATTAGTATAAGACTACTGTGCGTTAGGAAGGCAGATAATACAGAGCAGGTTAAGTGCAGACAATGTAAGCCAAGGTCTTTATCCTCCTGTGTCTACTAAGGAAAGTTACAAAGAATAAGATTGTATGTCAACATGTGTGGTGACCATAGGCAGATAGAGATGTCTTAACCCAATTAGGGGATCAGACACTGGCAGAATATCCTTCTATACCATCAAGCTTGTTTTTTCTTAGTAGAAGACAGCATTGAATGTCAAAGCTGATGACAGTGTGCATGAAATATGAAAAATCCATAGAGGCTATTTCTTTTTTTTCTGAGATACACCCAGAAAGTTCTACCATTACCAATTCTATGTTTAAAGATATCTAAATTAAATATATCTGTTAGCCTATTACACTGTATTTATTGTAGAACCCAGAGATACTTTCCAGTGTTCTGAGACACAAGTCTGCATTAATTCTTTAGGAAGACAGAGTAGCATACTTCCAAACAATTTTGTACCTCAGAAATAACTGCAAGATTGAATATTGATGTTTGCCAGGACATTACTGTCTTTTCAAGACTCTTAACAATCACATAATGCTTATTAAATGGTGAAAGCGACTAGATAATTGTTTTTGTTTTTATCTTAATTCACAAAATTTCTTTATTTCATTTCTCTCTATTATTTCCATACTAAGCCTAATATTGCATGGGTCACAGTGATCAATGATCATTCACATCAACATCCATCACTCCATCGTCCTAAGAAATTCACCAATGCTACAAACTACTGACCTTACCCTAAACCCATTTGATTGCAGGCCAGTTGACTCAAGTTTTCTTGCCACTCATCAGCACAAACATGATTATCAGCAGCTGACCTGTGAACGGTCAGAAACATCAAGGAATTCATGTTTTTAGACAGGGTAACTGTAAAGAAAAAGAAAAATAACTTTATTGTTATTTCACATTATTTGTTTTACGCATGGTATATCAAAACCTATAGCTACATTTTTCCAAGAGGCTGTCGCTTCTGTTGATTTCATATGCTCAATAGCTTTACAATTTAAAAACAATGCAACTATGGCTACCAGAAACTTGATAACATTGAATAGCATAAGACACTAAACAGCAGACATCTAGAGGACTAGAATAATTGCTAGCAGAGGTTAATGTGGGTTTCTGATAGTCTTAATCTTGTTACATACTACTTTACCCCACAAATAATTCAACTGAAATCATTAAGGTAGTTTGAGAGATGGATGTTGCTTGATGTAGGAATGATATCTTTGTTTGACTCAGTAATTTGTATCGTTCTTATCTACTGATATGTTGGTGCAAGTAAAGAAGAAAAAAAACCAACAGCTTCTTTTAACAAGAAAGATCATGAGCATTATTTCTTTCTCAGTCTATGTTTAAAAGCGTGTAACCGACCCTTATCACATGTAAAAAGCATCTCAAAACGTCCCAAATTGCACAAGTAGAAATCTACATCCTTCTCTTTCTAAGATTCTGTAAAAATGTTTGCCCCAGATACATGCTGATTTTAGTTAAATTGCTCTACTGATTTTTGTGTGAATAGTAGTAATCTTAACATAGCCTGTCGCTAAACATTTTTGCTATATGCTAAGGGGCTTTTGCTTTTCTTCCCATAATAAAGTTATGTATCAATTTTAGAGTACACCTTTTCAAATATGCAATTTAAGAACATTTATTGTTTGATACACACATTTTATTAAATTTTGTTGTTTATTAATGTTAATGATTAATATTTTTAATATTTGTACTGTTCAATATGAATGCAAAATATTTGCTTCTGTAAGCAATAAAGTGCATTTTTCTATATATAAAATTAGTTACAAAGCATCTCAAAACTTAGTAATATGAACTACTGTCATACATAAATGCATGCTAACTGAATTCTCAGAAGATATACTGCAAGCTTCCAATGTGCATCTTTTTAGTGCTTTTTTTTTTTTTTTAGTCTAATTTAAATTTAAAGAGAAATGTTTAGAGAGTTCTACACATAAAAACACAAGCCTACTCTGTATGTGGTTGACATTGGCAGTTTACACCATACTTTGGGGACAGTATAATGTACATACATGCATGCACTGGGAATCTACTATAACTATTTACCTCTTGTAAGCTTGAACCTGTACCACTGCATTCAGTGTGAATTTCCCATTGAATTTCATGAATAAAGGATCAGGGCTTAGATTTTTTGCCTAAACAAATTCTACATCTGCATGCCTTCTTCCTCTCTCATACGTTCACAGTAATTTCCTGATTTCACACATCATTTATAAGTTCCCTGCAGTGTTACTTTACTTGTTTCTTTGCACTGCGACACTTAACACTGAGAATTTCCTTTCTCTCCTTTTGCCAACCTTCTTGCCTGCTTCACCAATTTGAATCCAGTCCATATAACTTACCACAGTCCCATTCATCTGAGCTGTCACTGCAATCTGCTTGTCCATCACACCAAAGCTCACGTGGCACACATTCGTGGTTGGCACACTCAACCTCATCCTTATCACAAAATGCTGCAAGGAGGAAAAACACAGTTCGCACTGAGAAAAAGAATAACCAACATGAAATGCACATAGGGACTGGAAAAAAATTTAGGGGAGAAGGTAGGCATGGAACAGATATGCAGCCCAGGGTTTTCCGTAGAATTCCTCATGCAGTTGATAAAAGAACTTTTTGTTGTCTGATACCAATGTCAACTCAAACTGAGCTTTCATTTTTCTTATTTTCTCCATGCAGATGAAAGTTGCAGAGCGGCAGGTGTATAATCTCCCTGTAAAGCCTCGCCTCATCTCCAGATATCAGATATGCGTATATATACAGTCTTTTTTTCCTATTTCAAGGAGTCCCCTGTTCAGCCAAGCTGGTCTTCTACCCCAGCTGCTTAACTGGGGAAAAGAAGCATGATGATGTGAAGGAGAAACATGGGGAATAGAGAGGGTTGGAGTGAGCAAGGAGACAGCAAGGATCCAGGGATGTGAACACCAGAGGACAAAAGGTGAGGAAAAAGAGGAATTGGTGCCAGAGAGTGAAAAAGAAACAGAGAATAACTATGCCTTTTTGTCTGTATAGAATGATTTTACAACCATTTGCTCTTTGCCACAAGATCCTAAAAATGCAACCAGCCCTTTGCAGAATTAAAGCCACAAAGACTCTTACAGCAGTTTTTTTCATCCATCATGTCAGGGCAATCTGGGAAACCATCACAGATCATTGTGTGCTTGATACAGAGCTTCTTCAAAGGACACTCCCAAAGACCCCTTTCTCTACAGCCTGGAGGCAGAAAAGCACAATTTTCAAATAATTGCATGCAATATCAAATCAACTATTTTATTTCTTCTTAATAATCTTGAAACATTCAAAATATTTTCAGTTTCGCCATTAATTTTAGAAGTTAACTAGAATAGTCACTAATGAAAAAATGGAAGGAAGATTGACACAATGCATGTTTGTTAAATGGATATAAAATGTATCACACTGCTTTTAAAATAATAATCCATGCTGTGCTACACATGCTGTAAATAATGAATTAGGCATTAGCTCCCAAGTCTCAAGCCAGATCAAATCATTACTCTTCAAATGTTTTTATTATGTATGTAATAAATGTAAATGCAAAGGTAGATAAAGTAAAAATATTTACATTTAATATATAATCATTTAAAATCCTGAAATCCATGGCGTATTTAAAAGCATATTATTTTGACTGCTCTGAAAGTAATGCCTTCTAGTTTTTCCTCCATGGAAGCAACAGCAGATAGAATACAATAACGCAACTTGATAGAGCAAATTCTCAGCTAAAAAGAACTATTTTTTAACATAGGAACCACCATGAGCCATGTATTTTTGCTAGTGATGAACAAAATCCTAGTGATGAACAAAATCCTACACAGCATGCTTGCAAAAATTTGCACCAGCAGGGATGATCCACTGTTTATATCGCAACTGCTGAAAATGCACCACTCACTGCACCACTGTGCTGACAACCACTCTTTTGCCTCCATAAACATTCATCAAACACTGATGAATGCCCATGGTGCAATTTTTTCCACATGGAGGAATTCGGTGACATGTGTCACACAGCAACAAAACATAATGGAATGTTGTTGAGAAGGTTCAACCTCTACTGCCAACCTGCTACATTCACCTTCAACATGAGCCAATATAATAAAATAGAAGTCATTACTTTTGGAGCAGCCTTTCTACACAGAATTTTGATCTTTCAAAATTAAATCCTGTGGCAGTATGGAATCCCAAAAAATAGAGCAGAAAAATGTAAATTTTTTTGGCAGTGCAAATACAAAACGTAGTGCAGATCACAATGAAAGGTAGAGAGATACTTTAAGTGTTGAGTGTAAGCAGTTTTCTCAATGTGATCTGGGCAGTCTGAAAATATTGGGAAGAACCTGTGAATGTATGAATATTCAGGAGGAGTCATTGTTAGGAAGGGAACAAACAGTATGATTGCCTTTTCAGGGTCCAGCTAACAAGCCTCACTTGTTTCAAGAGGAATATTCGTAACTGTGTCAAAGCGCTTTGACAGTATAACTTCTGTTTGTCAACCACAGGAAATTTGGAATAGCTTGAAGCAGATTATAGGGAAAAAAAAAATCTTTTCTCTTGTTTTATTTCACTACTTGTTTTTAACCAAGTAATAAAGCACCTTGCTGTGACACTAGTTGAACAATGGAATACTTAGACATACTAATATTCTACACACCTGACATTCTGATTTTAGAGGAAATCATTAAAATCTGTTCTCCTGAATAAAATGGGTAGTTTGATTGCCTTGTTTGGTCTGTTCTAGAGCTGACAATGCTAGTTCTCTTTTTAATCCAAGCTCAAATTCAGGTGACAGTCTTGGTGCACCCTCAGTCAAATAGTTTTGATCTCTGCTCACACTTGAAACAGCATCACTATTTTCTTGGATCTGGAACTGCAGCAATATATCAACATTAAGTCAGTAAGAATATATGCTTTTTCTGAGTATTATTTCAGAAGTGATTATTTTACTAATATGAACCAGTGAATCAACACTAGCTCATGTGATTACTGGAAGAATGTACCCAAGTTTAACTGTCACTGGATGTGCAGAGGGCTTTATTTATTTAGATTGAAGAAACCACATTAAAAACATTAAGCATACAGATAAATAAAATCCTTGAACCCATGAAACTAATTTCACATGACAAAAGACCGTTCTTGAATATGGCCATTTTCCAAGTCTCCTTCTTGATAATATTTGCAATAACCACAAATGAAAAATTAATTGAAACCAATTCTAATAAGGACCAAAGAATGTCAGTCATGTTAGGAATCTGATATGAAAGCAAAATAAAAAGCTTTAAAAAATCTAATTTATCAATCTTGCAGTTTTTGAGCTGAAGTGTTTACAATTAATTAAATTCATGTTTGCTTTTTCCCTTCATCGCACATTATAGTGCTATATTGTGAAATGTTCCATGACTTTGCAAAAGTTATTTTTGGGGACACCATAGGCAAATAGAGACAACTCTCCGGACAAAATTACATACTGAATTCCCTGTTCATTGCAGGGCAGTTGGACTAGGTGACCTTCCTTTCAAGGTCCCTTCCAACTCTAAGGATTCTATGGTTCTATGAATTCAGTGTTAAACTCTACTGTTTTATTGGAAAGATTCTGCTTACTGTTTAGAGTACTCTTATTTCTCCTCTCTCTATACATCATGTACAACATATGTTGTTAATTTAATGATAATTAAACAGAAGTGAAAATGATGGTAGGAAAACTTGTCTGTATTTGTATTACAGGTACTCACATATGATTTTACCTTCGCCATCCTTCAAAACATGAAGTAATTAACCACTTGTTACCCATAAATATATTTGCCCTATAATTATTACTAGGTCCTTAATATGAAGTCCACATATTTTTATTAAGCTAAAAAGCCAGACTCAGAATTCAGACTGGAGAAAATAGTGAAGGACAATACTTGTTTTGAATATCACATCCTCAGCATCATTAGTACTCTTTTAGGACCCTCTTCTGCTCTCTGCCGGAGGCATTGTTCAGCAGTCAGTAAATTAATATGATCAATTACAATCAAGCATCTTTAATACCACAAACTCTTCACTTCTTTCTTAATAATAATTTTAAGAAATCAACTTCCTCACACTTTTCTGAAACACACTAAAAGTCTCACATTCAAAACTCCGGTTCAAATTTTCTTCTCAATATCTAGAGATATTCAAGTCTATTAAGACTTGACTTCACTATAGTTTCACGGATGAAAGTTCCCCTACAAAGATCACAAGGAAGTATGACAGGAATTCCTAATGAGAGGAGAAAGGGTGTGCTGAACACAGCTCCACTCTTCATGGGCAAAATATACTTTATTCCCATTAGAGTGTTCTATCATACATTTCTGGAAATGGTAGCTTAATCATCCAAACATGTAGCTAGTCTCTACCAGCCTCCTCCTCCCTGCACTGGGAAGATATTCCAAAGTATGAGATCTATGACTCTCATTAAAGCCACTTCAATAATTTTAATTTAAGTGCTTGCCTAACTGTTTTTTAGTGCTATAAAATTTCAAACAATGAAACTAAGAAAATGTGAGCTAGTCATTTACATATGGGAAGATCAACACACAAGGAATATAAATGCATCAGAGATGGTTAATTCTGGAGCTCTACAAGGACTGTCTGTTCTTCAGTAACAACATTACCTCTGGTCAATGTAATGTCACTCTGACAGCTATAATTTCCCAGCAGATAGAGCTTTCCGTATTTATAGATGCTGATAAGAATTCTGCTGCTTGCTAGTGACATTCTGTCTAGACTACAGAGACAGAGAGAGATCTATTGGAAAAATTAATGTTACGTATTAGGACAATATTTCATTTATTAGGATAATAAAATTATCATAAAAGACACATAGAAATCAGCGTTCTAAGGAGTTAAAACAGTGACAGCAAAGAGTATTTGTTGGGGAGGACATTCAAGACAATTGATTCAAAGGCAAAAAGATTATCAGCTCTGAAATAATTACTCTGATCATCAGCTTTGCCTTTGAAATCCAAAACTGATCTAGATTTAAATCCTATTTTGATTATCAAATCTCTCTCTCTCTCTTTTCTTTATTTTTGTAGGGGGAGGTAAATGGTGTAAAAGAGCAGATAGAATACAATCTTGATTTGAAAACTCCTTGAGGCTTAGAATACATTGCTCCTTAGTGATAAATCATGCCTTGATTATACCCATCATTAAAACAAGCTTCTCTTATAAAAGATAACTTTAGAGAAGTGACAAGCTTGAATTTTAATCTAGCTTCAGCTTTCAGATGCTGGATTTTTGTGTGTGTGCAGCAGAGTGTAGAATCTTTCATTACCACAGATATTTTGTCTCCTTAACGACTTCAGCTCTTAATCTACTTTCTGTTAAAGAAACCAGACTATACACCTTAGCCCTATGCTGCCAGAATATTCAAATCCCTTACCCATCTTCACATCTTCTCTCTAAATTCTTTATGGTTTGTAATTGTTCTTTTTGCCCCTTGTAACAGGACTACATGCAGAACTCCCAGAAGCCAACACCTTATGGTAGGAAGTAGCATAAAATGCCTTCTCAGAATACTCCTGCTAGTACGTACAAGGAAACAGTGAACAAGATATTTGCTGCTTATTCTCAAACTCAACATGTCCCCTTAAGCAAAGAGCCAAGAGGTTTTCTACAATAGATTTACTCTGATATGTACCAGAGAAAAAAATCTCTGGTTATCACTTTATACTTACACCCATGCCTAAAGGTTAGCCAGAATCCACTAACCATGTGCTAATACATGCCTTGTGTTAATATACCACAGTGAGAATGTTTCTACACATACGTTTAAAACTGCATTTACAGATTCAAGTTATAAACCCCTAGGAAGATTATTTTAGCTCATTATAATTTCCAGCAATATCACAAGAATTAAATTTGCAGCAGTTTTTATCTTGATTACTGCATGAATAATCAGATATCATAGGACAAAGCTAGCAGAATCTCAATAATCAAATATAATAAATTGTGCTGACATTGATAAAGAAGAATTCTTGCTGAAGTATTTTTACAGTCACTAGTCTTTAAAAAATTGCTTTCAAATACATTTTGTCTTGCAGAAAAAGGGGCTTATTCTGTGAACCATCATGCTACGGTTCAATTAAGTGAAGAAAAACAAAATATTCCCTAATGACTCAGCTACTCTTCATTTGGAAAGTACCCTCCAACTCATATAATTTATTTACCACAGCTGTCTTCATCACTGTCATCCTCACAGTCAGCTTGACCATCACATCTCCTGGATGCCAGGACACACCTCCCTGAACGGCATTTGAAATGGCTGGGTGAGCACTCTGTCAATGACAAGGAACAGACAGAAAAAAGACTCCACAAGATGAAAGCTAAAGTTTAATCATCATGTGTGTAGTTATTTATTACTGTGACTGTTTTAGAAGAATAAATGACAGAAACAGAAACCTTGTGAAACTATAAATTGGAACCGTGTATTAGGTAACTATTCTTAACAATTGCACTGTGAATGGGGTGGAATGCTATTTGCCATACTGACCATGTTGTGCCAAAAGTTTGCTTTTCCACTCCTACATACTGCTTTATAATAATTAGTAATTCCTTTCCATCAGACTTTTGTTGAAATTTTTTCCTTGTCTCTCAGTCCCATGACGTAGGATTTAATTACTATGGAGTTACACATTTTATACAACTCCCCAGATTATGTATCTGCACATGGACTTTGCTTGAAGAAATGATACTTATTGCTACACTTGCCTCAGTGACTTCTCAGAATGCTTCACCACACTTATTAACAATAAATTTTCACTAAACAAACTACAGACCAAATAGCTATTACTCATTGCTTTCTCTAAGCAAGATCAAAAACTGTGGAAAGATTGTCATCACCGTGTAGGTGAGTGGGAGAAAAAAGGTAAGAATTATCTCTATATTGGCACACATCATTTTTCAGTTTTCCCAGCATCTTCCCCAAGTAAAAGAAAAAGTAGGTCAGAATCTCCACAGACCTCACATGAGATGAGCATGGCAGAAGAAAAAATTGCACAGTCACCCTTAATACATCAACAAAGAAGATGTAGAATCATGTACGGCAATTCCATTCTTTTCTTCCTTGTTCATACTCATGAGTAGTGTTATTGCTGAACTCAAGAAAATGAAATACGTCAGTTGCTACTGACTTGACACAACCCTTTTTTAAAAAACAATAATCATTTAAAAAAAGAGCAAAAAATTGCTAGCAAATATGCTAGATTTACAGCATTTCTCTCAGAGATGTCATGGGACTTAGCTTTTTTAAGATTGCTAAGACTTCTCTTCCTGTTAGAAAATCATTATATCATCTAGACAGGTTTCAAAAAGGAAGCACAAATACAAAGTAGTACAAGTAGTAGGTGTGGTGTCAGCCTGAATTTTCAAACACTGACTTTCAAAGATTGACGGCAATTGATGCTTACAAAAACTTCCTCTTATCTGCAAACAGTAGGTGTGCAAATTCTCTGATAACTGATTTAGAATCATTCCTACAGTTATCAGACAACATGAATGTTTTAAGTCACTCTACATGACCTATAATAATTTAAAGGAGAGGTATAAAAACAAAACCAACCAAAAAAAACCTCCAAAACCATAAACCAGTATCTTCCAAAACACAGTCTCTAATTTCTACTCTACATACCTTCAACATCTTCATCTGGTGTCAGACAAGTTTGGTTGTCTGAGTTCTCATCTGGAAACTGAGTGCAGTCAGTATCCTCTGGCCACTGCAGACCTACAATCCCAAGCACAGACTCACAGCGTTCCTTAGACTGTACACATAATGTCCTGAGGAGACAAAGTGGAGTTGCATAGGATAACTGAGAAGAAGTCTTAGAAATTACCATGTTTTAGAAATCAATAATTCTAGCCAAATTTACAGAAGATGATCAAGGAAAAATCAGTTAAATGGATTTCTATATGTGAATATAAACATCTATAAAGAGAGATATATTGCTTCTGTTGAAACATGAGTTTAAATTACTGTACATAAACTATTATCTGAGTTATAATAACCAAATATAATTACTTACAAATATTTTCTCTTCCATGAGGACGGTAGCAAAACTTTTATAAGAAACACTGTTCTCCATCAAGGAAAAAAAAGTCAAACATATTTTGTACCAATAAGATGTCACCTCTTCTGATGATGCTACCTCAGATACCACTGCACCATGCACATCACCTAAAGAGCAGTATAGTGCTGAAAAAAAGCTTTGTCTCTGACAAATTTTAAGGTTTATAAGAACAGGCAGTTCTAAATATTTTCAGATGCACACAGTGAATACAGTGTAAGAACTGCAGGGCTGAAATACTCTTACTCAGACATTTCTGGAAATGCTGGTTCCAGAAAGACAACGTATTTAAACTTGCAAGCAAAAGAGCAAATAACTCCTCAGGAAGTTCAATAACATCGAAGCACAAATCACCTTAGTCATGTACTTTCATTCAGAGCAACAAAAGCTTCTATCACATCTAGAAAAAACACGAGTGTAGACCTTCTGTTGCCTTTTTTTTTTTCTTATCATAAAAAACAGGACTAATCACATAAACTTATTTCATTCCATCTATACTGATACCCCGTGTCTCAAATTAAACAACATCAAATGTCTCAAATTTACAAAGCAAAAGTGCCTCATTGGAAAATCTCCTGTTAGTTTAACAATTCTTTTAAACATTTAATGACTCCTTTTGCCTGGAATTGCTGCTGATGTGCTGTTCAGTATAACATTCTTGTATCTGCAGTATGTTGAATTCATCTTTGTCTCAACTATCTCTTTTTTAAGAGAGTTCAATAGTGTCAGTATTAACCGTATTGGTATAACCAGCTATGGTATCAGTTTCAAATGCTGCTTTTTACTTTGGTGGAATATTAACTATGCAATCTGCAATGAGAACCTCAACATTCTTTTCACTGCTCCCTCTAGCAGAAACATACCACATATTTGATAGATGACTTGCCGAAGCTTTTATTAAAAATGTTCCTACTATTATAATTTTATATACATACACGTTTATAATTTTCTTTATCTGACCCATAGCTCTCCTGATAAGCTTTAAATCCATTGCTTGCTGGTTCAGCTCCCAAGAATCTGGTGAATTATTTCCTCATAATAGTTCCCTTTCACCTTTTTGAAGACAATAGTGTCTCTCCATTATTGTGTCTCCTCTCTAGACTCAGCAATGCATTCAACTGTACCTTTTAGGTCGTATCTTCCACATCTGTAATTGCTTAGACTTTCTTCTACTGCTTCAAAGAAAGTTCTCCTTTGTTCCTATATTTTGAAAAATATTCAACCACAGGATCATCTCCATTTCTATTTTATTTTCAGTTTCCCTTGTGTCATTTTTAGCTTGCTTTGTATTGAAGTTGATTGAATTTTTCAGGTCTTTCTTCTTGGAACAGCACATCCTATCATGGAAAGCATTTTTTTCCTTTCATCATATTGCCTTTAACTTTTGACTGGTTTTTGTTGCTGTTGTTATTGTTTTGTTTTTATTTGTTTGGTTTTTCTTCTCCTGCAAGCTTGAAGAAATGGAGTGACCAAAACCTAGCATATAGGTCTATTTAGGATCAACAATCAATTAAAGGATCTTTTTTAATTCTTGAGAAAACAAGACATTATCATTCTTCTCAAATTTCATTTTGTTGTGGGGATTATACGAAGTAGAGCCAATGTTTTTCTGCACCAGGTTATTCAACATTGATTTCAGCAGCTAGAATGAAGACATCAGTGCTGCACTATGTTGTAATTGCTGTGTATTTTATTTACCACATACTCTGCAGAGCAGAATACAAAGCGTCTAGCCTGTAATTCTAAAATGATGCTTTTAGTCTGTTAATAGCTTCTGAATACAGAGTACAGGCTGAATTCTATTAGCATGTCCACATGAAATGAGACAAAATGTACCAAAGAAAATAGTCATGTAACTGCAGCCTAGTTAATCAATGTCAATTCATTTATATCTAGTTTGATATGACATCATTTTGTCTTTCCTTTAAGAGTCTTCTCAATATCAAAAATGCTGACTCACACCATTTTATTACCTCAAGTTTCCGAATTGCACAGATTATTTTATTCACTGATGACTAAAAACAAATGAAATAATAATACTGTGATTATATTAAAAAAAAAAAAAAAAAAAAAAAAATCTTGTTAGCTGAAATATCCACTGAAATATCCAAACTGATTCTGTGATTCACATGTTCTCTGCATATTTCTGGACAAGACTGGCCTTTTTCAAGAGCTTGCCATTCAGTTGTCAGTCTGTGGTAAAAGAATTAAAACTTAGGTCATCTTCAAAGCAGTGCTTATCCCATGGCACATGGAAGCCTACTGGAACGCTTTTAGGGAAAAATGCTAATTGGTAATATTTTTACTTTTTAAATCCTTTCCACATTTCTTACTGAATTTCACATTTGGAGTATTGGAAAACTAAAGAAATTGACAACAGACTTAATTTTTTCTTTCTAAACTCCTTAGTCAAAACTCATCTCAAAAAACCTGCAGTTGTGATACTGTCAACAAATCAACAACTGCATGAGTGGACAAGGGAAGAACCACTGGTATCATTTATCTGGATTTCAGCAAAGCCTTTAACATGGCCCCTCACCACATCCTTCCCTCCAATTTGGACAGATATGGATGGGCTGTTTGATGGACAAAAAACTGATTACAAGATCTTACCCACAGAGTGGTGGTCAATGGCTAAATGTCCAGATGGAAATCAGTGATGAGTGGTATCCCTCAGGGGTCATTACTGGGGCTGATTCTCTTTAATATCTTCAATGACATTGACAGTGGGATAAAGTGTATGTTACAGTTGACACGTCCAAAGGATGAGATGCCATCCAGAGAGACCTACACAGGCTTGAGCAGAGGACCCAGGTAGATCTCATGAGGTTCCAACAAAGCCAACTGCAAAGCTTTGCATCTGGGTCACAGCAACCCCACACTATCAATAAAATCTGGAGGGCAAAAGGATTGAGCATAGTCCTGCTGAAAAGGGCTTGGGGCTATTGGTGGATGGCAACCTGGACATGAGCCAACAATGCTGCTCAGAAAACCAACAATATCCTGGGCTGAATAAAAACAAGTGTAGCCAGCAGATTGAGGGAAGAGACTCTGCTCCTTTGCTCTGCACTGGTGAGACTACACCTGGAATAGTGCATCCAGATGTGGATTCCTCAGCACAGGAGAGATGTGAGAGCCACAAAAATTATCCAAGGGATGGAACACCTGTCCTCTGCAGATAGGCTATGTGAGCTGGAGCTGTTCAGCCTGGAGAAGAGAAGGCTCCTGGGAGACCCAAAAGTAGCCTTTCAGTATCTAATGCAGGACTATTAAGAGAAATAAGGGAACACATTCTTCAGCAGTCTGCTGTAATAGGGCAAGGGAAAACTGATTCAAACTAAAAGAAGGGAAATTTAGGTTTATTATAAGAAAAAAGATTTTTATGATACGGGTAGTGAAGCACTGGAACAGGCTGTCCAAAGATGTGGTGGATGCCCCATACCTGGAGACATTCAAAGTCATGTTGGACAGGGCTAAGCAAACTTATTTAGCTGTAGATGTCACTGTTCATTACAGGGAAGTTGGACAAGAGACCCTTTAAAGGTCCCTTCCAACTCAAATGATTCTATGATCAATCAAATTATTTTGATTTTTCTATCAGTGAAAGAGTACACTTCACAAAGCAGTGAAATCACTCCATTCTAGAAGGAGAAAGAAATACAAGGCTAATTTTTTAAAAAATGTCGTTATAGATATGTAGTGGCTATAAAAAAGATCTTTCAGTTCTAGGATTTGAGATGTTACATATTCAATATGATGTAAATGTCATGGTAGTCCTGCTTTGAGCAGAAAGTTGGGACTTCCAGAGGCCCTCTTCAAACTAAACTATTCTATGTTTTTTATTAGTTTCTCTTCATGTTTCTGTTCAATGCTTTAAATTTGAAGACTACTGCTATTTTTCAACTAGATTGCAATACTTCCTAAAATCTGTTAGCTAGGTATTTAGCTGCTAAAGCCTATCATTTAATTTTAGTCTCTCTATATTAGAGTGAGTCCAATGTTTTTTATACATCATAGTGATTTCTTTAAAAAATAAAGACTAAGTTTTTAAACACACAAACCTGAAACAGAGCTTGCACAAACCAGGTCTCTAACTTCACATTGTATGTAATATTAACACCCACCTGGTATGTCCCTAAGTGAGAATAAATCAGCATCTTAGTAAATTTCCCTGTGTCTCAATCTCAACTCATAACATGAAGGTATATATCACTGGACAAATAAACGTTATTTATTTGTCAACAAATGCTACGTGGTAGGAATCCTTAGGAAATGTATTGCAATTTTCAGTGCGATTTGTTTCAATGCACTAAGTATTGATCCACATGGGCAGGGCAGGGCAGACCAAGAAATGAGAGAAACAGAGCGTGAGAAGGAACAGATCTCTTTTGACATAACTCTTAAAGGTACAGTGATATTAATTGCTGAGGGTGGAAGAAAAGTTAATCTGACAATATATTTTATAACTATCCTCTAATTCAGAAAGTTAATTATGCATTAAAGTCTTTATTGTTCTTATTAGTATTTGGCTCTGGCTTTCCATAGATAAAGTGTTATACAAATGCAAAGTAGTATTATAAGAAATTTCCAAATCTGATTAATTCATTCTGTTTAAATATCTATCATAATAATGCAATTCTAATCAAACTGAAGTGGGAAATTCTCCATAATAAATAGCCAATCTATACATTTTGACAATTAATAGAACTGCTGTTCCTCTCCTTGTTTTATATACTTCAGAAACTTCTTCCCTTCGAACTGCAAAACAAAATTTCTGGCATATACAATGAAGGCAGAAAATTTAATACGATAGACAGTGGCAGTTAAGAAATAAATTAAGTATAGTATACTACCTGCAAGGTGGGATCCGTTGATTTGTATGGGGGTCACATTTTGGTACTAAGATTGTACAGGCAAAAAACATAAGGTACTTGTAGCAGTTGGTCTGAACCAAGGCTGGGAAGAGAGAAGACTCCCAGCTGACAGAAGCTTCCTTCTGAGTCCTGTGCCCCAGGTAGTTTGGGTAGCTAGTATAGTTGTAAGGCAAGTTCATACAGAGTTCCAGAGTAATTGGTTCACACTGACCTTTCACAAAAATAAAACCATTTAAAAATTAAAATTAAGAAACATGTTTCAAGTTTAAGTGAATTATAGAAGAAATAACACTAACACATTTCCCACTGGTGTGCTACACTACATGTCTCAAACTGACAGGGCAATTATCAACGATAATGATAGGATCATCGGGTATTTAAGCTTAGAAGTGACCAAAGGAGCTCTGTAGTCCAACCTTCTGATCAAAGCACGGTCAGCTCTGAGGATAGGTGAGGTTTCTCAGGCCTTTTTCCAGTCAGATCATGAAAATTTCTAGGGAAACAGACTATATATAAAATATCTGTATAGAAAACAGAATATTATTTCTCTTTGATTTTGCATTCCAAATCTTGCATTCCAAGATCTGCAACAGTCTTGGAATCTTCTGATATATGAAGGAGGAATGCGGACAAATTGCAGAAATACTGAATAAAAGGGTTTGAATGCGAATAATTTAATTCAAGTAAGATATAGTTAGTAATAATGGGAATGATAAACAAGGGCAAAATAAATGGCTAGCAGTCCATACGGTTACACAAACTACAGCTGTATATAGGAATAATCAATTTTCAGATGGGTTATTACATACTGAACTGTCTGAATAGCTAGGATTTAAAAGATTGAACAGATTTTGCATTTCTTCCCAAATTTGCAATACATTTTTTTTCAATTTTCCATCACAACAGAAAACAATGTCCAGACAGTTGCTAATGTCAGTTGTCAGCACAATATGTGATCAGATTGCCTAAGATTCAACAGTCAATTATTGAGCTAAACAGAGGAACTGGCCAGTATTTCTTGAACTGATATTTGCTATTATAACCTTCTTTAGTACTTACCTCTTCAATGTGAGGAATATGAAGCTCAGTTTGGATACAGCTTTTTTTCCCTACTAAACCCTTGAATACTGCCAAGATTTAACTGTTCATGTTGTCTCAAATCACTTAGTCCCAGCTTTGCAGTGTATAAGACTGTTTAAAGGCATCATTTGTCAAAAATTCTACCCATATGGAAGTCATTTCCTTTTCTTCACAACAAATTTTATAGCATCATAGAACATTCTGAGTGGGAAGGTACACGGCTGCACTCAGATCTATTCATTCTTCACGTTTCAATTTTTCTCCAGTAAACATGTTCTCTTGATGTTTACAGAATTTTACATACTCATCAGTTTTTCATGAACACAAAACTACATGCAGTGCTCCAAGAGCTTATGTAACATAATATTTTCAGGAGTAAAGGGTAGAAATATACAAACATTGCTGCTTCTTTTGTTATGCCTTACATTTATAGTGGCTTAGGTAAATTCAAGAATAAAATCTAGCCCTATGAAATGCCCCTGTAGAACAGCTCTTCATGTGTGTTCATTGTCATTAGAAATTTTCACACTGCATTTAGAAAGATTCTATCAAATCATGTTCAAAAGTGTCATTATAGGTTTGAAAAAACTATCTTGAATCTTACACCCAATTCCCTATAGTCACCAGCCAAAGTAACAATCAGAACATGCATTCCATAGGAAAATCTGACTAAATTTAAGAACTCCAAATGTTAGCCTTTCCTTCTGATGTCAATCCAGTTTCAGAGATCTTGCTGCTCCATTTATGTACAACTTAATGATTGGGGAACAAGGGATAAAATTCATTGCACGTTTTTCTAACGTATTTATATCTATTTTTAATATCTCCATATTTTTATCATGAAACTGCACTACATGCTATACAGGAATTAGTTCCACTAGATATGAGGATGTGCTGTTCACTTGTAGTAAGTCTGAAACTCTCCCAACTACAATTTCAACAGAAGTGAGCAGAATATTTCATAGAATCACAGAACAGTTTAGGTTGGGAGAGAACTCTATAGGTCATCTGATTCAACCCCTACTTTGCCCAGGTGGCGAAGAGGGCAACAGCATCCTGGCCTGCATTAGAAATAGTGTGGCCAGCAGGAGCAGGGAGGTGATCATCCCTCTGTACTCATCACTGGTGAGGCTACACCTTGAGTATTGTGTTCAGTTTTGGGCCCCTCACTGCAAAAAAGACATTGAGGCCCTGGAATGTGTCCAGAGAAGGGCAACAAACCTGGTGAGGGTCTGGAGCACAAGCCTTATGGGGAGCGGCTGAGGGAGCTGGGATTGTTTGGTTGGGAGAAGAGGAGGCTCAGAGGAGACCTTACTGCACTCTACAACTTCCTGAAGGGAGGTTGTGGTGAGGAGGGGTTTGGTCTCTTCTCCCACGCAACGAACAGGACCTGAGAAAATGGCCACAAGTTGTACCAGAGGAGGTTTAGGTTAGACATAAGAACTTTTTTTCTCAGAGAGTGGTCAGGTAGTGAAATGAACTGCCCAGGAAGGTGGTGGAGTCACTGTCCCTGGCAGTGTTTAAGAGGCATCTGGATGAGGAGCTAAGAGATCTGGTTTATTAGCTTGTGGTAGCAAAGGTAATGGGAGGATGGTTAGGCTAGATGATCTTGCAGGTTGTTTCCAACCTTATGGTTCTATGAGTCAAGGCAGGACCACCAAGAACTAGTTGCCAACAATCACATCTAATGGCTTTTGAAGATCATGGATGAAGACTGCATAGCCTCCCTGGGCAAGCTGTTCCAGTGCTCAGTTAGAACTGAATCTCCTGACATTCAGGCAGGCTGTCCTGTGTTTCATCTGGTGCTCACACCACTGGAAACATCCCGAATCTACTTTATTTATGTGCACACATACATCTCTTCACATATTTGTTCTGTTAGCTGAAATACTCTGTAACCAGTTTACAAAGCCAGCCTAAACTGACCAGAGATTATGACATACTGAGAACATTCATCATATTCAATATTGCAAGTGTGGCCTATGCTTATCCAGGAATTTTCCAACAAAAGACATATATAAGTTAGAAAATATTGCTATGTCAAAAATGAAAAATTCCATCGGAATTTTTCCATGGCATTTCTCATCTCTTACCAAAGATGAAGTAACTCCACTCTTACAGCAAAGCAACAGTAATATGAAAAAAAGACCTTTGTACTTTCATATGTTGTACCAGAAAAATCTCTCCCAAATACACTAGCCGTTCTACTTTGTATAAACAGTTACATATTTACTGGACTGCATAGGAAAAAAGACAAATGATCCAGAAGTCTAATTCAGATTATGAACTATTCTTGTTGAGATCTACAGACTACTGACCAAAATACGATGAGGAAGTATTTCCACTAAAAGTGTTGTATTTCTCACTGACAGGTATATGTATTCCACAACATACTGTTTGCTGCTCAGGAAGCAAAGAATAATCTTCCACAAATTGTGAGACACGAAAGAGAAAATGACTGAAATAATTCAAATAAGATATTTGAGATTTCAACCAAGAAAATTTAAATTACCTTTTATTAAAAGGGTTGGTTTGGGGTTTGTTTTTTTTTGTTGTTGTTTTTTTTTTTTTTAAACTGGCTTCTTATTAATTTTGTGCTATATGGGTACTTTCCTTCCCATTCCATAACATTTTCTAAGTACTTCTTAAAGTACTAGTAAATTTAAAAAAAAACAAAAAATCTACTGTTCCAGTAACCATGGAAGGCTTCCTCTCACATGGATAATTTGATTATGGATATAGATCAGAGGACAGGCCAGCAAAAGTGACGTCAAATTCCACAGTAGGAATATGCAACAAATCCCTCTAGAAGAAGAGGTGGTAAATGAATCCACCTTTAGAGAGCTAGAGGATGTCCTGTGGATGTAAACCCTGGTACTTGTGGGTGGTTTTAACTACGTCAGTATCAGCTTGAAGGACAATGGTTTGGTCTTAAAGGAAGACCTCCTCAGAGCACAATAGAACATTCCAGAGTGTACCAAGGAAGAAATCAATCTTGGCTGAACATGGATTTCCAGACTGAGCTCAAACATTAAGAAAAAATATACAGAAGACAAAGGAGTGGATAGAACATTGAAGATAAATGAAGAGACATTTCCCAAGCATACAGCGATTGATCTCAAAGCTCAGCCAAATTTGAGACTACTGAGAAATGTAAAGAGTGAGAAGAACTCTTTTAAGTACATTGGCAGTAACAGGAAGGGTGGGAAAAATGGGGGTCTGCTGGTCAGTGGAGCAGAGAACTTAGTGATTAGAAGAATGGCCAAGGTATTCATCATCTTTTCTTAATTTTCACTGGCTAATTTCATTGAAAGACTGGTTTTTATCATCATCTTCAAAAGGTCATGGAAACCCTGGCATCAGACTGGAAAATAAAGGCAAGAAACATAGCTGTCTTTAAGAATGGCAAGAAAGAGGATTCAGAGAATACAAGTCCAGTCAGGCTAGCCTCAGTACAGAGGAAGGGTATGGAGCAAAATCCTTCCAGAAGATGGCTGCTCACAAGGAAGTAAGTGTGACTTGGAACAGCCAGCACGAATTTACCACGGAAAAAAACATGCTTGATTATCCTGACTGCTATTCATGACAAGATAACTGTAATTTGCTTGTATTCAGCATTGGTGAGAGAATGTCTGGAGTATTATGTCTGATTTTTGGCTCCCTCATTTATGAAAGACATCGACATACTGGAATGAGGTCAGTGGTGTGCCACCAAGAAGATTAGAAACATATGTTAGAAACACACACTATAAAGACAGAAGCTGCAAAAACAGGATCTGTTCAGCCATAAAAACAGAAGGCTAAGGGGAGATCTTGTTGCTGTTAACAGTTACCTAATGGAAAGTTGTAAAGCAAACGGACCCAGACTATTGTAAGTACAGGGACAAGATAACAGGTGAAAGACAGTTTGGAGCTCAACGAATTCCAGTTCTACATAAGGTAAAGAGGATAAAGAGGAGGATCAGGGAGTCCTAATGCTCAGAGAGGTTGACAAGAAAGTTTCTGGAATTTTGGTCTACGGATATACTAGAAATTCAGCTTCATGAGATCCTGGACAACATTACCTATTTGGCACTACTTTGATCATGAGTTTGGGCAATTGTTCTTTCTGTGTCCATTTGAACACAACTTACTCTAAGATCCTACATAATTTAATGCAGCAACATCATAGGCAGCATTATCCAAGCAAGCTAGCAGTACCAACCCATAACTTGCAATAGGTATTGCTCAGGCTTACAAACCAATTACAGGATATGTCCACACATTTACACATTCATATGTAAGTGAAGGCAAGATTACACTGCCCATGTGCTGAGCTGTCCTGAATTGAAGCTTTAATTTAAAAAAATCTTTCTTAATATAAAGTTCTGCCCTAGTTTAAAGGGCAAGTGAACAGTGGGTGTGAGGGGCTTGCATGGAGTTGTATGGTACAGGATATAGAAAGGAAGATACACAGTGTGGAATACCCTGATCCTCTACAAACATATTAGTCATAAGAATAACTAGATTAGCCAGATTTAATATCAAAATTCTTCCTTGAGAAAAGGGCTGAAACTTCTCAGACTACTAACACAATATCATGCTTTCCTGTATTTTTAACATAAATCCTTATCTCACAATTTGTTGTTTTCTTTATGTAAGCAATGGGCTTGATTTGGCATTAGGAAAAGGTATTACTATGAACATTCATTAAGAATATATCAAAAATTCACAAAAGGCAAATATATGTCAATGTCAAATATTGAAGTATCTCTTGTACAAGGATTTATGACGAAACCTTTGTTTCAGCCTTGCCCTTTTCAACAGGTAATCATTATACACTGTGATGTTAGATAGTAAACAAAATTATTATTTACTGTGCCCTACCCTGCATCTTCATTATATTCTAAAACACCCTAAAGCAGTGACAGTATGAAGCATGTGACCTACTTACTGCAGTTTGTCTGGCTGTTTCTCATCTCACAGAGAGAAGTTCCACACGGATCAGGACAGGAAGTACATCTCTGGTCTCCCTCCTGACAGAGGGTTTGACCTGAGAAAAATAGAAATTTACTATTCTAAAGTTGTACCAAACTAATAAAGAAGACTGAAGCATTGTGATGTGAAAATACAGAGACTCTTAACAACTTATTATTTTTTTTTACATAGTTGAATAAGTACCCTAAAGCACTGAAGTGCAGTAAGGAAGAATAAGGAAGATAAGTGTGCAAAACAATCTGAATGTCACTTTATCCCTGTCCTCAATATGATAACTTATATTCCCAAATCCTGACAGAGATGTATGGAGCTCCGAAAGCCATCCATCATGATCTTGCCTGCAGCAGAGCATGAAAGGTTATGTAAATTGGATTTCAAAGAGAACAATAGATACTAATTAAAAGAATGCTCTCAGGAAATTATTCTCCAGTGCCAGACAGTTGATCTTTCTCTCATTTCATGATTGTTTTGGTGGACAATAAAACTATCCTAAAAAAAAAAAAAAAAATTGGCAGAGATGAAGCTTTGTTGCCCATCTTTGGTAACAAAAAATAATTATGAAAAAAAAAATCATACCCCAAAAGATGGATGTTACCATAACCAAAACCAGTACTTCTAAAAGTTTATGAACAAAATTCCTGGATAGTTAGCTTCTTAACAAACTCTTGGCTTTCCGTCTGTCTCATAGTTTCTTACCAAGCCATTAAATTTGCTCTTCCAAATGAGTCTTGCAAAATTAGTAATTTATTACTCACGTACACATAGACTGAATAGTTTTGATTTTATCATTTCATCCTCCTTTGAATGGTTTACTGCAACAATTGCTTAGTGTTTCTACTGTATTCATGCCATGAACATTAGTCACTTATTACTTCCTTACACTGCGGATACAGAAGATGCTGAAGAAACCAGTATGCTATCCCAAAGAACTGATGCTGCAGTTATATTTTTCCTAATTCTTTGGGCTTACTTTCCTTCATAAATGGCTTATATCAAAATAATGCAAATACATTCTGCTGTAGCAATCGACTAGGAGAATTTGATTGCAAAATGGAACTTGAAAGGTAAGGAAAAATCTTCTTATTGCTACAGCTATCATGAATCTCCACATTAAAATTCATTTTGAAAGTTTGTTTCATCTCCTTCTTATCCTATGATGGAAGATTCTCAACAACTTAAAACTCCCTGTTCTACAATGTAGACTCTTCTGATCATAGCACAGCCAATAATGAATTTCTATAAACACATTACCCTGTGTTTTGAGGGAATCACAGAACCAGCTGTGAGTACATTCATATTAGATTCCTATTTTCACAGAATGAATGGCAGAAGTAATGTTAATAGATGCCATACCTTACCTTTTCAGAAGGAAATTTAATTTCCCTGAGGCATGTAGAGAAGGAGACTGTTTTTCTCATTTGGACATAGATAAAGCAATGTTAGTTTGTAATCCCTATATGCATATCTTTGTACTGTTACACAATGTCCTTTTATCCTTATTCAGACAAGTGGCAATATATCAGTATCTTGAATTCACATTTCTATGTTGATTTCTCATATTTGTTGCGCTTGTAACAAAATGACTATTCCAGATCACTGTAGTCCTAACTTCACTGCTTCTGTTAGACATTTCAGGTTTTTAACTTAGACTAAATACAAAAAGTTCTCTGCTTCATATGCTCTAAGACATTTTCTCTAGTTGCTGAAATCAACTGCATACGCACAGATGTATGTAATGCAAAAGGAAGTTACAAACTATAATTGTCCAGCTTTTACATGGACTGTGCAAGGAATTAAAGAAGTCCATATATTCTCAGAAAAAAATAGGATGTGATTGCTTAAAGGAAGATTTCTGCTTTATGGAATATTGCAAAATATCAGCCAGAGCTTTCTGCATTTCATGAAGTAGATAAAGGAAAAGAAGCAAACCTTCCACATTAAAAACCTTTGAGCACTGCAATTTAATGCAAAATGGAAAACTCTTTTAGTATACAGTGAGATTATTGACTGCATAATTATCACATCTTTCTAGTCCTCTGCATTTAGCATCTTTGATTTTACATCTGCTCATTATATCCCCTCAAAAAAAAAAAAAAAAAAAAAAAAAAAAATTAACAATTTCTTAAATATCCACAGAAACAAAAAACAATGAGAATCACATTACTAACTTCTATGCCAGATCATGCATCAAAGTGTCAGTGAAATTCTCTTTTACTAGGAACAAATAAACTTAAGAGGCTTAAGCTGGGTGGATTTTAAAAGTTGGAGCATGTCTGCTTCAAGAATGTTCTGAATAGTTTTGTACTCCCCATTTTATCTCATTCTTCTATGTGTTTCTCTCATATTAAAAATGATCATTTCATTATCAGCCAAAAGAAAGAGAGACTTGAAGATATTATAGAATAAAACATTCCATCAGGAATGATAAAGAACACATCTGAGTATTTTGTGAAATTAGGCAGTCAGAAATAAAGACAAAAATTCATCCTTGGTTTTTAGATTGCCACAGTCCAACTTGAAAGAAATTTCCTGCAAGACTTTTTTTCATTATATCTTCACTAATTATAGAGACGAATTACGATAATTTGTATACCTAAGATTCTCTTTTGGAATGGTTTAAACTAGAGTAGGAAGATCTCAAAATATAACAAGAGGGAGCTGAGTAGAAAGGATTTCTCAGATTGGTTCCTAAGGAAATAAAGCTTAGGAAATCATGTAGTGTAGCTATCTTTTGAATAGGCTGTCCTATTACCACTATGTCTGAAAGCATTAAAGTTTTCTAAAAGATCTAAATTCCATTGTTTCTTAAAAATAAGTCATAAGAGAAATACATTAAAGATTATTTCACTGAAAGAAAAACTGCAATTTGAAGCTTTTCCAGAATCAAGACAATTACATGTGAACAATGCCTTAAAATGCTAAAATCGTGACAATCAAATGTATTTCATGATAGAATTATTTGGAAAATCATATTTCAGGGTTTCAGAAACAGCTTTCTTTCCTTTCTTTTATACAGTCATTCACTATACTGAAAACTTAATTCCCGTATAGTATCTTTTAGCCACATCAGTGCATTTACTAAAACCTCTTTTCTTTGACTCACATATTCTGATGCAAATAAGATTTTCTTGAGAAGGTTCCTCCCCATATGATACAAATTCCTTGGTTATCACTTTCTAACCACTTCATGCAAAGTGGGTACATATTCTTTATTTCAATAAACAGCTAATCAATCAGGTAACCAAATGCTATGATAAAAATATCACCTCAATTCTATCAATTTTTTTAATATTTGTAAAGACTAATAATGACTAACAAACTTGTGAAAGCAGAGGCCTGACAGCTTTGAGAAGTGTTATCTGAAAGGCAAAGTCTACTTGACAGACAGTTTTAGCTAATGGCTCTTTAGGAAACAGACAGTGCAGGCTCAGTAAGAATAAAATGAGGTATAACCTTACTTTCACTGCAGTTTTCTTCATCACTTCCATCTTTACAGTCATTATCTCCATCACACTTGAATGCACTAGGAATGCACTGTCCATTTTTGCACTCTACCAGACCCTGACTATGACAAGCTGGAAAAAAAAAATGGAATCCTGATCATCAATTAATAAAGGACTCAATTATTTTGAACATCACAGTGAAGTAAATTTAGGAGGAGCTGATATGCTGCTTTGTACCAAAAGTCACTAAGCAATGTTCACCATGTGTAGGACATGTCTCAATAACCTACAGCTGAGCTTTAATTACAAGAACTGAAACTGTATGTGTCACGTACTAGCAACAGACAACAGACTGAGATGAAGGCTCAGCTGTTTTCAAGAGAAAAAAAAACATTTTTCTGGATATAAAAATTTTGCCACCTTTTTTTTTTCCCCCCACATATTTCCTGACCTAGATTAGTTTCTTAGATTCTAGACAAAACTGTACAATACTGATTGAAAGACCAAGCACTGAAAGGCAGCAAGATACTAGAATCAAAAGCTGCATAACCATGTGCTTTATGACAACTTTATTCATATTAAAACACTAGCTGATTCTCCAATACTTGGTTTTGCAAACTGAATCACTATTCTTGTAGAAATCTTGTGCAGGTATACAGCTGTTACACATTGTTAAAGCAGACAGAAATCACACAAGGTATGATAAATAGTATATAAGCGTACCATAAAGCTGTAACAAACTCCAAATACCTACAGTTAAAGAGCACATGCTTTCATTCATTATCATTACCAGGAACACCACAATTAACTAAAGAATAATCTGTAACTTACAAAAAGCTGAAACACAGGGCCATTCTGGTACTTCTCAACCTTACTGACAAACATTCAATTTGCTGCAACCAGAAAAATCATCAGCTAATTGCAAAATTGTGGACTCAAACATGCTTGTGATCTTGCCTTACAAGCAGTATATAGGAGTACTTCTCATCTTAGATTTTTATTTTGATTCTTACAGAAAAACAAAAAAACTCATTTAGACATTAAGAGAACTTACAGCAATTGATTTCATCTGATTTGTCTATACAGTCATGGTCACCATCACATACCCAGTCAGCTGTTATACATCTTCCATCTCCACACTGATGATCAGTCATTGGATTACAATCTAAAATTAAAATAAAACAAAATAAAAAGTAAAAATCAAGACCAAAACAAATAAACCATAACTGGAGAATAAGCTACGATATGGATAATTTCTGTTAGTGGACAATTAATTGTTCTATGCATATAGGCTATGCCATTATACAAGGAAAAGTTTTATACTCCTTCAGGTGTTCAATTTTTATTTTTGCAGATTAAGGTTAAGTATGTTCCGAATTCTACTTAGTAAATTCTACTTAGATAGTGATGCATTCATTCCTTCTCTCAGGTGTATCCTGAGAGAAACCACATCTCAGTTGTTTCTATTTGCAAATAAACAAAATTCTAAGATATATCAGGTTAATTTTAAAGAACTTCAGATTTGCCATCGCATGCAAAAGTTTGCCATCAGAGAAAATTATTCCCTACATGAATTTTTTTTTGTAGGAAATTAAAAAAAAATAACATTACTTAACTGACTTATTTGGCACTAAATCAGAAACCATTATGTTTTTGCATACAACCAGAATTTTCCTGAAGAATGATCTAAAATAAAAATATTTCAATCTTTTTGCTCTTTTAATTAAGTGCTTCCCCAAACAAATAGAAAATCATTTAATTTGGTAGGCTGATATAAGGAAATACACATCATTAAAAATGTTTGATAGGCTTAAAGGAATAATAATTATCTAACTATACCTGCATTTTAGCTTTGGTGTCACAATTATTCTAAGTATGAAGAGTAAAGCATTGACTACATAGACATTTCAGACCATTTCAGCCAGTAGAGGTACAGTTGTAAAAATCCAGCAGTTTAAGAAGGAAATGTTCACGATTTATGTTATAAGCAGAAGAAACCACCTCCACTCTGAAACCAGAGGAAGCCACAGCTGTGGCTCTGTTAGTATATATTTTAGTAATGTTACCATGTTAGCCTTGATCACAAGCTTTTTTACAAAGCTTGGTGCACAGACAGAGTAAATTCTTCCTTGCCCACAGCATACCGCGGGGACTTACAATTAAAGAATTGCTCACAAAGTACTCATAGGGTAATATTTAAGGATTAAGGTAAACACTTGGCCATATGCATAACGTATATTAAATAATATAATGCAATCATAAATTATGAAGTTCAAAATGCCTTGGAAATACAGACAAGTTTGCAGTGAAATGAATTTGTATCATTTAAGTCCAGCAACTGTTGTTCTAGTTTGTGATTAAGTCCCCAACTCATGGCCAAATTGGGTAGGTTCATTTATATAGTCTTCTTCAGCCAGTAAAGCTATTCTGGTTGACTTCACACCACAATAGATAGGGAATACAGACGTAGTCCTGCCCGCCACATGTCCCTTCAATCTCTTTTATAGCCTGTACAAAAAGTTAGATCTTAAATTGTATCTCAATATAAAAATGGTAGGAGTCAGATTAATAATTACTAAAGCCTTTAATCAAAGCAGATTGATGAAAGAGAACACAAAACAACCAATGACAACTGAAAGTAATGAAAAGCCCTTGAGTATTTTTAACTAGAAGAAGAAATATAAAAGCAAACTCAAATAAAAAATGTATTCTGATTTTTAGTTTCAAAATTCTCTGTTTTTCCTACAAAAGTAAAAGAAAAAAAATATGAAAATAATATTTCAACTTTTAAAGAATTATTTTAAATTTTTAAAGAACTATTTTGAAGTTAACAGTTTTTCTCAGGTACAATACCAGGAACATAAGCTAGAAAGAAAATAAGGCTTTCAAAATTTTCAAATATTTATGTATGAAGATTATTCTTTCTTATGGCAAAGCATTCTTCACCTATGAAAATAAACATGAGCAGAATGACAAACATTGAGGCAGAATTTACAAAGCCAATTCAAAACAGAATTCAAAAGAAGTATAACTTCTTTCATCAAAATATGCAAATTTACAATGAAGCTTATGTAAGAACAGTTCAGATCTGAAACTGCTGGCATCACCAGTGTTTACCCTCTTATGTTTTCCTTTAGTCTCAGCCAAACTCAGCCAAGCTAGAAAGAGCAACTGTAACATCTTGAATTAGTTAAAGAGACTTCAGAGCCTTCAGGGATTTTGGATGAGGTACACACAAAAGCAGTGTTTTCCTTTATCCTTCCAGTTGCAGAGAATGATACTGGGGAAAAAACAAGCAGACTTGACACATCAGTACCTGACTCTAAAGCTGGTGTCACTGGCAGAATTTGGGGTTTTTGTTTTGTTTTGTCAGGGAATGGTTACAAAGTGCCAGGCCTTCTGGTTCCTGCTTGGCTACACTTTCCTCAAAGGAAGATTCGAGAGATCGATTCCTAGTGAGGTTTTTTTTCTGCTCCACAGTATGCTGAGCATGAGTACATTTTAGCACATTTGAAATGTTTCTACTCTAATGCGTGCAGAATGAGGAGTAAGCAAGAAGTTTTTATTCAGTCCCAGAGCTATAACATTATTGCATAAAGGAGACTTGGAGGGAAGAGTCCTACAACTCACGTGCTGTGATGGACAGCTGTGATAGGCTTTTCAGAAGGGATAGGAAGGGCAAGGGAAGCAGATGGTTGGCACAGTATGCAATGGGAAGGTTGGTCTGTATGGTACTTGTCATCACTGATTACTCTGTTGAGAGTCTCTGGATAAGGATTAAGGAAGAAAAAAAAACCAAAGTGGATGTTGTACCGGGACTCTTCTGTGAACAAACCCAGCCAGGATGATATAATCAATGAATTATCCTATAAGAAATTAAAGGATATCTCTAGATCAACTGCCTTTGTCCTTATTGGTAATTCAGCTTCCAAGACTTTAACTGGAAATATCTTGCAGCTGACACAAACAGGTACAGGAAATTCTTGACGCACATTGCAGATAAATTCTTGGTACAGGTACTAAGGGAACCAACTAAGAAAGATGACATGTAGTTTGTAAACAAAAAGGGTCTTGTACACAAAATGACCATGAAGTAGTGGAGGTTGGTGAATCTTTGGTGACTTACAAAACTGCTACCAAAACTTTGACAGAGGGTATGGAAAGAGAAGACTTCAGGCTTCTCAAAGAAATAATTAGTAAGTTCCCTGGGAATCTGCTTTTGATATACTAAGGTTCATAAACAAAGGTCACATTCAAAGAGCCACCTCTAAAAGCATAGAAAAAGGCAATTCCAGTAATTCAAAAATCAAGTAGGGTAGAAAGCCTGGTTGGCTGAGCAAGGACCTCCTTTTAGAACTCAGTCAGAAAAGGAAAGTGTATAGGCATTGGAAGCAATGTCAGGGAACAGGAGAATACAGATGCATTGTTTGCCATTGTAGAGACAAAAATTCATGCAGCCAAAGATAACTTAGAATTGAAACCAAACAGTATTGTAGGGGACAAAAAGAAGAAATTTTTAAAGTATGTTAAGAGCAAAAAGAAGATCAAAGGTGACATTGGTCCATTACTTTATGAGGTTTGACACTTCACAAATAGGGACAAAGAGAAAGCAGAGACATTTAATGCCTTTTTCATCTCTGTATTCAACACTAGTGATGGACCTTGTGACCCCCGAGATGGAGAACCGTGACTGGGGGAATGGTAAACTCCTAGCTGAACTCGTGCAGGATTTGCTGTTCCAGTCAAATGCACATAAGTTTATGGGCTACAAGGGGATTCATCCAAGGACACTGATGGATGTGGCTTATTAGGAGACCTCTCAATGCAGTCATTGATCATAGTCAGTACAGATTAACCAGGGGAAAGTCCTGCTTAAATAACATAATTTTCTTTTGTGACAAGACAGAGAGTGGTCAGGTGCTGGAATGGTCCACGCAGGGAGGTGGTGGAGTCGCTGTCCCTGGCAATGTTCAAGAGGCATCTGAATGAGGAGCTGCGAGATATGGTTTAGTTAGCTTGTGGTAGCAGAGGTAATGAGAAGATGGTTGGACTAGATGATCTTACAGGTCATTCCCAACCTTGTGATTCCATGATTCTGTGACAAGCCTATTCATTTATTCGACCTGGGGAAGCGAGCAGATATAATCTCTCTCTTTTTTTGCTGTTGTTAATTTCAGTAAAGCTTTCAATACAGTCTCTCACAGTATCCTTCTGGACAAAATGTCCAGCATACAGCTAGACAAGTACACAATACAATGGATGAACATTTGGCTGACAGATAGGCTCAAAGGCTTATACTAAATGGGTTTACATCTGTCTGCAGACCAGTTAATTGTGGGATACCCCAGAGTTCCAATTAAAGTTTTTATAACTGATCTGGACACAGTAGAAGAGACTGAGGAGAGGTCTCACGTCAGCCTACAGCTTTCTCATGAGTGGGGTGGAGGAGCAGGCACTGATCTTTTCCCTCTGGTGAAAGCAGCAGGACCTGAGGGAACAGCATGGAGCTGTGTCAAGGGAGGGTAAGATTAAGGATTAAGAAAAGGTTCTTCACTAAGAGGGTGGTCGGGCACCGGAATAAGTTCTCCAACATCATGGCACCAAGCCTGCCAGAGTTCAAGATTTGGACACTGCTCTCAGACATGTGGTCTGAATTTGGGGTGGTCCTCTACAGAGCCAAGAGTTGGATTCAATGATCTTGCATCCAGATGTGGAGTCCTCAGTACAGGAGAAACATAGACATGTTGGAATATGCCCAGAGGAGGGCCAAAGAAATGCTCTAAGGGATGGAGCACTTCTCCTACAAAGGCAGGCTGAAAGAGCTGAGGCTGTTCAGCCTGGAGAAGAGAAGGCTCCAAACTGACTTGATAGCAGCCTTTCAATATCTGAAGGGGAGCAACAGGAAAGAAAAGGATTGCTTTTACTTAGCTCTAAAACAGTAGCAATAGAATATCCTACTCTTTTATTATCAATACTGCCATATATATCTTTCTTTTTTTTAATGAGAAAAGCATAAAAATTCTATTTACCACAGTTCTGTTCATCGCTAAGGTCTCCACAGTCATCGTATCCATCACAAACAAAGGTATAATTGAGGCATTTTCCTGTGTTACAATGAAATAAATCATCACTGCAGTCTGCAAAACAAAGTTTTGTAAAATGTTAACATGATAATGGAAGGGCTTCTTATAAAACACAAACTATGGAATGTATTGATTTAAACAAGACTAGACAGAGTTATCATCTTATTTACAGGTCTGCAGCATGTATCAGTTTACTAGTTCATTATAATCTAATATAAAGGTAAAAGAAAAATCATACACATTTTTAGACACATTTACTTTTGTTTCTACCAATAGTTTTCTGTCTGTATGATCAATACCAATGGGTGATACAAGTCCTTGTACCATAAGAAGTGTATTTTATTTCTCTTGCTCTTCTTTCATCTTCCACAAACTGGTAAACACAAGGCAGTCATCTGGGAAAAATTTTGTAAGACAGAAAGAGAGTACTCAAAATGTTTTCAAGCTGTTGAAGGAAATGAATTATGAAAAATACTAAGGAACTGGAACATTTTGTTCTGGTTACAGATTCCATCGTGGTAAGCAAGGAAGGAATCAGATGAGATGGGAGAAAACTGAATGTCATTTCAATCTTGTTGACCAAGATGATCATGACAAGATTTCAAGGCACAGATTATTTGACTGCAGGTTATGTCTGAAGGCACTGTAGAATGCCTCTTCCAGTAATAAATGCACTGTTAGGAATTAATGACTAATAAATTAAGGAATATGTTGCAAGATGGGAAGAAATCAGAGTGTACATTGTTTCCAGAATGATAATTATACCCAAAATCTCACCATGACCACATGTTCAAGGCTAAAACACGTTCAACCATTTTGAAATTCACAGTCAACAACCTTATGAAGAAATGTGTTAATTCTCACTGACATCTTCTACATCATTATCATTTGCCTTGAGCACAAACCTGACACGAGTTATTGAAGACCTTGTTTTTTAAGTAGCTTTTCCTAGACACATGAAAGACTTGTTTTCTCATATAAACCAACCACACCCAGACATAATACTGTTGGCGAGTTAAACAAAATAGTCCATTAACATACAAATAGCATTCATTTCTTTGCTTTTCATTAAAGAAATACTTTTTCCATAATAGTAAAAAAGTGAAGTATAGTTCTACCTTCCTAACAGTGAGTGAAGAAAAGTGCCCCGGTTGCAGATAAAGAACAAAATGATTTATAAATTTATACACACAAGGTTATCAAGTAAGGTTGTGGTCTTCATGGGCTAGATTCCTAGAACTGTCCACCTGATGTGGTTGTTAAACAGAGATGGAGCTACCCTGCTATATAAAGTTTATATATAAACTTCTTTTACATTAGTTTTATTACATTAGTTTCAAAGGATTAACTTTTCTGGACACAGCTTTGAGCCTGATACCTTCTTATCAAGGAATTCGTAGAATCATAGAATGACCTGAATTGGAAAGGAACTGAAAGATCACCTCATTCCAATTCCCCCTGCTCTGGGAGAGGTTGACACCTACTAGATCATTTTGCTAAGGGCACATCCAACCTGGTCGTCTTAGCATTGACAGCCCTAAGCAAGTTTAGCTTTTCTTTCTATGGCTGAGACCTGCAGGAAATCTCTGAAAAATATTCTGAGAATACCCAAAATATATGAATAGTATCAGGTTCAATAAAAAAAAAAAACGGAGTCTAGTTAAGAAAGAGCGGAGAACAGAAAGTAGGGTTGGTGGTGTCTGATCCTGCTAGTAATAACTTTTGATTACACACAGCTGCAAAGTGGGTGACTTAGTTTCACTGCCCTCCTGTAAGCTTTTCCTTCACATCTGGATTTTCCAGGGAGAATGTTAGGATACAGAATATCTGCGAAGATTAACTCTCCTACCAGCTGAAGCTATGCCACCGTGTGGTCATTTTTACACAAGGTCTTTCCTGTACTGCATAAGGAAATTGCTCAGAGGGCAGGTACCAGAGCACAGGTCTCACACCTCAGCGTGATGCTCAAAACAACATAATCAGGCTACCATTTATCTCCTCTTGGGTGGGGCTCCTGCATTCAGGATTGCACAATGATCTGGCTTTGAAAGAATTGTGTCCTTCTCAGTATATTACACACTGACAGGTTCAGAATTCTCCCAGAAGGTGTGCAGTGGGATTTTGAACCCTCCACATCAAGGTATGCCAAGTCTTCCAAATCCTGAGTGAGTGCTCTAACTGCTAGGTTTCTCAAGGCTTTACCAACCTGGATTTCAGAACTTGAACTAGCATAATTTCTTGCCCTTCTGCCACAGAAGTATTCATCCTTTTTACTGGCTTCACATGATCTTAGAAAGTCCAAATAGAATTTATAGCACAATGCAGAAGACAGTACTGCAGGACATATAACAGAATACTATGGCAAGGCCGTGAATGTTCTAGTCAATAGTTCAGCTTTTAAAAGAATAAAAGGCACGGAACAGTAAATACAAAGTTTCATGTAAGCAGAACAATAGCCAGCTGAGAGTAAATTCTAAACATTACTTGTTTTGAATCTGCAACAGCATGAAGTATTCTGGCAACATTTACCCTTATTGATCAGTTCATAATTCTGGCAGTTTCTGTCCTTCTGTTCCTCTTTCTGCAAATGAAACAAAGCTGTCTTTTCTATGATGCTTCATTGGGTTAGTTCACTTTTCAATTTTCATCCATGCCCCCAGTCATGTTTACATCCATAACCTCTATAGCTGAAGCAGTGACATTTAGAACATGGCATTGCTCAGGCCCACACAGGGTAAAAAAAAATAAATAATTTTTAAAAAAACCCCACAGATTTCCTTTCAGGGACTTGGAATAAGTGAATATGGAAATCTTACAGTCTTATTATATATTTCTATCAGGGTATTGGTAACAATGCTTACGTTTATAAGAATGAAATGAGCAGTTTGCACTTTTCATCTATAATCAGGTCAACTTAAATTTTGTTAATGACGGCACAAGTCTGATCTTCATAAACTTAAATACAAATTTGTATTCCATACTCCACAAAATTCAAGTATATTTTCAAGATGGGTCTACCTTTTGCATTCAGCAACCCTTACATCTCTGTTTATTTATATCTAATCTTCACAAGTTCACTATTGGATCATATATCCTTCTGACCATTAACCATACTCAAATTTGGCTTTAGGAATCTTCCATTTTATAGATACATGTCTATTAAACTTTATTCTGTTTATTTTAAAGAAAAGGGATAGAGTTCAGTATACAAATTCTGTCACCTCTAGGAGTAAATAAAAACACAATTCAACAAAGCACTCTATTCTATTCTATGGCATGCAGTGACACATGTAAACAATCATCTTTGACAATCAAAAAGAAACCAAAGCATCATGATCACTCAAAAGCTAGTGGGTTTCATCCTTTCATTAAACACAAGTGATGTTGGCCCAACCACTTGTACACATGCCGGAGGTAAGAGAATGAAACCAATGAAAATGACTGCAAGCAAATGAAATCAGATTTTTGAGAATAAATACTGCCCTCCTTAACTAAAAGTTCTTTCCATTAAGCAATTCAAAGATAATTGCCTATTAAAAAAAAAAAAAAAAAAAAAAAAAAAAAAAATTAATTGTTTTTAATCATTTTATTTTCAAACAATGTTGCAGGTCAACTATTTCTATCAGTTTGTAATACACATTGTACCATAATATGGGAAGTTCAGAATCTTGCTGGAATTATTTTGCAGCACATTCTCATATCAGGAAAAGTAATAGTAGTTATGCTTAGGTCACAAATACTATGTTTAAATCAGAATACAAAAAAGAATATTTCAATTCAGATTTTTACTGCATGTTTACAGAAACATTTTTCAAGATATTGTTTTTATAAAATCTTTATAATATATAATCTTTTATAAAATCTAAAACATTTTAATGCATCCAATTACATCTGCAACCTTCAGCCTTTTGAAATATATCAGAAACTGAAACAATGCAGAAAAGGGTGGGGAGTAAACACATGATCAGGGCTCTACTGTGGTAGAGAAACTTCTCAACAGCAAAGGAGTACAAAACAGAACTGGCTAAAAGAAAGACTTCCTGAGTTGATTGGAACCAAACTTTTGAATGAAAGACCTAACTTCAAGGCCACTGTTTCTGCCATGTAACTGATGATTATTTGACAAAAGTTCAACTCCACCCAACACTTACCAGGTAATATATAATACATATATAAATATATATGCCTATAAACTGTCATTTACAGATAGGCTTTCTTTTAAAGGTATTCTTGAATAACTCATTATTTTTATAACTCTTGATTTTTCAAGATATTGTAATGTTTTACACTTGCATTAGTAATTTCTTCTTTTCCCATTTCTAATGGAACTTGAAAGCCATAGCTCTCAAGTTGATGCTGACAAAAATAAAAATATGCAATATTTTCAAAAATACTTCCAAAAATACTTTCAAAAATAAAAATATGCAGTACATTTTAAATAGTAGAAAATATATAAAACTCCAGTCAAATAAAAGGCTATTAAGCAAAAAGCAAGCTCTAGCCTTATTCATACTGAGACCCGGAGGAAACTGCAGCCATCCCTTGCAGTCTCATAGATAAAATCTATCATCAACTTTCCCAAAAGTGGCTTCAGGAATCTTGGAATGCCCAGCCTCCTTACATCACTAATCAAAACAAGTCCTCTGAGGGAAAATGAACTGCACAGAAATTCAGTTCCATTTCTGATAGTTTTCAAAGTCTGAATGCACAGCACTGTTTTGTGGCATCATGTCCTATTATAGTCCCTACTTAGTCCATGTTCCAAATTCTCCTTTTTTCATTTTTTTTTTTCTTTTCACTGTTTTCAGAGTATAAATTTGCTCAGCTTTTCTAAAGGTGGTAGGAGTCCTAGGATGTTCTTGTCAACACAGAAAATTGGTACTCTATAAACTGCTACAGAGAATGAAATAAGTATTAAGCATGTACTTTTTTTTTTCTCTACTGCACACTATACTGAGATTTATTTAAATAAACCACATCCAGTACTGAGGGCAAGAGAACTTTCTAAGCAGATGGTTTTGCTTCTGCTATAAAAAGAACACAAAGGTCTAGGAAAAAAACACACCTAGCAGTTTTCAGTTCGCTACTAGAACTGCATGCTAACAACTAATTTAATAAGATGCCCAAAATATTAATGATTTCCACATGGCTCCTTTCAGAAATACAGTTCTAAGCTGATAATGAAATCTGCTTCCAGTCATAAATTTTAACAGATCTAAAGCATTCTGCAGCAAGAGTGGCTTTCTCAGTGTCAACTGAGAAAGTCCAAATGTCAGTATAAGCAAATACTGTGTAAAGCTCTTATCCCGTTCCAACAGACTGCTTTAGTTTTTAGGCTTCTCTGAATGTATTCAGTACTTCAACAGAACTCTGCAGACTATAGGAAACTTACTGCAATGGACCTCATCACTCCAGTCATCACAGTCATTGTAGCCATTACACTGCAGTTTCCCTGGAATGCAGATTCCACTGGCACACAGGAAACTCTTCTCTCCTCCACACAGTGCTGGAAATGAGCAAAGAATGAATATGTAAGATTTTAAATATGTGCTAAAGAAATAAGTAGAAATTAAAGATATTTAGAAAATGATGTTTTAATTGATATACACTTAGGCACCAAACTCCAAATCAAGCAAATTCAAGCAACTTCAAGCTGGCATTTTCATCTAAATTTTGTTATTTAAAAAACAGGTATCTAGACTAAGTTTATCAGTGAGATTCAATCAAACTTTACCTCTAACATGCACCTCTAAGGAGCAATTCTTTTAATACTGACTTTAGGATTAAACCAGCACTTCCCATTAAATGGATGCTTTGGATTAAATATCCGATTATTGTTAACAACAACTACATCTTTCCAGTCTACTTGTTCAGGCAAAACATTACAAGGTAAAAAGGCTTCACAGTTCATGGTACAGACACTTCCCATAGGGGAAGGATTCTTCCAATCTCTTATAACTCTCAAAGCGCTAGAAGACAACCATCACTGCTATTGAATATATAGGGAATTGAGATATCTATAGAGAAAGAAAGAAAAAAAAAAACAACACCAAAACCACAACCCTAGAGCTTAGAGTATCCAACAGGAGATGCATTTGCAGAGTTTTAACATGTTTTTCAAAGCCTGAAATATTATTTTATCATCCTCAAGGAAGAGGGCAGTCTTTTGTCTACTGACAACAAATCCTTATTTGTAATAAAAACTTAGTTGGATAATTTACATTTTTTTCCTATTACAATTCCATGTGAACTCTCCACTTGGCCATGATTATGCCATGTTATTTTCCATTTGTGTAATGGAGCTATGGTTCTTGAAGTGAAAACTACTTACGCGTTTTATTTTAAAGGATTCTAACTTTACAGGAAGGTGTACAAAATAAGTAAGAGACACATGGTGTCTGAAAAAACGATAGAGAATCTCATAACCTATGATAACATTATATTTCCTGTATTGTAATTTGACCTTTTTGTTCCTCCAGCTCTCTGCCTTATACCATGCACCTTCTGATTTCTGTGCTTAGAATGCACTATAGGAGAAACAACAATCCTTTCTCAATGTGGTCTCTAATTCCCTAGTAACAAGTGTTTATCTCACAGTGATATCAGGTTGCTGTCTATGAAAAAGAAGATCACATAAAAAATTGTAATTCATCACACAAGAAAGACTATTTAAGGTTGATAGTGCTACATCATTTGACTTTGACACATGACATTCTTCTGAACTTGAAATTTTATACAATTTTCTGCATGTGCAAAGAAGAAAACAGCATAAGTATGATATGGATCAAAACGAATTGTCAAAGGAACCATCTTGATTTGTTTATTGATCTCTACCATCAGTACAGTTCTTTATTTATAGAGACCGAAACAATAACATTACATGTGAAAGCACCAGTATTACATAGGAGAACAAAAGTTAAAAAAGAAAAAAAGAAAAAAAAGCAAGGATAACTATCCATTTTTCTTAGAGTTTGGAAGAACAAAGAGTAGGGAGTCAAACATTCATTTCTGAATTGTGGAAGGAAATGTTTCCATGCGCTTGTAAATCACTCTCATCCTCCCTTCCTAATACTTCCCTACCCTATTTTGCTTCTATCCATTCTGAGTTCCATTACAATCCACTTCATTTCTTAAGAAGCATCTTAAGACACTTTCTAATGTGAGCATCTCCCTGTTTATCTTGGGTACGTTACAGGCAAACAAGGGGAAGAATGAAATCATAATCATAGCTGTTCTTCTCTAAGTCTTAACACTCAGTAGCAAACAGAGGGAACTAGAAGAACAGTTCATTTCATCTCCTGCTGTCTTCTCAAAGACCATGACTGGATATATTTGGTCCAGTCAGTGTAGTGATCACATGGCAATGAGAGCATATACAACTGTGAATGATAGTTCCAATTAATTTCTGCTTTCTACTAAGCTTGTGCAGAAAGAGGTTTCTGGAAGGTTAACAATTTTATCATACCACCAAATATCAGATTTTAATAGAAAAGATAGAATCCCTGTCTTATACAGCAAAACAAACTACTGAAGAAGACATGATATTAGATGAAAGGAACACAAAGGAAATGGAAGAAATCCTTGCTAACAGAAAAACAATTTGCAGGTATTTGCTTCAGACCTTTGCTACGAAGTTTTACAGTCTGGAAAATCTGAAATACCTGAATAAACGTCACCAGTAGAGGAAAAAAAAAAAAAAAGAAAAGAAAACCCACACAAAGTGCTTTACTTTACCTCCATCCACTATATTATTAAAAATGTCTATGAAGTGCCAAAATCATTTATGTGCTGTAGTTCTCAGCTAGATTACTGGAATGCCACCTATAGAGGGTTATGTAGGCAGGTCTCTGCAAAGCTGCAGAAAGCACAAACTGAAACAAATATATTACTTGCCTGCATTTACAGGTAGTAAATAGCAGTAGTTAAGTACTGCATATCTATGAAAATGACCATGAAAAGTGTAGGGTTTTTTTTTTTGGTTTGGTTTGGTTTTTTTTCAAAGTGAAGAGGCGACAATGTAGGCTGTCTAATACTATGAAACAACTAGGAGGTAGCCAACAAAATTGTTTTAGAAAAGCAATTAGTAGTACTTTTTATTTAATGTTAAGTTGTAACACTACAACAGAACACAATGGATGCTAAAACGCATGCAGATTTGTGAAACAATTTGAAAAGAACAATAAAAATTTTACAGTCAAAAACTACTGACAAGTCCTTTAATATCAAACAGATGGTAAATGCAGGAGGACTTTGGAAAAGTAGTTCCCTATTCTATTCTTCTTTGGGCATGCAGTTTTAAAGCAGCTTTTGAAGACGGCATTACAAACTAGATGGACTTTTAACCTGATTCAATATAGGCATTCTCAGAGTCACAATAGCACAAAGGAATCCCTGTATTCTCTTGCCTCTGGATTTTCATCACCTGCTTCCTATATTCCATGTACACTGTGGTACAATGCATCATGTAGCTGTCAGCTATAGAAAGATTTGATATTAGGATCACAATCACAGAGTTAGGAAAGCCGACAACTCCTTCCCTGCTGTGGTGGAAGAATGCAAGAGATCTTCTCTTCCAATAAAGTGAAGTGGCCTAAAAAGCCCTCATGAAAGAGTCAAATCTGGAACTGTAGCAGGCAAAGAATAAGAAGGCACGCATAATAGAAGAAAAAATTAACTTGAAAGACATAAAAGGTTAAACAGAAGTAAAGAATAAGTGCTTGGAGAAAGATATCCTTCACCTGTGAATGTTTTCTCACATGAAAAACTACACAATTCTGAAAAAAAAAAAATTGTCTCTCTCAAAAAAAATTCGGTATCATTCTTTCTGGTCTGGCAGCTGATCAGAATCAGTATTACAGATACACAGACCATCTCTGTCTTTTTTTCACTGCTTCAAGTGAGTGCACAGAACCACAGAATATCCAGAATTGGAAAGGACCCAACGAGAACAGTTGAGTCCAACTCCACATAGGACCACCCCAAATCCAAACTCTATGTCTGAGAGCGTTTTCCAAATGCTTCTAGATTGATGCCATGACCTGGGGAGCCTGTTCCAGTGCCCAACCACCCTCTGGCACAGAGCAGAGAGTGATAATCCCTTCTTTTGACAGGTTAGCAATGCTGGGCCTGATGCCCCCCAGGATATAGCTGACCCTTTTAGCTACTGACTCATATTTAAAACACTGTCAAACAGAACATCCAGATGCTTTTCTGCACTGTTGCTCTGCAGTCTCTCTTACTGCTCTCTGTACGTATATCCAGTGTTGCTCCAACCCATGTGCAGAATCCGGCACTTGCCAGGTTAAACTTCATGAGGCTGGTGATTTCTCAGCCCTCCAATTTGCCAAGATATCTCTGCAAGACCTCTCTGTTCATGAGGGAATCAATCCTAATTTTGTTTCGTCCACAAACTTACTTATAGTGTCCATTCAATTTCTGTATTCAGACCATTTATAAAAACAATGAAGAGAACTGGCCCTAAAATGGAGACCTGTGGAATCCCACCAGTGACCAGCACCAGTCCGATGTAATTCCATTGCAATAACCCTTTGAGCCTGACCCATCACATTACATTTTTTGCCTAGCTGTATGCCAGACATTTGTCCAGTAGAATACAATGCAGGAGTACAAAAGAAAGATAATATCTTCCTGATCTTAAGAGCTTTCTCTGAAATTCTGTATTGCATGTGTATAACACATAGTTACTATAGTATACTAGTAAGTATACTATACTAGTGTGTGTGCATATATATATATTTATATATATATATACACACATATACACACACACTAGTATATACAGTATATAGTATATATATATATAGTTAGTGAGAAAGTAACTATAGTTACTAGTATATATAGTAACTATAGTTACTTTCTCACTTACTATAGAAAAATAAATACTTGGTTGTGATCAGATATTGACTAGAGTCTCTTCTGCCTGAGTTTATGTTCTAAGCTGTTTCTCAAAGCAAGTTCTGTGAATTCTTAACAATGTCCTGAAAGATAGACCAGGTACCATGTGGAAAAAAAAAAAAAAAAAAAAAAAAAAAGTGTGGTGTTCCAATTAAATGCTTCTTATCCGAATTAAAACAAGCTAAGAGCTCCTAATGTGTCATCTTCAAATGGCTGAAAGAGCTTACTCCAGTTATTCATGAATTTAGCTCTTTCATGCCCTTGAACATTGCAGGGAATTTATTGACTTATTTTTAACTAATTCATGTAATTCATGTGATTTTGCCAAAGAGGGAGATTATTTGGGCTATCAGCAATCAGAAAAACTTAATTGAAAGACCATCCAACTGAAAAACTACTGCAATAGCCAGTGTTTAAAAGTTCACAAAAATCTGTCTAAAAGATAAGATTTCTGAATGTTATTTATAATTTCATGGATTACTTATAATTTTATTGATTTTGCAGTTTATCATTCCTTTTCATCACTATTATTATTATTTATTCGTTTCTTTTTACAAATTTAAACTTTAACTGCTGATAGGAAGATATGTGCATTTGCAGTATGTAGGAATTATTAGAGTACCTACAAAAGACACTTTCTTACATTGTTCAAAACACACACACACACACACACACACACACAAAGAAAAACTAGCCAGAAAAAGCAAAAAAAGCAATATATTTCAAGAAACTATCGTAAAGAAAAAAATAGTCTCTGAATTAAGACTGAAATCGATGGCAATTACTCCAAAGAGATTCTGACGATAGTGGAAATTGGGATAAAATTTATATTAAGAAAATATGCTTTAATGTATTTAACTTTCACTACTTGAAACATTGCAAAGAATATCCACAGAGAGATAAAACCTCATAAAACAAAACTAAATTTGTTCTTTAAAAAATGATATGAAAAAAAAAATTCTAATTTGGCACAACCTGTAGCTATTTATGGATGCTGGTTTTTTTTAAGAAGGGAAGCCTTGGCTTGTTTTATTACACATTTTTATTTGGAACTAAAGTGCAAATAATATGCAAGATAATGCTATGAAATTTATATTCTGCATTTAAATTTTAATGCATTATGTCTTTTATATGACTTAAACAGTATTATCTGTTACAAATCTTATAGTTATGAAGAACAGCTCAGGCCTCTTGGGCATCACTTTTTAACAAAATAAAAAAAAATTCTTAATATCTCTTCAGTGTAATGCAAAATGAACATTGCCTGACAGTTCTGTATTGTTGCTTACAAAATTTCACTGTATAAAGAACCAGAAGATTCATATTCTCCACTGCTTTTGAAATAATTTTGCCATCTAGATTCATTAAAACACAATTTCAGGGTTTCCTGAGAGCTGCATGTTACTGCAAGTCAGATCATTGTGTCCTTTACTTCTCATTCAAGCTACTCTGCTTTTCTCTCTGCAGTTTTAACACCACCAGCTGTGTTGGCTGGTCAAAGCATATAAAATAACAGAAAAGCACAGAGACAGTTGAAAGAAGGGAAAACAGAGCTGAAATATTTGCAACCCTGTCAACAGTAGTGCACCTTTTTATCTGTCATTCATTTTAAAACACTCAGATGATTTTACTATAAAGGTACACAGATCAAATTTTCCAGTATATTCAATTTTTCTGTGGACACATCAGGTATGTATGCTACAAGTTTCTTTGTAGTGGCAAAGCGCACTCAATTTCCAATGACTTTAGAAGAAAAAAATAGATTAAGATCAGCAGTGACAGATAAACAAGTGCATATCAACTAGGTAATCCCAATTTTAGCTAATGAATATTTATCAGGAAACCTGCTACTTGTCTGCAGGATAAATGTTCTAGATTCTAACTAGGAAATCTGCCAAACTCCAATGGAGCCTGGAAAGTCATGTGAGGTTTCAGGTCTTTTTTGAGGAAGGATATTTTTTAAAAAAATTTGGAGGGTGTACAGTATTTAGTCATAATCAGAAAAAGAAAACATCAGAAAAGGAAATTGTTTTGGATTGGATGATGCTGCACTAAAAAACTAGGTGTGGCAACCAGACCTTTTTTTTTTTTTTTTTTTCTCAAATAAATGCAATAAAATCCTAAAGCCCTGCAAGAGAATTACTCCATCTCGCATAACAAAGCATATGAAAGGCATATGAAAGCAGGTAAAGCTTTCTCTGCATGCAGTCTGGAATTATTAGTCCCCAAAAGAAATCACGAAGTCGGAATATAAGCAGCTATATGTCAACAAAATGCTCCTGGAATTTCCAGGAACTGAGTCCTGTAAAGAACATGAAGAACACTTGGAGCTGAGCACCAAGTGCCAAGGAGATGGAATAGTTAACCCTGCTGCCTGATTCTGCTGCATTCAGAGAAGCAAATGCTTTTAAATACACAAATTTAAAATACTTTCAGCATTGATTTATTTCTGTAGGAGAAACATCCTGAGAGAAACCCAGGTTCCTACCATCTTCAGTCAAAAAAGAATCACTTCAGAAACATTTCATGTGAAAAAATGTCAAGATATTCTCTAGACTCAATCATTTTTACTTGAAAGCTATTTGTATCCAAACACCATGCAAAACAGTTCATGAATAAATTAATTTAAAATGCCTTTTGTTTTATAAAACAGCATGTCAGAGCTGAAAAAAATACACAGCCTGAGTCTCTAATCTGTCAGATAGGATACTTCAGCACTGGCTCTAAATCTTTCCTTTAATAAGAAACAGCAAATTTCTCATGTACTTTCCTGTGATTAATATAGTTTACTATCAGAGAGATGCAAATTCTACCTGAAAGATTATGGAGGAATAATCAACCAGGCACTAGTTTAACATGCTTTTCTCTAGTGTTAAAAAATAGTGAAACTATAATTTTAGTCAGAAGATACTCTAAAACTTTCATAAAGCAGCAACTTCTCCCAATTTGATCCGAAAGTTCTAACATTGTTTAGTTATGTTGAGACTTTTCAAAAGTTCAGCCAGATATAATTGGTCAAGTAAGAACAGGCATATTTATATCATGCCCTGTATTCTTACATGTACCACGTGTGCACAAAATCCAGGTCTCCAGTATCCTGCTCCTTTTTCAGAATTACATCTCATTCTGTGGTCAGTACAAGTGTACTCAACTAACGATATGCTAGTCACTGATCATGACTAGCTACTCTCACTGCTCATTGTACAACTCTTTACCATACTTATGTATACATTCCACAGTCTCTTACCTTATTTTTTATTTGAAACCGTCATAAAGACAAAATGATTATATTCCCAACACCCAGGATGTTAGGATTCACTATGGTATCAAAGGCATCAATATATATACAGTTATAACCCTCCAAGATAGAAGGACAGTTTTATTCCCATTTCACAAAAGGGAAGCTGAGGTCTAAAAAAAAAAAAAAAAAAAAAAAAATATATACATATACACACATATATATATATACATATATATATATACACACATGTATATATATATATATATATGCTTCCTCTTTGAAGAAGCTCGTAAGACCTGATTTTTCAGCATATTTAGCATATATTTGTTTCATACAATCAAAACACAGCTCCCAGTGGCTTTCAATTTGCAATTTGCTCAGAAGCCCATAGGAGCATTACAGAAGTCTTGTGTATAATATTCTTTTTTTTCCAGTAAGCACTCTACCTTCAAGAAAACACTATCTCCGTGTATTTTGTCATGTCAGCCATTACAAATGTTCTCATAGGGGAGGACAGATATTGGACAACAGTCTCCATTACTTCATGACCCCTAAAACATGCCCTAACAGATACAAAGAATTTGATCTACAGGCTATTTTTAATCACACATACTCAGATAGCCAACGAGATACCCCAGGCTGTAAGATCTTAACTTTTCATTTGAAGGCACACTGTACAACGTCGTTGATTTTTTAACGTGCATGAATGCTCAAGTTTTTTAAAACAAAATTGAAAAACTATTTTCATCATATCACTATTTATAGTCTGTTATCACTCAAAAGTCAATTAAAAAATTGGAATCTACTGATGGACAGCACAAGCCTCTGCCACTTAGGCTCATGGGATGATGAACAGCAACAGCACGGTTTCAGATGCCAGTAAGAGAACTCCAGCAAGGGGTAAGTGAGAAAAAGAACCAAGTCAGGATTTCTGCTGTCAGGTCTAATCTCAAATAAATTTAGATCTAGAAAAACAGAGTGGCATCAGTTCCGGGCTGAGTTTTATAGCAAGGATAAAGAAGACATTTGAAATTTGGACTGTGTATCGAGTTCCTGCTCCAAATACCTAGCCTGTTATTACTAGAGCTTATCAAAGAAATAGTCAGCAGAACATTTTTAAGGGGCCTATTACTTTTCTCCTAACTTCGTTCTCTGGAACAGCTCATAATTTCTAATGCAAAGCAAATTAGTCAAAGCAGCTGAAGTATGGCAAAACTATAACACACTGATAACCAGGTTTATCATAGTAAACTGAATTAACATAATAACAGAATCAAGAACAACAGTTTCATTCCAGAGCTAATCCTACAGAATTAAAAAATACATTACGTTATTAAAGAGGAACTCTTTAATATAGTGCAAGATTTAAGAACAGAAGCATACATTGCTTTCCTTTTTCTTGGTGTGGCGAGAAGCATACTCTTTCAGTTGTGTCATTTTCAGTTTGGTTGTGGAATTGAGAGCACTTGAGGAATTCTGGCCAAGAAGCATTTACCATCCCTAGGACTGGTTCACACCCTTCTTTTGCTGCCTCACAAAATGTCCTGCATGGCAAGAGGACTCGACTAGAGAAAAGAGACAGAGAACAAAGACAAAAAATTATTATTATTCTAATAAACAGCTACATCTTGAATTAAAAGAAAATAAAAGTAATCATACTTCTGAAAAATTTCACTTTCTAAAGAGTCGCACCAAATCTTCACTACCTCACTGGAGGTGATATCAGCTCTGGCTTTCAGTCTACATTCAAGGTCCTATTAAGCAAGAGTAATTTCTAAATTCAGCACTGTACATGCAGAAGCTGACGCTTCATCAATAGTTGAAGGAATGTAATTATGTTGTGACACAAGGTAGGAGAAAGCTTATTTATCTTCTTCTTCCTCACAGTTGTGCTGACCTACCCGTACCCTCTTTTGTTAAATGCTTTCATGAGCTGATAAAAAAAAAAAATCACTAACTTGAAAAAAATATATTTTCTTAGATTGGTTAACCCTTCTGACAAATTAGGTGTGCCGAGTCTTGAGTCTGCTCATGGAGAGAACCAACTGCCAGATGTAAACTGTAGGAGCAGCACTTTATCAATCAGCATTTACGAGCCTTACCCACTTTGTGACTGTGATTCTGACATCAATGGCAAAAAAAATTCTCATATACGTAGCAAGTGCCCTATCACTATATTTTCTCAATATGTCAATTTCTTCCTAGAATTTACTGCAGTGCACTTTGCGTTTCTTAAAATATTCTAAAATAACTTACCAGGAAAAGACTGGAAGCTACGTTACATTCATAATTTATGAATCAATAACCAAAAAGCAGAAATTGCATACAAATTATAAGCATGAAGTATTTCAGTCACATTTAAAACAGTTAAAGTTTACTCAGGCACAACTGAAATTGGGGCACATATTCCTGAGAGAATAATGAAAAATATATCTGGCTCTGATTACAAGTAAAATGTTATTTTTTGAAAACATGATTATCCATCACTGGGCTTATTTTATTAAATAATATTATATACATTTCAATTTTTTACTGACATTGAAATCATTGTTTTCTCATTCAGAAAACAAGAATAATGGATTTCTAAAATATGTAATACTTAAAATATGATTAGAATATTATCTTAATGTGTACTCCTTATATTCTTAATGATACCTCTGGCTTAATAATATGATATTTATTCCACCCCATGTGTATTTATTTTTAAGCAGTGAGCACCAAGAACAGGAAGGCACTGCCCATGAATGTTTGTTGGCACCACACTTTGAAGGGAAACAAAATGGCTTCATTGAGAAATATCAGCTCCCAGTGAAGGAAAAAAAAATGTGAACAGAGAAACAGAAATACATTTAATTCTTAAGTACAGCTCTCATACAGAACGAGTTGATTCAGCTCATATGAGTTCATGAGATCAAAGGGGTTGCATCCAAGGGTACTGAGACAGCTGTCCAGCTGCTCTTGCAAGGTCAGCCTTCTCTGTCTTTGAAAGGTCATGGAAACAAGGAAGGTCACTTAACTGGAAAACATCAAGAGTTGCACTCATCTTCAAAAAAAAAAAAAAAAAAGCCAAAAATGTCAAGCTAGGTACACTCAAGTTGTAATGACGTTACCTTAATTCAGTCCCAACAAAAATGGAATGAGTCCTCCTTGAACACACTTCTGGACATAGCAAGATGATGATAACTGGGAACAGTTAGCACAAATTTATCAAACGTAAACCACGGCTGATCAGCCTGGCTTTTGTACTGAACTGAAAAAGTCCACAGTGACCAAGAGTTTTGTTACTTAATGTAGTGTTTCTATTAGGATTATAATATATATAGGAATATAGAAAAACACAGTTTCTTTAGAAACTATGTGATACCAGAAGCAACTCCTACAAATAAAAAGCTGCCAGTGATGCCTGACCACCTGTGCTAACATGGAGAAATCAGTATAAAGCAAAACATTTTCTTGCATAAGTATTCTGACATGAGTGTATTTGCTTTCCTCTGCTTAGTATCTAACAAAAAGAATGTGCTGCCAGTGTTGTTACCAAATTTATTACATATACCAGGTTGGAACAACTAGTTCAAAATAGATATTGTTAGAGATATATTCTCCAGATAATGTTAAATACTTTTACACAATACTAGATTGAAATTATCAGATACATTACAAAGGATTTTATCTCTAAACTTGACTCTTTGCACTTCCCTAGCTGGCAACTTCCTTGTTGCCTGAAAAGACCATATATTCTAGAATAATACTTTTCACTGCCAGACTGTGATGTGTTGAAAGGCACAAAAATTCAGCAACAGAAAGCACATAGCTGGCTGTTTACAAAACCAAGAACAAATGGTTACTCCTGCTAACAGGAACAGCTGCCACTTAGTAGCTCTGCACATTGTCCTGCCAAATTGAAGGTTTACTATCTGACCTGAAATGACTCTTCAGATAAAGATGTTCTAAAACAATGTTCTGTTTTTTACTCCGTCTATTTTAATAGGAAGAGTAAGAATGGACACAGCAAGAGCACTGTGGTAGCTGTCACTGACTCTTGCTTGGGTCTGAGAAACTCCCTAAATGAAGAGGCTTTTACAGGGCAACTGATAGTCTCAAATCGTTTTCTTTTAGTGTTTCGGACTTAAGCTTTTCATTTTTAACTAATCATTTTTAACGAAACCACTGCTTCTAAAAGTTCTATTTATATAATAACATGAACAGTCCCAGTAGTTTAACTGAGACTCTTTAACATAGAAGAATGCCAGAAGCAAAGCCACTACTTGCTATGGATGATGCTTGAGTTCCAAAAACTAACTGTAAGAAACAAGATGCTACATAAATTAAATGAACTACTGATTTGCCTTATTTGCCAGAGTGAGCCATTTAATTTATTCAGACTGATATGCTTACTGTTAACTTATTTATTTTCTAGAAAAATACACAAAACACTTTGACACTATATCACAGTGAAGACAAACATGAGCAGTTTTTCACATCATCAGATCTAAGTTATTCCTACTGGTCCAATGGAGCATATCTGATGACCTGAAGGCAGTATATTCCACTGACTTAGTTTTTCAAAGAAGCAATAGCAGGTTCATCAGAATCATACAATCAACAAGGTTGGAAAAGATCTCCAAGATCATCTAGTCCAAGCGTCCACCTGCTACCAGTATTTCCCCACTAAACCATGTTCCTTAGTACAACATTTAAAAGTTTCTTGAACACCTCCAAGGACCTCTCTGGGCAGCGTTTCCCAGTGCCTGACCTCTCTTTTGGAAAATAAATTTTTCCTAATACCCAACCTGAACCTCCCCTGGCATAACTTGAGATTGTTCCCTATAGTCTTATCTCTGGTTATGCAGGAGAAGAGGTCGACTCCCACCTCACCAGAGCTTCCTTTCAGGTTCATTATTTCCAGAAGTCCTTCGGCACGTTGATCACTCAACATAATGGAAATTTTACAAACAGTTTAAAGATCACATTAAAATGTAACTTTGTACAGTTATACTTAACAGTTTAGAAGTTTCTAAAAATGTTAGGAGATAAGTAGTTTTTTCACTAACTAAATTTGCACTTCAGATGATTAATATCTATATAAAAAAAAAATCTATGTGAGTTCACCTTACTTGTATAGTTTAGGCAGTACTCCAGGCAATATTATATTTATGCAATAATATGTTTAATCAATATTACAGTTCAGGGTAGATGTTTGGATACAAACATAGCACAATAATACAGAAATTACTAAATTCTAAAAGACAACTGAGTAGTGATTAAATAAGCTAAGCAGAATTTGTAGTCTTGAGAGAAGCTCTGACAAACCAGAAAATATAGGATTACCCAGCCATTATTGCAATATTTGGTGTGGTTTCAATATTCAATCACATGTGCTGCATAAATTAAATATTTTCTGGATAATGATCAAGCTGAGTATGGACATATTGCTTAATCCAGTCAAGGATGAAAAGGTGCTTAAAAATCTTCATCTTGATTAGTCTTTATTTACTGCCAGCCAGAGACAAATCATTGAAAAAAAAAAACCTGTCAGGTCTATGGTAATCTTATCATCATTCATTTGGCGCCAGAAGCAGGCATGGAAGGAGGCTGCAACATACTTGAATGGTAATTTTGCTTTTAAGGATATTCATGGAAATGATTCTTGCTGAAGGTGAAGTTTGATAAAAGAACAGATACATGAGATACTTTTGAATCTATGGGTGGTTTCTCCACTCCTAGAAGTTCACACCTCAGTTATTTCAGCAACATATAGGTGTCAACCAAAACAAAAAGAAAAGACGTGCTCTCAAGTAAAACAAAGTAGAGAAATAGTCTGTGGGTTTTTTTTCATTTGCTTGTTTTTTTTTAATTTGTGTAACCCATTAAGCTATTCATCAAAAGAGATTTATATCAAGTACATATATAGAACACAGCATACTCTAAAGCTATCGTCTTAACTGATATTAAGGTTCCAGAGAGGCTTCACACTGCCTGAGAGCAGATTATCTGATACATTCTTTTTGCCAATTATTTGAAGTTCTCTCTGGAATTCAAATTGATTATAATACTGCATTGATCTAGTTGTTATCACTCACTTGAAAACATTTTACATTTTCAGATGAATTCAGAAATTGTTCTTCCTGTAAAACCAACTTCTCATCTTTGCAATCACATTATTATGCATGGGGCTCATCAGTACACTTAAGTTGCTTAAATGGCTGTTTTGAGCACTAGAAATTATCAAAGAAATATATTACAAGAACCAGTAAGGAGAGAAGTCCTCCAGGCAACTATTTAACTGCTGCTGCAAAATTTAACAGATTTTCTCAAGGAGCAATTGTTTGAGTAGCTCAAAGTTTTGGCTTTTAAACTCAGCAGCCACTGAAGTCAGTGTCTGTGATACGTCTTCCCTGGAAGCAGCAACAGCGTATGTAGATCTTGTTCCTAAATGTCCTTTTCTGCACTGCCTGGAGTTTTGCAATCTGTTTTACAAACATCTGTTTGCAGGCTATACAATAAGCTAGATCAGGATGGGAAATTCATTACTGAAATTTTACAGATAAGACTGAGAAAACTGCTC